ACTTCCCACGGGTTCTATTTTATTCAATCCAATGAAAGAATTGAAGCATATTTGGAATACGAGTTTGGAATAATAAAAAAAAATATTATGTAGGTAAAACTGATAAGAATTTAAGCTTATCAAATATTTCAACAAAACTGTTTGGAATATTATTCACCAAGAAAACTAGAGAATAAAATATAATAAACTTCTAGAAGTAATCAGAAGTTTTTTTTAACAAATAAAAATATCAATGTTTAATTAATGTTGATTGATAAAATTATGTAAAGTTAATTAATTGATTATTGTGTTTTATATTTAATCAAATGATGATTTGACAATTAATATTGTAATAACTACAAAAGCCACCAATATAAAATAATGATACACAATGTTTGGATTTGTAATTAACCACATTCAGAATATTGACTTTAGGAATTGGATACTTTCGATGATTAAATATTTATATGTTACTCAAAATGTCAAACATATAAAACAAACTGGAAAAAATTAATTGAAGTTAAACAAATATATTTGACTATAATTTAATAAATTGAATAAATTATTATCTTTTTCTTTGTATGAGAAATAATTATTAATATGATTGATGCACTGATGGACTTCTATTTACAGCATTTCAAATCGAATATCAATAGAACATTTCCAATATATGTCTGTATAGTTGAACAGAATTAATCAAATCTATACTCATCAATTAAATTGAAAACGTCTTCAATATAAATCCAGAACAGTATTCCAAATATGTGTCATTTCTTCAAAAATTGATTTAGGATCAATGTAGTATAGTAGCTACCTGATCATTGGAACTGGATGCCCCTGCGCATTACATGTCATACTGATCTCAGCAGCTTCTCTTCGTAGGAAAAAAAACGATTTGACATCGCCCAAAAACGTGGGAGCTTTACTGCCAACTGGCTCTGAATTGAAAACAAGCATTTGAAAACCGTCACTTCCCTCTTGATTAAGAACAAGGTCACATGCGGCCCCCTAGTATTTCTCGTATAATCTATTAACCACTTCAATCTCTCCCCTTTTCTCTCATGTTCTCAATCTAGCAATAATTTTCCTACCTAGTGACTGGAACTGGATGTCCCTGAGCATTACAGGAAATACTAACAGTCTCACTTATTTTACGAGTCAGCAGAGTAATCTTTGATTCGCCAGAGAATGCTGGCGCTTTACTTCCGACAGGTTCTAAGGATGAATAAAAAGATAAATAAAATATTCATAGGCCTATTTACCTAGTAACAGGCACAGGGCTCCCCTGGGCGTCGCAAATTAATGCAGTGTCCTGGCCCTCACGTCTCCCTATCGTTCGACTCAGATCATTTGACGACAGCGCAGGTGATTTTGCACCAACAGGTTCTGGAAAGTTATATCTTTCTGGATATACTTGCTACTGATATTGATGTAATTCGATAATAGGTTTGTGATTACTTAATCGAACAGGGATTAAATCAGATTAACCCTAATAGCTAATTCCGTTGTTTGAACAATTATTACCAGCTACTCTCATCAAATGATTATCTCATGCACATTTACTAACATAATTAATCAGTCAGCTCCTAATCAATCACGCTTTTCTATTAATTACCTGACAATAGGAACAGGACTCCCTTGTGCATTGCATTGAAGAGCAATGTCAACACCTTTTCGTCTCGAGTAACCACTAAATGATAGATCACTGGAAAACTTTGGAGCTTTAAGTCCAACTGGTTCTATATACACAGAAAACCACCATATATTGGAGGTAATTTCAGAAACAAAAGCACCGGGACAGGGTATTTTTAACTTAACGTTATAATTAGCAGCTTATAATTATCGTGTGGAGTTTAATTAAGGCTCAAATACCTTGCTATTGGTGCTGGACTACCTTGGGCGTTACATTGAAGAGCAATATCGATACCTTTACGCCTCATATAGGTGCTTGATGAGCTATCACTTGAAAACTTTGGAGCTTTCAAACCAACAGGTTCTGTGTAGGTAATAAAAGGAAACATTGATCAAATATTTGCATTCTTTTTTTTATCAGGGACAGGGTGCTCCCAGAAGACACCAAGCATATTATCATTGCGTTCACTAGATCACCTATATTCTTGGAATATTTATTGACAACTACTTGGAATATTTCTGATAGTTCTTTGATCATTACCTCGATTTAGGTGGAGGATTTCCCTGAGCATTGCATTCTAATGTCAAGTGTGATCCTGCACGTTTTGTCCATGCACTGAGAGAATTCTCACTGGCAAATTTTGGTGCTTTCAACCCCACTGGTTCTAAAGTATAATACAAATACTAGGAGATAAAAAATATTTTTAGATTCAAGAAGATTTATAGATGAATAGGGTTGAATATTAACAAGGGACAGGGTTTCCCAATCCAAACTGATTTATTTATCTGTCACAACAGACCCCACTTGGAACGGATTAATTACCTCGATATAGGTGGTGGATTTCCCTGAGCATTGCACTCTAAAACTATTGACGATCCTGAATGTTTTGTCCATGCACTGAGAGAATCTTCGTTAGCGAATTTTGGTGCTTTCAAACCCACAGGCTCTAGAGGAGAATAAATATAAGCAAAATTCTCCAAAAAATTTGAAGAAGCTTGAGAATACAGGGACAGGGTAGCCTTGCTCTGTAGAACAAATCCTATTAAATAGAGCAGTATTTATTCATTTCAATGAATTTATTTCTTTGATGATAATAAAATTGATTCATCAGACAAATTAAAGACTCTAAACCTAGCATAATACTGATTATACTTCATTGTAAACTATTTTTTTAATATTAGAGTTATTTTTTGAAAGGTAAATTTATCGTTGAATTAATGATTATCATTAAACTTTGAACAGAATAATAGCTAGGGGTAGAACTAATCGTTATTTCGTGTCAGATAAACTTTTTTTTTGCACAAATATCATTCATGCAACCTTTCATAAAGAATATGTTGATTGTGATGCGTGACAACGTTTCCCCAACATTTAGCAATGTAACTAGAATTCGTTTACTCAAAAAGTAGATATTCAATAAAAAAAAAAGCACCATTGAATTGTTTCCCTTAGGTAATCATAGCTTTTTACTTTATCTTCATAAAAGTTTATTCTAAATAAAGTGTTTGAATTTTTTCTTTGTTTACTTGAGTTATTAAATTTAAATTAATTAATTCTTCAAACTTTATTTCAAATAAATAATCTTTTGAATAATTGAATGATATAAAAATCTAGCTTTTTTCTGCTCAATAGTTTTCAAGATCAATTAAAGTAACAACTAGTTACCTTGTTACTGGAGGTGGACTACCCTGAGAATTGCATGTAAGTGCAACATGTGAATCTTTTCGTCTTGAAAATGTACGAGAATCATCGTCGCTGGATAACGACGGTGGTTTGAGGCCGATGGGCTCTAAATGTCGAGAATAAAAAATTCATGCTCAATAAATATTTCAGAATCATCTTATTAATTCTAAAAGTGACTTTCTGCCTACCTATAAATGGGCACGGGGAAGCCCTGCAGGGGACATATTAAACTGGTCGTGCTACTTGAATGAGCATCTAGCCACTCAAGTTTACGATTAGCTGGGAGCTTAGGTTTCGTGCTCGTACTTGGCTCTAAATGAAATATCGATAAAAAAAGAAGCGTTTAATAACCGCTTTTAAATGTTAGCAGAGTAAAGAAACCAGGACAGGGATCCTCAAGCGGGTAAAATCGTTGGTGTCATCTTTAACCTACATCGTGCCTATCTTTAAACTCTTTTTAAAAACTCACGAGTGTAGACTTGTTGAAGACAAGTGGATAGTTGAGGAATGAATAGAAAATCTCTCTCCAAGCTACTTTATCCTCTTTCTTTATCTAAAAAACATTTCGCTTGATTCATTTCCTGTCGAGTACGTTTTGTCTTATGTGCAGAGATCCACATAATCGTCTGCATTCGGATTTACTCCACTTTATGCTTTATGATCAAACACGATTAAATTGGAAAAATCCTCACCTCGATAATGGTACAGGATATCCTTGGACTGGACACATGAGAGTAGTTGATTCATCAATACGAGTCTCCACTAATTCAATTTTCCGATTTGCCGAAAGTTTTGGCTTTGCATTGGAGCTTGGTTCTAAACGAATACATTGGATTGCCTCATTTATTCTGAATACTCAAGTTTTAATTACTAACCGCGTAATTGGTACAGGGAATCCTTGACCTGGGCATGTCAACGCCACCGCGGACGATCTCGATGTTGGTTTAACAACTTTAATATCATCATTCGTAAACTTTGGCTTTGCACTAGACACAGGCTCTAAGCAGATCGAAAGCAGAGATTAACAGACAACTAGATAAGCAGCAATTGTTTTTATGGGACAGGGAATCCCTAATTAGCTAGAAAAGGAGGACACTACTAACCGTGTAATTGGCACCGGAAATCCTTGAGCAGGACAGGTCAATGATATTGAAGTCAACATTGGCGTCGGTGTTAACACTTTTATATCAGCATTGAGAAATTTGGGTTTAGCACTGGTCACAGGCTCTAGGATAAGAAATTATAATTGAGATGGAAGTTTGAAAGGTCCTTGAAGTCAAAGTTGTATTTTAATTCTTTATATTTGGCTTCAAATAAAATACTCTCTTTCTGATAGATTAATTGTGCTACTGTTATTTGTTTAGATTCTTTGATATAATATTATTTAAACCCATTTCAAGTGATAATTTATTATGATAAAAGTTGAAAAAAATATTCGAAAAAATGTATTTATATTTGGATAAAATTAACAATGAGTTCAATTTTTATTTATCAAAGCAATTGTTCCTCTACCAGGCGTCAGTACTTTATTTAAATGCTACGTTCTCAAAAAGTAACCTATTTTTTCAATTGCAGTAATTATACTTGTTCTTTCAAGTATTAAAAATTGTTCCAAGCTTTTTACTACAAGGATCTTAACACTCTAACCCTTTAGCACCCAAGTAAGTGGCATAGAAGTGACCTTTTATAGCCAACAAATGCATACCTAAATGTGGGGACCGGATATCCCTGGGCAGGACAGATAAGCGTAGCAACTTCTTCATCAGAACGAACGGTCACTTCGAGAGTTCTCACGGATACTCCAGAAAATTTAGGCTTCGTGCTTGACATAGGTTCTACCCCATCATTAAAAAATTAGATCCTATTAAAATTCATGCTTGCAGAATACTTGGAAAGGAAGTGTAACAAAGTATCGATTTACCTGAATGCTGGCACAGGAAAACCTTGTACTGGACATAAAAGTGTAGTGGAACCACTTGAATAAACACTAGGATTGGTGGACTTCACATCCAAAGAAGTCAACTTTGGCTTTGTACTTGAAACTGGTTCTGTATTGCATTGGGAATTGAATTCGCAAGTGGAATAAGAAATAAAAATAAGAAAACTACTTGCAAGAAGATATAAATAATCTTATATCCGACTTACTTAAAGACTGGGACAGGATATGCCTGTGCTGGACATTGAAGAGTTACCCCACGGCCTTGAATAGTATCAAACCCACGAGTTTTATCAATAGTGGAAAACTTAGGCCTGGCCAAGCCAACAGGTTCTGTTGATATAGTGATACACACCCCAAGGGTTAGAATAATTTATAGAAGAGTATTGATCACTTCATACACACCGGGACAGGGTTGTTTTTACTATAGAGAAACCTACCTAAACATAGCAACAGGGTATGCTTGAGCAGGACAAAGCAGAGCGAAACTTGAACTCTCGACAACACGTACCCCAATGTCATTAACTGATGGGAATTTTGGTTTTGAACTTGATGCGGGTTCTGAAGAAAAAAAGCAATTAGGAATTTTTCTACAAGGTGATAAAGTATATAATGCTGGAAGAGGGTAGTCCCTTATCAAATATTTATCAACGTGAAATGTTTAATGACTTGCTTCATGAAGTAGATCAGTTAGGACCTACCTATAAAGAGGCACTGGGAAGCCTTGAGCTGGACATAAAAGAGTTATGCCTTTCCCCAAAGCAGCAGCGAATCTTAAGAGATCACTTGGACCGGATATTTGTGGTCTAGCACTTGATGCCGGTTCTGAATGTATTTTTTATCTCAATAAATCTCAAAATGTGTACATGATTACCTGTATGATGGGACTGGGAATGCTTGCGCTGGGCACAAGAGGGTCATTGCACCACCGAGAACCACCCTAAAGGCTTGTGAATCAGCCAATGTTGGAAATTTAGGTCTGGCACTTGCGACAGGTTCTACACAGCGTTAAAAATCCTAAGTGAAAAGCGAGAACTTGAACGAGCAGAGTATCACGCGAGGGTTCGATCACTTTGTCATGAATTGATGTCATGCATCAGATATGACTTTTATAACATATAATCAAAGAGAAGTCGAATATGTAAGATAAGTTTTAAAATGACAGTACCTAAATGCTGGAACAGGAAACGCCTGGGCGGGACAGAAGAGTGTCTGCGTGTAACCTTGACGAGCAGTGAAGGCTCGCATTGTATCTAACATGGGAAATTTTGGTCTGGCACTTCCTACAGGTTCTGTAGGAAAAGCAGCACGCGAAATGAATGTCGATCAAATGTCAATAATGATAAAGGTACCGTCAAATCTATCTAAAAACAAACACTTCAAGATAAAAATGCTCTATCATGGACTGATACTCAAACATTTCTTGCATTTTTGTTAAATCAAAAGAAATTCTTGTTGAATTTCTCACAGTGAAAGTATTTCCAGTTTCTGAACTTAAGAATTTCTTTGTAGTTGATCAATAAAAAAATAATTATCACATCATCATCATCATCACTATTACCAGGAATAGTAAGTCTTTAATTGAATCAATTATATCAAAATCAATCAAAGTAGTTTAGTTGAATTTTGTATCATAAAAAAATATATAATGTTCAGAATATTTTTTCCAATTTATAGCATTAATTAAATTATTCCAATTAAAATTACTTCCACGTTTCAACTCTGGAATTGACATGTGGTCGAGGAGGCATTCATTTGAAATGAGAGACACTAGGATAATTAAAGTTCCACATATTTTGAACACTAATTTAAAACAAATATTTGAAAACAATAAATAAATAATAATATTTAGTATTATATTTCCAATAACACGACTTAATAATTCCTAAATGTTTTTATAAATAAAAATAAAAATACTTCAATACTAAAAAAATCTTTTGTTTGTTTTCTTTTCAACTACAAAGAAATTTTTTCAAGGGTAATACAGTCCATGGTGACTGTGATTGATAGACATTGAATGGGTTGGCTTTCAATGAAGAATTGGTTCGTAAAAGGTGAAAGAAAGCTAGCAGTTGGTTTATCCACTCTTTCAAAGTTAGAATCTAACTTATATTGAAGTTTCTTTAAGATAGGTTTGACGGTAAATAATTGCAAGGGATACCTCGAGTCCAAACAATTACAGAGAAGAATGCATTACCTGAAAGCCGGAACAGGAAAAGCTTGTGCTGGACAGAACAGAGTCAAAGGTTCTTTGTAGTTAACTGAATAAGCTCGCAACTTCTCAGTCATGGTAAATTTGGGTTTGGCACTAGCAACTGGTTCTATATGAAATGTACAACGACACCATCGTGTCAAATGATACGATTTTAAATCAGCGATTATAATCCTACCTGAATGCAGGAACGGGAAACGCTTGGGCTGGACAAAAGAGTGTCTGCATATTGCCAAGACGAACTGTATATGTGCGGGATGTGTCCGTCATTGGAAATTTTGGTCTCGCACTGGCAACAGGTTCTACACGGAATAATGAATGATATAAAGCAGGAACACGATAAGATAAAGTAAAAAAAAAAGACAGCTTAGAATTGTCATAACTGAATAAAATAATGAAGAAAAGCAACAGAGCAAGCGAGAAGCAAAAGACATTCACACGAAATGCCGAGGTGTGACTTGAATTTATGATTACATGTTTTGTATATTTTTAGACAGAGTCGAGTCATATATACCTGAAGGCTGGAACGGGAAATGCCTGAGCTGGACAAAAGAGAGTTAAAGGTTCACTCGAGTGAACTGTGTAGGTACGCGAATTCTCCGTCATCGGAAATTTGGGCTTTGTGCTGGCAACCGGTTCTATTTCAAAAGAGAAAAAATAATACAAACATGATAACAATCATTTCCAAGACTAAGTAAGCTCTAGAGTCTATCAAATAAATATACATCAATCTCCATCCTTGGCTATTTAAATATCAATCTTCTTTCTATCATAATATTTGGTTTAAATTACTCTGCTAATGATGACGTAATACTTGATATGTAAACAAAGGATTATTTCAGTATATTAGGGAATTGACTTCTTACCAGTTCTCAAATGAGAATGTGCTACTCATCAATATTGCTATCATGAAGTCACGGTGGTAAAAATGTAGCAAGAAAAGGAGAAGCAGAAGGAATCGAACAATTGACTTACTTGTACTTGGGAACGGGGAATCCCTGCGCAGGGCATAGCAACGTCACGGAACCGTCCATCGTTGTGCGGAAACTTCTTGAATCGTCAATTGTCGGGAACTTTGGCCTCGCGCTCCCGACAGGCTCTAATTAAGGTAGTATGGGTCAAACAGTCGAATTAACTTGTTAGAATCTTTTTTTAAATAAAAAAAAGCTACAACTTGGTTCAGTTTAAGAGTAAGTATGTACATTTTTTAAAATAAATATCTCATTTTATTTCATGTATACTTTATATTTTATCATGGTAATTTAATATTGATTTTCAGAATTAAGTAATTAATTAATTTGTCTTTAAATCATCTGTTGTATTGGTAAAAATTAGTTTCAAATATTTCTATCCATACTTGATAAATTTCTCTATATTTTTAGTTTCTGCTTGATTTATTGATGAATTTAACTATGATATCTTTTGCTAAAAATTTTTTTTTGAACATCACTAGTTGTCTTCTGATTGGAATTAAAAGAAAATATACAAAAAAAAATTTTCTAATTAATATTTTTTATAGTTTATTAGTAATTACTTGATCAAATGGTCCATGAAAAAACCCATACTACCTTAAGTTTATTACTAACTATAGGTTCGATATTTTATTTTCCATAATTTGATTATTTGCAAACAAAATTACCTGCCTTGTGGCGGAACGGGGAACCCCTGTATCGAGCGATACGATATCGTATGCTTTTTTCTCATTCATTATAGATTACAACCACCAACCAACCATCAATATGTGACCTGTATTTCATCACTAAACATCTCTTGAACCTCCTGCCTATCTTTTCAGAAATTATGTTGAATATTCATAACAGTATATGCCATTGAGATTTATTAGAAAGCAAGATTTATTTCAGTCATTTATTTTTCAAAGTGTCTTTATGATGTGACCCAAATGTTAGACGTAAGCCCATGAACTTACCTTGCGCCCGTAAATAACTTAGCAAAAATATTGAACATACAATATTAATTGATCATCAAAAATACACAAAGTAAATTAATTAAGAGTCAGTTGATGACATGAGAGTGCGAGAGCAAAGTTGAAATAAGTTTATTTATATTATTTGTAATGAGGGAGATCGCGAGAGAGCCGCAGTGACACGTTCGCGAGCACATGTATTTTTTGCAACAAAAAAGCGGGCGCGGTGGCGCGTGCCCGCAGGGGTACCCTGTCCCAGCATTCAGGTGATTGTCAACGAGCTTGGTCCATTCATCAATCGACACTCGAGCTGTCTCGTGTACTCCCACCCTCATTGACCTCTATAGAATCTTTTTTAATACTTTTTTTTTGTCTAGACCGATGCTTATCTCAAGATCTTTATGACAGCATCGTTCAATTCCAACTATTATATAGTCTGGACAATATTGATATGACGATAAAAAATGACAAATGGTAATCACATTTTAAAATTACTCTTTAGAATCAATAATTTTGTTTGTAATAGAAATTTTTTTTAAACATGTTATAATTATAGCAAAAAAAAATTTACTAATGAAATCCGTCAAATAGGAGAAGTTTAAAAACATGTGGCTAATTTTTTAGAACCTCTATACTGTATTGTGCCATTGTAGATTTTTTAAAATAATATAATATAATTATTATTGGCTTGATAGATGATTAGGCTGACACAAACCCTCGAGAAAGAAATTTTGTTGAAAATGAATGCTTCTTTGATGTCAGCTTACATGTGATAAAATTTAAAAAAAAAATATATCTAAAAACAACCCTTCAGATGTTGATTACTGTATTGCAACAAGTAGATTTCAAACTTCAAAATCGCAATGTTGATTTTTATCAAAGGTACTATGACGGCTTTTTATTTGACGAATCCCGAATAATAAATTTTTTGAATGAAAGTAATTTTCATGGTAAAATGATTTTTACATAACTTGTTTTTGAATACATGAATATTCACCAATTGTGTTATCAATATTGTTCATACTAAAAAATAAAAAAAAACCTCTGCAAGGAACTAAATTTAAAGTACTAGTTTTTTTAAAATTGAGCAATTTTGAAATTTAAACAAAGGCTTTTATGATGAAATATAACAGCTGAACCATGATATTAATAATAATACTTAAAAAAAATGCAAATAAAAATTGCAATAATACAAATAATGGTTCATGTTCCATGAAAAAATATGTGCATGTAAGTCAAGAGGTCACTCAGTTACATGAAAACCCAGTAAAAGTTACTCCGAATTTGGTTTCATGTCCAAATAATGTTGATAAAATAAAAATAACTAAATTGCCCACTTTTTGGTCTAATTTTCAAAACATTCTTCAACATACGTGTGAGAAAATTATAGATCTATAGCAGCACGAAAACAGCTATGATAGCATTATAACTTTAATCTAGATCCAAGCTCGTTGACTATGCGATTATGATATAGATCAAACGATAACATCGTTTGACATGAATTCGTGCATTGAAACGATATAAATTCTTTTGAACTAACTGAAGACATTTTTTCACTATTTATTTTTTTTCATGTTCTATTATCAACCAAAGGTATTTCTTTAGTATGTTTAAGTACTTTTAATTCAATTTTGCATATTAATTGCAATCATGTGTATCAAATCACTTGATGTCTTTACATAGACTACAACAAGAATCAATATCGTTCCACTGCCACGTGCCAATTGTATGAATTCAAAGTCTAGACATTGAAACTCTCTCTGCCATGTATTTTTTGGTGTAACATTTCAATTGAAATGGAGATCGTCAAATACCATTGAAAAAATCTACAAAAGTAAAAGTTAGAATATCTCTTTTTTATCATCAAAGTCAAATAATTCTAGATCAATTCAAAGAAATTTTTATCTCAACAAAAATCAATGTCTAGACTGAGATCAGCATCAATAATTCTGACTAAGTGTTAGGATTTAATTTGCTATTTTTTTTAGAAACATTAATTACTCTAAATGATAAATGAAAACTTAGACGTGATTAAAAAAGTTTTCTTGACATTTTTATTAGTTTTCAACATCAATGACTGATAATGAAGAATAAGTCAGAATTATTATTGCTTTTATGATTGAAAGTAACTGAGTAAATTGAATATTCTGACTTACCGGTGATGACAAGTCTTCCTTTGGTAGCTGATAATCTTGTTTCTCCAGTGAGTCTATGTTTTGTACGACATTGGTAAGTTTTATATCCATCTTCAGGTCCAACATCTCTAATGTGCAATTCACCAGAAGGTAAGACCAAGTATTTACCATCTATTCAACATCAGAAACATAAATTAGTTGATGAACATTAACTTTTAGCATAACTTTCTCATGTAAAAAAAATTTATTCAGCTTTTAAATCAGATTTAAATTGGAATAATGAAAAATAAAAATACAAGATCTGTTAAGAGCTATTGAAAGAGCATCACATTTATTTAAAATTCTCTAGATGCTCTAATAAATGCTGCAATAAATTTCTTTCACATAAAAAAATCGTAGGAAGATGATAGAAAGCATGCATCATGCATCATGCAAAATTACACCGGTCCTGGTTTATAAATACTCCGGTTATAAATAAATGAGTCATAAAAGTATTGAAGCAGTAGAAATATCGAAGAGAATTGCTGCAGTTAATATCAAAAATTCATTTTAAATATATGGAATTTCTCTCTTAGCAATCATTGATTCTATCAACACTTTTTTTGCTCCAAATAAAAGGCATTTGATGATATGAAAAACATTTCTCTTCAACATTCTAGGTCTGGAAAATTATTCCTACACTCTTGAGTAAATCTATTCATTTAAATACAATTTAATTAAAATAATTAAATATTTTTTTTCTCAATGCAAGTATATTTTGTGATAAAAAAATCATTCAGTATCAAGTTAGGAAGAATTCAAGAGTATTGGAGTGAATTTTCCAAGACAATTGCGTTATGAAATGAATGTTGATCAATTGTCTAGCATGCAATCTTTTATTAAATAAAAATGCCACTGAATTCTATTCAAACATCTTTTTAGATAGATAATAAAATTCCTTTCTCCAATAAAAATAATCTTTTGATGTTCAAGTGGCACTTTTAAACAATATTACTTGTTTCCAACACAATGACTTTACAATGAGAGGAATAGGGATAAAAATGTTGATGAAAGAAAAAAGGGGAATGTTTGGAGTTGGAGTTGAAGTAGGAAAATGGTTAGAAAAGTTCTGGAACAGCGCGAGCAGCGGCAGTCAACGTCTTACGAAAATAGCGATCAATTACATCGCAGTGAACTAGTTTATTATCAAATAAAATATGCACAAAGTTCATCGCGTGACGGACGGCCGGATTAAACAATATTGTCAGTAGCTCAGTAAGATGATACTAAAAATGAAAGCTCAAAAGTTCAATAAAAAGTTTTAAAGCTCCATTAAAGGGTTTAAATAGGTCTTCCAACTAAATATGAGGTAAGATAAATTTTGAATAACCTAAACTATCTTATTTAACTCACTGTCTTCTTCAAATATCTATTCTATTTTTTATTACTAAAAATATAACCTAAACTACTTTTCTTTATATTTTCAGATTCATCTGCTTTACTGGTAAATCAATAATTCACTTTCTCCTGCTGTTATCTCCTACGGTTCAATTTCTCGAACATTATCGGACTAGTAAAAAACAGAAATCTCTATCAAAGCTTTAAGCCGACCGCGAATCCCTGACTTTGACAAGCAATCTTATGCCAAACGCTTCCTCATGTATTCTTTCTCCCTTCCTCATCGTCTGCATCTCCAACATCCAAGCTGTCTGTTTTCATAAGACTGGACATTTCTAACAGGAATAAGAATTGAAATAAAATTATTACAAAAGCACTGTAGGAGAAAATAAATCATTTTCTTGACAATTTTTAAATTGATATTTCCAAGACTTAATGAATATTTCATCTACTTTAAATAAGAGATACTCTCTTTTCTTGCGATTATCTCAGAAAAAGCTTTTTCTGAAGAATGAAAAACAGTGTATAAAATTGAGGATTTATCTGTCGTCTTGCTAGAACTGACATAATGGTGCTAAGAAAATTGTATTCTATCAAGTGAATTTGATAAGACAAAAAAAAAAAAGATTTAATTGTGATGAATATTTTTTAAATCTTTTTTATTTATTTATTTAAATAAAATGTATTTAAAAAAATATATATATTTCTATGATTCAATTCTACTTGATTTTGTAAATTTAAACAAATTTTATATAGTTTACCATTTTTTCTTTACTGAATAATTTTCTCAGTGTGTAAAAATAAATTACTTTATCCAAAAATACTTAGCCAAGAACCTGTTTCCAATCAATAATAATTTTCATTTATGACTTTCCCTTTAACTGGATAAATTTCTCAACCCATCGATTTCACAGACCGTAACGAGAAAGGGAGAAAGAGAGAATGAACGTGAGAACATGATGAGTTACAAGCCATAAATAAAAATAAAAAAGAGAAGAGTAATATAATACAGCGTATATTGGCAAAATGAAGATTAATTTATCACATTGGTCACGAACGGAAATGAAACCTATTCGCGATGCATAATAATATAACGGATGATCATCAGAAAGAATAATATGGCTTTGAGGTGTATAAATGATACCGTAATCGGCCGTAGGATAAATATCCCTGCTTTCGTCCTCGACCCAAGAGTCGACCTCGACAAATTCAGCAACGAAGCTTGGAATGTGACACTTGATTATTGCAGCATTGCCCCGCAAAACGTGCTCATCCATCACGTTCACTGCATATCGCTGCCCGACAACTGTAACCAGATACCATTTTCCCCTTTACAACATTCGATCAGGCCATCATGGTCTTGGAGAATCATGGTCATATTTTCATTTGGGTCATATGATATATCAAGCAAATTAGAATGAGTTTATTAACATGGTAGTCATCTATATCAAATAGAATCTTTCACTTCATTCACAAGCCTAGAAATGGTAGGTTGCTTCATGGAACTTTAAGATGACCATTTAGGAAAACGAGAAAGTCTAATGCTCTTAAATCACAACAAGCAATAAAAGAATTTAAATAATTGCAATAATAGATTCTTATTGTTTGAATGAAAATAATAAAATTGGATTGTATATGGTGATCAGAATAATTGATTTCTACTTTTCATCGGTGGATTAACATTTATCACAACACATCGTAAATTGATACTTTGATGCTAAACAGGATTAAATTATAATTCAATTACTGATTAAAACTTGGATATTAAATCAAATAAACTTGGTAAATTAATTTATTGTTGAATAGAAAAAGATATTGAAATTGATATTAAAGTTCCAATTAGCAACCTATGTTCCATTTCCCACAAGCTCCTACCATATGAATTTTCATCATTATCATCAGCTTTGTAATTGCCCCCAGCAGAATCAATCCATCCTGCTACATCCACGTGATCAGCAACAAAAGATGGTACCTGACATTTGAAAATAGCTGCATTGCCACGAATCGCAAAGACATCATACACTTGAACTTCAAAGTACTGCGAGACAACTGAAAGTCAAGTGCATGGATTTATATAGCAGATTTATTTGCTTGAATCATCAAAAAGATGAACTCTAAAATTTTAAAATGGTTAAAATATATTTTTTCTAATTAAATGTCAAACGTTGACTACCGCTGATGATCGATGTTAATAATGTCATGTTGAATTAATTAAAAGAAAGTTTTCTGGAGTTGTTAATTAAATATCTAGCATAACATTTATTTCATCTTCCTATCCGTACCCTTTTCTTCGTCACTATTCGCTTGGTAACTAGTACCATCGTCCGCGACCCACTCAATAACATCAACGAAATCGGCAACAAAACTTGGCACGAGACACTTTAGTGTCGCTGTATTACCTCGCAACACGAACTCATCAATTACTCGACTCTCGTAAAACTGCTGAACGACTAAAAGAATCAAAAGAGAAATAAATGATTTATCTTAAAACTCTTTGAATGGAAAGTTGATTAAATATTTTTAGAACAAATAGAATGAAAATAAAAAATAGTAAGTATCTATATGTGTAAGACGTTGATGTCGATACCCAACTGTTTCCCTCAAGTCATTGACTGTTGGCTGTAATGATAAATAAATGCAGATAAAACTTTTGTACTTTAGCGATAAAATTACAACGCTATTCATGATGGAATAAACTCTTTTATCACCACTAATTAATTTCCCATTAGAAAGTTATTGTAATGGAGTCAATCTTTGAAATTCGTCATTTTGTCATATCTTTACGTTTTGAGACTTTTGAAAGCATATTAGGAAATTTAAAAATAAACGTACGTACGTGCAAACAACAAAAGACTGTAAAATAGGATGAGTAAAAAAAAATATTTGAAATAGATTCTACTTATTTTGAGTAATTAATATTGTTGAAAGCTGAGCTCAATATCAATACAGTATGAATGTTCATGACTTTGCATGACTCTAAACAATTATAAATTGTTTATAAAAATTTCAATTTGTTATAAACCAAGAAGAACTTAAAGATGACAAAATTACGAATTTCAATAAATGGAAAGTTCGTGCGTTCAGATCCATTTTTACATTTGTAACTATCAAGTTACCATAATCCCTATCCTCAGCTCTATAAATTGTTCCATCATCAGCTATCCATTGATCCACGTAGATAAACTCAGATACAAAACTTGGTATTTTGCACTTCATTATAGCACTGTTTGCACGGATTACATATTCATTCTCGGCCTCCGTCACGTAGAACTGCGACACGACTATTTGTGCACAAACACATGTTAGATATTAATTTACTAAGTTAACTGCTGCCTTTTAATTAAAATTAATTCTAGCTTTTTATCAGCTATTTCAATAATGATTCTTTTACTTGAACTTGGGAGTTTTTCTTCATGAGAAAAATAAAATAAATGAATGAGTAGTGTTAAACATGGACATATAAATTTGACAAATTCAAGTACCCTGCCCAGAATTCACACCCTGCTGATTCTCAGGAAGATAAACCTCCCCATCTTCACGTATCCAAGCCTCGATGCTCACAAATTCCGCAATATAACTCGGTATACTACACTTCAGAATAGCACTGTTTCCTCTAATGACATATTCCGTCATTATTTCTGGCTGATAAGTTTGTGCAACAACTGAACAAAATTGATCAATATAATTTGAAACATATGGTCTAGAGACTTTAAAAATAAGTACATACATTTTTTGATAATATCATTTATATTAAAGTGTAATATTTAAATTTATATTTAAATAAACTAACTGAACATAAAATATTCATTTTTTATTTCAACTAATTTCCTTGAATTCTTTGAATACATTAATTTTTCATAAAATCAGAAACGAAATTTATAAATGTTCCTAATTTCTTTGGAGTATATATTTTTATAAAAGAAGTTGCATAGCACAATTCTTTTTATTGGACTTAAAAGCTTGAGCTTTTAGATTTAAAATCATTATTTTAAAAATGTCTCACAGCTTCCATGACTTTCATCAAAAGAACGAAAATAATATGCCAGTGCATCACATGTTATCTGAAGATAAGAAAAGACTTCTATCTTTTGAATACTTTTATAACGTAAAAAGTGTACACAAATATGATTGTACGAAAGTAGAATAAGCAATTTAAAGTTAGAACATAATATTTTTTCATACTACAGCAATACTTGAGTTTAAAAATTTTTATTTCATCACTATTAATCATTCTTGATGATAAAAAAAAAAAGAGGTAACATTAATGTTTGCCAAGTGATGTTTCATAAATTTTAAAACATTTGAAAATTGACTTTAGAATCAAGATACATAAATATCAGTTAGATCAGAAGATTTATCAAAACTCAATCATGACAGTTTGTTGAAAGAATTTCAAGTTTACTTTTTTACAAGAATTTGTTTCACAACAATTTAATCCTAAATCTTGGAACAGAGAGATTGTTTTTGCTGTGAACTAGGATATCTTGATGAAAAAGGAATGCAGAACATTAATAAAATAACTCTAGTTCAACTAAAAGTGCAAACTTTCTATCTAAATAAGAAATACTGCACTGAATAGTTTCTAGGAAAGATATAAAGCAGAGAAAATCAACAAAATTAGATAATAGTTCAACTCTGAGTCTTTGTGAAGAATGTTCACACTCCAAAAAATCCCCAGAGCTTTTCAAAGTGAGAATAAAGTTTAAATTCATTATAAATTATCTTAAGCAAATAATCATTATTTATTTAAGAATAAAAATGATTTTTAACTTTGCTTAACAACATATTTGTTTTCTAACTAATGTGAAAGTTCATGATCGATTAGATCTTATTGAATTAAATTAAATTGGTCATTGTCGCTGCCACCGCTTTCGTGTTCCCTCTAACAGGAATTTAATTAACAAAGCAACAGTATTTAGTCACTTTGCAATTTAAATGGAAATATAAAGAAGCAAAGAGAAAGATGGCCACGTGTATAAGTATGCGGAAGAGATACCATAGTCAGTAGATGGTTTATATCTTGAACCATCACTTCCCTCCCAAGATTCTACGCTCACGAACTCTGCTACGAAGCTTGGTATGGTACACTTTAATATTGCTGCATTTCCTCGTATAACATACTCTGACACCACTTCTGCTTCGTAGTACTGCACCACAACTACGAATCAGTTAGATTTATTATTATTATTATTTCTACTTTTTAAAATTCATTTTGTCTTTTTTTATAGCATTATTTCCATAAATACTCAGCATCTCAACAGTTTTTCATCCAATTTTTTTTACCTTCTACTGCTTTAATTATACTTTCTATTCTTCATGACGAATTAAACTGAGTTTTTGATGTTGGATTATGCTCCAGATTTTGGTTCTTAGTTTAGAAAATAAAATAAACAATGAAAAAGAAGAACTAGATGAGAAATAAAAATAAACTGATTGTTTTCAGAATACTTCATAGAAGACTATTATGGACTATCACCAAAGAGTCCACCGTTTATTTGAAAACTTAAATAAACCCAAATCATTCTCTTCAATATTTTAACAATTATCAAACGTTCAGAACTAATAATAATTTCAAATCTAAATTTTCTAAAATTATCTGAAAATTAAATGATTCACGATTCGTTGACGTTGATGCTGCTGCTCTAGAACTGTCTTTTATGAGGTCAAATCTAAAGTAAAACTCTCGCTACATGTTGATGGAGCTAAATTTTTAATATACCATTATCTTCATCAGGATTAAATGAGTTGCCCTGATCATCTTGCCAGCCAACTACTTGCACGAATTCAGACACGAAACTGGGTATGCTGCATTTAAGAATAGCAGAATTACCACGAATTACGTACTCGTTGTTCACCTCGGATTGGTAGTACTGATGAACCACTGGAATGCATTTATGGAGGTCATCAGTCATTGTTATATATTTGATATAATCACATCATTTTGCAACCCCCCCACGTTCAATATAAAAGTCTAACAAGAGACATTGAAATAAAACAAATCAAACTTCATCAATGTCATCATTGAATTACTTTGAATTTATTATCATTTTTATTTGCATTATTATGCTTAGCTCATCCTATAATAATTAATCAACCTCTACTGTCATCTAATTAATCTGACAATAAGATTCCCTAAAGAATTATTATTCACAAGTTTAAAAACAAATGAAAAAATTCAATTAATGACAAAAATTCAGCTTTCAATTAAAAAAAAAAATAATAATAAATATATATTTATTTATCAGCATGAATACTTGTACTTATTGAACCAACTTTGATCAAATAAAAAATTGCTTTTACTGCCTACGACCATTGAACCAAGTTTCTGCCTACGTAAAATTGACGACAACGAACCTATATGAGAAAAGTGCTAAATAATTACAATCAATATTTTCAATAATTCACCACAAAAATTAGCAGGTCATTTTGATGCTTTTCAAAGCTTTTACAGTAGATTACTTTATCTTATTAAACCCTACATGAATAAATAATTAAATTTCTTGTTAACTCATAACGATCAACTAATCAACTTCTTTACTCTCACGATACTAATGTATTAATTTTACAAAAATTGTCTCACTACACCACGTCCGTCACAACGTTATGAACAATTAACTATAAATAAAAGAGACCAACAAAGTTTAACCAGACGTTGACAACAGCTTCTTAGCATGAATTAAAAAATAAATCATGTCATTTATTCTTTAGGATATCGTGGGCAGTATAAATAAAGTTTCATATGTGTACGTTTTAAAGCTTGTCTCTTATCGTCCTTTTATTCTCTTCCTGTCTCTTCTTCATTCAGATAGTATGTATGATAAAATGCACCAAATTGACATGACACTACTTGGATATAATGTATATACACACGTACATAATACACGCCAATTATTTCAACGGGTATACCAGCAGAAAAATAACGAGTTGAGATCAACATTAACGAGACGCTTGACGCGTATCATACATAAAAAGAAAAAAAGTCAAAGGAACTTAACTAAACATGAAGTTAAAATGTATTTGTATTTTATCTTATTCATTATTCTTCATATCTCTAGCAAACATTCACAAAATTTTATTCACGTCTGACTTTAATGAAGATCTAGGGATGTCTGTATTTAAATGTCCGATAGCAATATTGTTAGAAATGCATTTTTTTTAGAGCGAACTAGAAAGTTTGATAAGATTTGATTTTACTATGATTAGAAAGCTCAGAATTTGTATAAAAAAATTATTTTATTTTATTATGAATTCTTTCTAGCTTCAATTAAGACAAAACATCTCTTTTTGATGACGTAATCTGCCAATAACTTTTGCTAGGAATTTTCTAGGGGAAATTCAGTTATAACTTAGCCTTAACATATGAACCATTTTGCCCACGATATCACACTTTGAATAATCACAACTTAAAGATTATATTTAAGAAATAAAATATCAGACACTTGAATCAAGTGTACCATAATCATCGCCCGGAAGAAACTCCTCGCCCTGATCGGTGTGCCAAGAGAGCACTTGAACAAAATCAGCAACGAATGATGGTACAGCACACTTGAAAATTGCACTGTTACCCCGAATAGCATATTCCTTGTTCACATCAGTATCATAGTATTGCGCCACCACTATATAAATACAATACAGATTAAATAAACAAAAATAATTAAAATTATATTCAAATGACATAAAAAAAATAAATTAATTTTATATTTATCAAGTTATAATATCTTTCAAACTTATCACTGTATTCACTATCTATAACAGCTCTGAAACTTGTTAAAACATGATGAACTTCAGCTAGAAAATAGATCTCAATTTTAACTTCCTACAACACAATTAGCAGCACTAATTTAACCGAGGGAACATCAGCTATACGGCGGTGGCGGCGCAATGATGACCCCATAACACGACGCTCATTTAATTCCATAAAAACTAATAAAAGATAAAACATTCGCGACAAAGCAATGTTCTTTTTTTGCCATCTAGAGTCATTGCTCAATGATCTTATCAACGCTAAGTCTCATACTGCAACTGTAACTTTACGCCTGACGTTATAAATACTTGGAGTCTATTCACAACATTTTTTCCAATTATTACTTTGTTTAGAATAAAAAATCAAGAATGAGCTTGCCTCCTAATTAGTCATATCCTACCTGATGAACAAAAATATCATTCAACTGAAACATTGACAAAACTAAATAACATATGTTTCGAATATAAGATGATATAAGAGTTGGATTCTCCACAACTCTTAACAGTAGCACCAGTACTTCCGGTGGATCATGAACGTATGAATTATACGTCTGCGCACAAAGAAAGTATTTCGGATGCAATAAAAGATCATCCAACTTCCTGTAAGAATAGTTATTTCTTTTGGACGTATTCCCTTATATATCTCAAATGAAATTAGATTTTTTGAATTACATTTTATTATTAATTTTATTCAATCATTTTATTATGCAGTTAAAATGAATCTTTCTAAAAGCTTCAAATATTTACTTATCTAAAAAAAAGAGTAATAAACTAACTTGAAAAGTAATCACTATCCATTTGGAGTGCTAATTAAATTTATTTAATTGAAATAAATGTCCAACTTATTCAAAGTCGACGTTATCTGAAATGACTTTGTTTTTTTTTATTTTAAAAGGGAATACGTCAGTAAATAGAGATATTTTTCTCTATTAAATTTTATGAGATAATTTAAAGGTACAGGATCTCACCTGCTCGAACATTAACATCTCGACTATGTACGGATCCAGCAGAAGAAGTAGCAAGACAACTGTAAACTTGAGCATGAACTTCCTGACGGTAATCTTCAGCTCGGAATGGAGGGAATACTAAGTTTCCATTAGGTAGCACCTGTAAGTAATAAAACAGTAAGTACCATGTCGTATAGATCCCATCAATCCGAACAAATGTTGATAAATCGTGACTCTACTTGACTCGAGGCTATATGCAATCAACGACCACCACCAAAGAGACACATAGTGACAACAGCCACTTGAACTTCTTATGTATATACGTTTCTCTTCCGGGTTGGACGACTTGCCCGAGATTACTTTGGTTTATTTATTTAGATTATTTGCACAGCTTACCATGCATATTTTTACCATGAAAAATTGAGGGCGAATTTCAAGAAATGATACTACAGAGATAATTTATTTGATTTTTAAGTAACTTTTGACGTTGCAAAAAATTTTAACATAAATTGTAGTGTAATTTTAATATTTAAATTAGTTTGTCAAAATAAAATATTCAATTTCTTATCAAAACCATTAGCAAAATAAGCACATAAAAATGTGAATTAAAATAACGCTTTACTAATTCAATAAATGATGTTGTAATTAACTCAGCTATGTTGAATTTAGTATTTATAAAAACAAAATCGAAATAGAAACTATAGCAATTAACGAACTAATTTAAATTTAAATGAAAGTCAAAGATAATAACCTGTCGTAGTCCAGGAACATCTCCAACAGCAGTTCCATCAGCACGAACCCAAATAATGTCCGGTTGGGGATTTCCTCTTGCTTGGCATTCAACTTCTGCTCCAGTTCCATTAGAAAAGTCCACACGATTTGGAGGTTCCTTTACAAATACGGGTCCCATTAATTGATCCTCAGCTAATGCCACTACAAACAATGAGAAAACCATTAACATACTGGAATGGTTGATTAGCACTGAATATTGATGTCTGTTGGATTATACACCTTATAGTTATGGGTCAATAACCTACAGGTGTGATTATTTTACACTTCACACCACTTGCATTCTTCGATTATCAATACCATAGCTATTAATATCACACGTATAAAAAGCATTCTATTTATGAAGAATTATTTATAAATACATATCCTATTTACTTTGAGAAGTGTATTCCTAGTCAGTCAACATAATAAATTTAATAGATGAAAAAGTAATTTTGAAAATAAGAACTGGCGTGTGTGTGTGACAAAAAACTAATCAATTTTTCATAAGATTTACATTTTAAGGTTGAGCTCAAGGGAGTTGACCCCTTACACTTCATTAAACTCATTTTGACCAAGCTTCAAAGATGGGGATATTGATGTTAAACTAATTTGGCCCAAGTATTGTAGCAACAGAACATTTTTTCTTTGTGATATAAGTGAATTATTGAATTAGTATGTTTCTTTATGTATCAAGTTCCAACTTATTATGATAAAAGCCAAGTTGTATTTGAACTCATAAAATTTCTTGTGCCTTCTATGATTGAAAGATGATACAATTGTTTAGCATTTTCTTAATGGTGATTATTTATTAGTCTTTATTCCTAAATATCCTAAATGTTTTTAGCTTTTTCTTTACGTAATCAAATAAAATTAAATCTAATAAATATATTTTTGCAACGAATTTGATCAAATAAAAAGAGACTATTAATGCTCGTCGACTCAATGATTCTTTTTAAACGAATCTTCTCAAGCGCGTGCTAGCTGACATATACAGTGGTAGCTACACACAATAACTCATAACTGACGTACTTTGTCAAGGACCAAGGACATTCTCTTTACCAACGCAAGGCTTACATTCACCCCAACAAAAAGCACTTAATACAGTCCCTATGTTAGAACTGGAGGGTTTCAACTCGTCATTCAACAATGAAACCTACGAGATGTTTCCTATTCTTTAACTGAAAATTTTTCAATTAAAGTACTCAAACTCTTCGTTACATTCTTTTTTATTCATTCATCAAAACATAACATTTGAAGAGTCTTTTAAAATGTAAGGAATCTTTATAAAAGAAATAAAAATTGACTCCATAATTGAAAGGTAGTATAACTGTACTGATAAAAAGTTATTGACTAAACATAGTAATGAAATGGATAGTAATATTATGATTATTTGTTAGCTTGTAATTTAAATGTATATGAGAATGAAACATTTTTCAGGCTAAAAATAAAATAATCAATATTGAGTATGCTAAAAACATTGCTTTTTAGGGCAGTTTGTTTTTCCTACCAGGCAATTCCTAGCTTCAACGATCAGTGAACTCATATCAGACAATTCATCAGTAATACTCTGTTATTATCTTATTTGTTATTATTATTTTAGTGTTTAATAAATTCTAATAAGTTATTGTTACATATTTTTTGGTTCTATAAAAATTCTACAAATAAAGTCCACTTGCTTTTAATTATCGTCGATCTGTAATTTTGTGTTACTTTTCTACCATCAACTACTCGAAATCAGAATATTTGGACAGTTTGTTTTTTATTGATGCATATTTTGTACCACTTTTAACCTTTTCTTCAATTTTTTTTTTTTTTGTTAAAGTTTCTCAATAAATTAACTCAAGAATGAACCTAGATTAGTCACGATACTTAATCATAATTTTTCAACAAAATAAAACTTTTTACATTAAGTAAACTCATTTTTCAGAAAAATTTTTCTTTTTTAAAGAAAAGAAAACAGGTGATGAAAATTATTTATATTTCCAGGTTGAAAATGAATAGCACAACTTCTTTGTATTTTTCTCAATAAAAGATGAAAAGTTGAAGAATTTTTTCTCTCTCGTACCTATGATGATAAGGCCATTGAACTGAACCAAAAATATGTCATAATCTCAGATACGTATGTTTTGTATTGACACATATGCATTATTTGATGCTCTTCAAAAAGAGAGATTGAATTGAAAATAAAATTCTAGAAAAATAAAAAAAAAAATATCCAGCAAATAAATTCATTGTTAATAAATTAAATATTTGATAAAAATTTTCATTTCATTTATTTATAGAGTTCTATTTTCACGTTATACTCTCATATTTATTCATTCAAAGCCAAGTACATGAAAAAAAAATTTTCAAAAGCATAAAATAAACAAAAATTAATATTTTAATTGCAATAAAAATCATCTTACAGTTAACGAAGACGAAGGTAATGGAGAAAAGCATGATAAGATGAACATCACGCCCTCCTGGTGGTTCTCGTAGCATTCTCAACAGGCCCATTGTAGACAGGCCAAGCAGCACACCTGTAGTTGCACAAAATACACGTGATAAAATAGAAACACTTGACACCAAACTTGCACTAATTTCAGGCTAATTAAGCACAAAAACTTTTATTTTACTTTATAATTACACTTGCAATATTTTATTCATGAGCTTTGCATTTAATCATCATGACATTCTCTCAAAAATAATGATAAAATTCCTCAAATTTTATTTTTACAATAAGCCAAGAAGTAATGTGTATGATGTATATCTAATAGACTTGACAAATCGCACTTGATTACTTGATTAGTATACCACGCTAGGAGTGAATTCAATCAAATAAAATAAACGACTTCTATTTTCCAATAGACCCGAGATTTAAACTCTACTCGTCAGGACTCTATTAAAGTTGGATTTATTACTTCCGCTTTCAGTTTTGTTAATTTTTTCAATTCACCACATCTAAGTCTTCAATCAATGAATCAGAAATAGTCACACATCTAGGCTGCAAGTCAATTTTTCCTAAACCAAAAACTCTGAAAATTATATTATACCAAAAAAGCATCAAGTTAATCTAACCAAGAAAACCATTAACTTGTTAACTTTGATTGCTTGGACATGTGATTTACATTTTCTTGCGAGTATATAACAGCTTGTTGCCACATGCTCGTGATACAATTCCAAGTTGTTGGATGACGTGATTATCAAGCACGAACTTCTACCCATGAATCTTTTTATACATAAGAATGGAATTCACATGTCACGACATAACGAACCTATAGTATGTACATACTAGTAGTAGCTTCCTAACATCAGCTTTAACCTTGAATGATTCATTTTTCAACGAATCCAGTGTTCATACCATGCACATTAATAGAAACTGAGGCGTCAGTAAACTGGTCATGACAGCATTGGATTATTATCATATTAAAATCAATAAGTGAGAAGAATTAAAAAATTAAAGTTAGATGATTCAAGTTTTTTGTACTAAATGATTATTATTTTTATCTTAATGAAGATCTTGTCTAAAAATTCAGGGTGCTATCATCAAAACAGTTTCTCTTACTAGAAATTTTCCAAAAGCCTAGTCTAGCTATAAAAGAATGTTAATTTTTTATAAAAATAAATATTCAGTGAGTTCATCATGTTTCTCTCCACCACAAACATGAATGTTTGACATTTAATGATCAAAACAATTAAGTTGAAGTCTACAAAGATATCAAGGTCTACATCAGTTTATACATATTTATCATAGTTTGTTGTGATCCTTCAAGTTTAAAACATTATGTTGGTGATTTTATTTTATTGCTAAAGCGAATAATCACAAAATTAAAAATATTTTAGAAAAACTTACTCCATAACAAAAAAAAATGGTATGAATAAAAATGGCAGAGTCTAGGAAGGTTGTTAAGAAGAACTAAAACATTTCTGGCGATTTACTGAAACATGATATCAAAGAATTTAATGGTAATTGAAAAAAACATCTGCTTGTAAAAGCAATTCATTGTAAGAAATGAGGAATGAAGTCTCCTTCAGAAGTCCATAGAACTCATCACAAGTATTGATCTTTAATGTAAATAAAGTTTTTCTATCTTACTAAATAGAATAAAAATATCTGGTATTCATATTTCTAATTGTCCAGTAATCAGTGAAAGCTCAACATCAAACTATTGAGGACAAGTTTTTCCAGGACAATTAAATTTAACTAATGACAATCTGCTCCAAACTGTTACAGAAATTAATTATTGATTACAAATGAGCTTAATTCAAAGACTAGGTACCTAAACAATAACCTACAAAAGGTTCTGAAATACTCCATCATTCACGCCATGAACATCAAAATCGATTTGACCAATTCAATGGTCATTCTGATTTCTTTATTTACTCTGAACACGAAATCAGTTCGGCAATATTCTCTGAAGGGAAACTTAAAAATCCATAATTACAAAGATGAGAATCAGATATTTAATTAGATCTATATGAACAAAAGACAGGAGAGGTATTAGAAGGTAGCGTAGTTGAGAAACTTATCATACAACAGTATCAGGGGGTGCGCGTGCACGTGCTGAATAGCGTGGACGGCATGAACGAGAAGAGCGGAAGGAGGGACGACGGCTTTTGGCAGTGAGAAGAGAAGAGACGAAAAACGGAGGGTGCGGTAAGAGGGTCAAAAAGAGCGCCGGAGTAGAGTCTTGCCGTGCTCATGCTGTGGGTTTATTGATCGCCAACGCCGAGAGCCTGCTAACCGTGCATCTGCCTCCCGTGTCATATAGGCCGTGCTCTCCAGGACCGTACCAAGGCCATTTGAACGACATTTCCAAAAATATCATCTCAAAACAACCAGTTTAAAATGTACACTGCAACTTCAGTTGTTTTTTTTTTTATTTTAATTAACCTGATTTATCATCCAACAAAATGCCAGGGATAAACATTATTCCCCTCATCGATTAGTTACTTTCTTTGGTAGAAATACAGTGTTGTTGATGACAAACAGCTGCAAGAGGGTTACTTTATGAGGGTTGTTAATCCTTGGCGCAGGCGCCCTAGAAATCAGGGCCGTTACTGGTGACAATACCGCCCTCAACAAACCGGCCTGATGACTGTGATGCTGTGCTGCTACCTGCTCTCTCCTTCAGACTCAAGCAACGTGTAAACCAACTGCTCCATTTCTTTATTCCAAAAATACAAAAGACTTTGTGGTGAGTTGCAGATTTAGTGTTGATGCAACTTGATGAAAAGATAATGAAAATTTTTCAAAGACAATTGAAGTTAATCTTGATAATCTAAATGATAGTTTTAAATTCAATTCTAAGAACATTGAATTTATTTTATTAAGAAACTTGGAAATATTGTGTATATGCGAGAAACGAGTTATTCACATTCTCGTAGGAGTGACAGATGGTAAGAAATTGAGAAAGGAACGGAAGAGAGCATGAAAGAGAGAACAAGATCCGCCCTACGTATATCACCCAAACCTTAGACTTTTTCACTCTGCAATAACGCAACAATTGAGCAGCTGTGAAGAAATATTTTTTGCAGACACTTCCAACACTTGATTATCATTATAATCATCCTAACCAAGTGATATATTTTTTTATTTTTCCATTCCAATAATTCATGGCGTCATTGAATTTTCCATTGACACCCCACCCGAATTGTCACATTGACAAAACGAGTTTAATTTTCTCAATACAATCATCGATATTGACAGCTTTGACAGAAGAATCTACAATGTTTGATGAATATTTAAAACAATACTCTTGTTTATAAAATCTTAAACACTCACTTCCAATGAAAATTTTTCAACTGGTAAATGACAATAAATCAAAGTTTCTATTTGGAGTTTACTCCAATTATTTTACACTAATTTGAATTTTAATAATTCATAATAACATTAAATTATTTATCACATTGATATGCATATAAATGCAAAGCTCACTGATATAATTCACGCACGTGTATTCACCCCACACCAATCACTATAAATAATTTCCTTTATAAGAGCACACAAAGATTAAAAATATGTATAAACACTAACGAACCTTTTGACCGAAGTCTAGATGTAATTGCCACTAAAAACGCTTTGAATATTTAGCGAAAAGACCGACAATTGATTTCAGAAGGGTTAAAAATGTAACGACTTGGATTAAACACAGACGCGACGCAATTAAACGACCGATCTATTCGGTCGCCAACGCAGGAATACTGAGTTTTGCGCTTCAGACTCACTAGAGGGGTCATAGTCACTGGAATAAATATGGTGGGGATACGACGAATCAGGTTGCTCCATATGAACATCCCGGTGAATGACTTAAACGTGGCTATCGCTCTGTTTTACTATTAATATCATTATTATGTTAATATCTATTATTATTGTATTGTTCAAGATTTGATTGGTTGATTTTGATTACATTGTGTAATACCAGCATATTATTACAATGCCTTCAATTTTCTTTATTACTGTCACAAGTAATGGAATATTACTTCCAATGAGGTATTGATCATGAAGAAGCAGAGAAGAATTTTTTATTTAGTTAAAATGATTTTTCAATGATTCAATGAACTATGAAATATTTGAATAAATATATTTTAAACTTAAATAAAGTATATTTATTAAAAGTATGAAGTAACAATATAATATTAATTATTTTAAAGTACAATAATTGCAATGATGTAATGATAAATACACATTGTTATGACAAAGTTGGATCTATCGATTTTACATGTTATTAATAAAAGTCACGTTCCAGAATGTCGATGATATCATTTACACAAAAGGCGACGCATGATGATTCACATATAAGTAAGATTTGATTGGTAAAATATACACAGGCTGTTTGAATGAAAGGGAGAGGGTCGTGAGGGTAGTATGAAGTAAAATATTATATATACCTACTAGCTATCGATTGAAGCTTTTCTGCATTACATATGAATTATAAAGATCAATATTCTATTTATCTAAACGATTAATTCTTATATTTAATATAGTTCTTGTTATTTGCAGATAAAAATAGTTTTTTAAGTACATATTTTTGAAGTAATAATAATATTTAGAATCTAGAATTTGCCTTAATGGTATTTTTTTTTAATCCATCTGTAACAAAAAAAAATCATTGAATAATGCATTTTAAACTCTGAAGTAAAACTGTGTTATCGATAGAGCAGAAAATTTCATTTACCATATGACGATAATATACAAAACTGTTTGTACCGACTACAAATAATGAAAAAAATTTTGTAAAATAAAAATATCTTTTGTAATTGAAATTTAGTATTTTTTTTTGTAATTTAGCCTAATACGAAATTTTTATGACTTGTTGAATAAATAAACTATAAATGACACCAAAATCATACCTCATTGAATTTTGAGAAACCAGTGGATTTTTTTATAAAATATCTTATTGATTACATGAAATTAAACATTGTTTATGTTTATCAAATAGTTAACAAAAAAGCTCTGAGCTAGAGAAATATGTTCGAAGCTTCGAGAGTCACAATTCGATTCCGTTTTGAAGATTTTTGTTAAAAAAATATTCAAAGATTCAGGAATATTTTTTGGATCTTGTAAAAAATTCCTATCGAAATTAGGATTCGACAAGTTGCTATACATCATCAATCCCATATCCTTGCGAATAATAGATGCAGCAGCTTCAATAATCTGACGTTTCGTCGAATCATCATCATCATCAACAATTTCAGTTTTCACTTTTTTTTGCTCATCATCGATAATCAGCTGCTGATCTTGTTGTTCAGGTTGTCGTAAGTGCTTTTCTATACTCCGATTTAGCTTCATCTTCTTTAGGCTAAGTCTAATATTACTTTTCCGGTTGTAATTTGCACTACAAGAGATATGTACTGGTACTATGGAAAGATTGTTGAGTTCAAGATGTTTACCATCTTCTCTTTGTAAACTAGATTTTATCAACTGAATTATTCCTTTCTTTTTACTGAATATGTAAGCACAATCGGTCAAATTTTTCTTACAGAGAAAACACTTTTCTGCCATCCTTCAATGTGTACTATGGTCAACTATTTACAATGCTGACATTACAACTAGGATACCCAAAGATGAAACCGTTGAACATTTCATTTATCAAAAAAATATGTTATATTATAAACTCACTCATATCTAGGTTTATTATGATAAAAACAGCTGAACTGAAAGAGTAATCAAACAAAACTGAATTGTGTCTGAATTTTCCTTTACTCTATCTTCTTTCATTATAATTAACAGTGTTCTATCTGTTAGTAAACAAAGTTTAGGTTTGGGTTTGAGATGACGTAATGAAAATGCATATTAAAATGTTCAACTAGCGATGTCTGTTGGTTCACTGTCAAAACAGTGTTTAATCAAAGCAAAGAATACTGTCTTACCTAGAAGCCCAAAAGTAGTTTTTTCATGTCTCCAGGAATTTTTATTTAGTACTCCGATTACAAGATGTCTGTAGTGTACAATTTTTCGATTTGTACTCTTTGATCAAAGCCTTCTGTCAAGTGCATATATTAATACATAACCATGAAAATGATTTAAACTCTTAGATGATGCGGTTTATAAAATTTAAGAAAAAACTTTTGGATCAAAAAGTATTGGTCGATTTTCTGAAAATTTTGGAGTAATAAACTTCATGCATTGGAGCAAGCAAATAAATTTTTTTCAATTGGTAAATACTTTATCTTTTGAATCATTGGATTAGTTTTATGAAACTAATAATCAAAGGACTTGTTAATTTATTAATTATAGTGATAAAAAAAATAATTAAGGGATAAAATGGATGAAGATAAAATTTCTAATACAATTGGAATTACTTGGGCATGGAACTGGACAGATCTCTGTGGAATTCCTGGAGGAATAAGACCATTTAATCCTAATACTGATGCTCTTGGTTTATGTTTCCAACAATTATGTCTCCAAGTAATATTTTATCAATTGTCAATCCAAAATAAAGAAGATATTTTTCCAGCTAACATTTATTAATACTTGTAAAATTTTAGATACCAACTTTAGTTCTATTAGCAATAATATCTGCTTACTATTGTGGAAAAAAAAGCTCCAGGAATCTCTATGATCGGTTTTCACATTATATTATTACATTAAGACTAATAATAACAGGTTGTTTAATTATTCTGCCAATTATAAAAGCATATATTATTCTTACACATACTAGTTTTCTACCAAAACCTTCACCAAAATCAAATTTATTCAATAATGAATTAATTACACCAAATAGCAGTTTTTCTATCGGGTAAGATATTAATTTTTAAATGTTTAATAGACTTTTTTATAAATTATTTTCAATATTATTTTCAGTTCTCGCAAAACGTCAGCCAAACCGATTGATTATCTTGTTGCGGGGGCAGAAGAATTAACATGGGTGGTACATTTTTGTTTTATTTTAAGTCTCAAACGTGGGCCGAGACTTAATTTGAGAGGCCCTGTTATTATCAGAGCTTTGATATTTATGTTAATTGGAGTTTCCAGTCTTATTTTACACACTCATGTTAAAATTCATGACAAGGATCTTCTACCAAATTTATCCTTTGGATTTAGTATTTGTGTTGTTATTTTAATGTCATTGTATGCTTTAACATTTATTCCAAATCGAGGCTATCATGATCATCACTCATTTTCAAGACATTCAGAGGTAACGTTCTTATAATAGCAATATTTACTTTTAATTTTATTTTAATATTTTTTTTTTTATAAAAGCTTGGAGAACATGCATCGCTTCTACATTCACCCAATTCATCGTATGTACATTTTCCTCAAGATCAAGATCGAAATTATCTTGGAGTGGCTATGGAAAATGAAACCGTCTTATCGAAACTTTTTTTCCATTGGGTTACACCTTTGACCGAAAAAGGTATCAGAGGATCTTTAAAGCATTCTGATGATTTGTTTGACCTTCCCGAACATGTTTCTACAACATCAATTATTTTGAAGCTCGATAAATACATCCGTAAATCGGTAAAATATTTTATTATAGCAGAAAATTAATATCTACATGAATATTTATTTTTTTAAATATTATTTTCACAGCCTAGACTGAAAAGAAATACCTTTATTGATGCTAATAGAGATGATACGAAACAAGAATTATCATCTAGTAATAATATTTCTTTAATTCGACTGCTACATCAATGTTTTGGATGGCAATTTTATGGAGTTGGTATTCTAAAATTTATAGCTGATTGTTCCGGATTTGTTGGACCAATTTTATTGAACAGACTTGTTGGCTTCATTGAAGATAAAGATGAGCCACTTTCACATGGATACCTTTATGCTATTTTGATGTTTCTTTCATCAGTTATTGGTGCATTTACTATCACACATTTCTCATTTTGGATGAGTGTGGTTGGATTGAAAATTCGTAGCACAATCATCACTTTAGTTTATCGAAAAATATTACATTCATCGAGTGTTAAATTAAATCAAGAATTTACTATGGGAGAAATGGTTAATTTTATGAGCACTGATTGCGATAGAATTGTAAATAGCTGTGCTAGTTTTCATACATTTTGGAGTATTCCACTGCAATTGGCTGTCACTCTTTATCTCCTTTACACTCAAATTGGGATATCTTTTTTGACTGGGGTAACTTTTGCAATAATATTAATCCCAATCAATAAGTATATCGCTAACAAAATTGGAGAGCTTAGTGCAACAATGATGGACTTTAAAGATCAAAGAGTGAGAAAAATGGGAGAAACTTTACGAGGTTTAATTACAATCAAGTTAAATGTTTGGGAGGATCATTTTTTGCAAAGTATTTTGCAATTAAGAGATGAAGAAATAAAGTATTTAAAAGGAAGGAAATATTTAGATGCACTTTGTGTATATTTTTGGGCAACAACACCAGTTTTAATTTCTATTTTAACATTTTCAACATATGTACTTGTAGGAAATAAATTGGATGCCAAGACAGTATTTACAAGTATGGCATTACTGAATATGTTGATTGGACCTTTAAATGCTTTTCCATGGGTACTAAATGGCCTTGCTGAAGCCTGGGTTTCTGTAAAAAGAATCCAGAGATTGCTAGACTTAACGGACTTAGATATTTCAACTTATTATTCAGATCCTCCACCAGGAATTGACATTTTGCTAAGAGATGCAACATTTACTGTAAATGGATCTCTAGAAAATATAAGCGTAGCTGCTCCAAGTGCTGAAAGTCCTGATGAAATTTTATCTCTTCCATCAACATCCACTGCAACTAGAACTGTCACTTTTGAGGGGGATAAAACGTTTATATTGAAAAATTTGAATTTAGAAGTAAAAAAAGGACAATTAATTGGAGTGATGGGCAAGGTAGGTGGTGGAAAATCCTTATTTTTAGACGGATTGTTAGCAGAAATCACCAGATTAGGTGGGATTGTCGCTATAAGTGAATTAGACAAAGGATTTGGCTATGTTAAACAGAATGCATGGATTCAGAGAGGAACTATACGTGACAATATTTTATTTGGTAAAACATATGACTATAATAGATATATAAGTGTTCTTGAAGCTTGCGCATTAACTGATGATTTGATGCATTTGGCTAAACAAGATTTGACTGGTATTGGAGAAGCTGGAAATACTTTAAGTGGTGGTCAAAAAACAAGAATTGCATTAGCACGTGCTGTGTATGCTGATAAAAACATTTATCTTCTAGACGACATTCTTGCTACTCTTGATACAAAAGTAGCGAAGCATATTTTTCATCATGTGATTTTAGGTCTTCTGAAGAATAAGACTAGAATATTTTGTGCACATCAGACGCAGTACTTGATCCATGCTAACATTGTTGTAGAGATGTCGGAAGGCAAGATAATCAAACAAGGACCACCTAGTGAAGTTTTACGGGATATAGAAGATTACTTATTATCTTCTGTTTCTGTAAATGAATTAGAAATCGAGCCAATAAGTAATGTTTCTAAAGAGCTGAAAGATTTGGATGAATCTAGAGTTGATTCTTTACTTGAAGAAGAATTTATGGAGCAAGGCACAGTTAAATTTAATGTTTATGCAGCATATTTCAATGCCATAGGACGATCTTTAGCATTTTGTATTTTTCTTGCAATGCTCCTAATGCAGAGCTCCAAAAATATCACGGATTTATGGCTCTCTTTTTGGGTTACTCATGCTAACGCGACTTTAAATCACTCATTAGATCATGAAGAATTGTTAGCAAGTGATTATATGAATAATACGAAATATTATCTATCAGTCTATGGTGCCTTAGCTTTTGTCAATTCCATTTTTACACTCATAAGAGCTTTTATATTCGCTTATGGTGGTATTTATGCAGCTGTTAGCATACATAAAAAATTATTGACAATTATTATGAGTGCTAGAACAACGTTTTTTGAATTTCAACCATTAGGAAGAATTTTAAATAGATTTTCATCCGATACATATACTGTTGATGATTCGCTTCCATTCATTTCAAATATTCTGCTCGCCCAGGTATTCGGATTACTTGGAACTATCATTATTACTGCATATGGATTACCATGGATATTTTTAATTTTAGCTCCACTTGTTCCAATCTATCACTGGATTCAGCATCATTATCGATTAACATCTAGAGAGCTAAAAAGATTAGGCAGCATTGCTCTATCACCTCTTTACGCACATTTAAATGAAACTCTTCAAGGATTAAGTAGTATAAGAGCCTTTAGAGCTGTACCTCGTTTTAAACATGGAAATGAATTATATCTAGAAGCAAGTCAAAGAGCTAATTTTGCTTCAGCTGCGGCTGCCCAATGGTTAGGATTGCGATTGCAATTCATTGCTGTTATACTTCTTGGTGGAGTTTGTATTATTGCAGTTTTACAACATCAATTTGATGTTGCTGATGCTGGTCTTGTTGGTTTAGCAATCACTTATGCTTTATCAGTAACTGGTTTACTTTCCGGAGTTGTTAATGCTTTTACTGAGACTGAAAGAGAAATGATTTCTGTTGAACGAATTAAACAATACTTAGATAATATCCCTACAGAAAGTAATGAAGGAGAAAATCCACCATACGCTTGGCCCAGTCAAGGTGTCATAGAATTTAGAAACGTTGTTCTAAAGTATCGAGATTATTTAGCTCCATCATTACAACAAATATCATTTTTAACTAGACCAGCAGAAAAAATTGGAATTGTTGGAAGAACTGGTGCTGGAAAGACATCAATTGTAAATTCATTATTTAGATTGGTCGAAATAAGCTCTGGAGAAATTTTAATTGACAATATTAACATCAAGACTCTGCAATTAAATGCGCTAAGATCAAGATTATCTATAATACCACAAAATCCATTTTTATTTTCGGGAACTATCAGAGAAAATGTCGATCCTTTGGATCAATATCCAAGTTCACAAATTTATAAAGTATTAGAGAAGTGTAAGCTTGGATCCTTAGTTAATAAACTTGGAGGACTAAGTGCAGAACTTGAAGAAAGTGGAAATAATCTTAGTTCTGGCCAAAAACAATTATTTTGCTTAGCCAGAGCATTATTACACAATGCTAGAGTAAATATATTATTCTTTATTTGAATCAAACTATTTTTAATCAAATATTAAATGATATATAAATATTATTTATTTTGTAGATAATTTGCATTGATGAAGCAACTGCAAACATTGATCCTGAAACAGACAGAGCGATCCAATCAACCATCAAGTCTTCCTTCAGAAGTGCCACAGTTATTACAATTGCTCATAGAATACGGACGATTATGCACTGTGATAGGTAAGTTATTAATTGTTTATTATTATAAAAAAGCAGCAGCAATAATAATAATTTTGATCTATTGTTTTTACAGAGTATTAGTCATGGGCGATGGCAAAATTCTAGAATTTGACGACCCTAATGCATTATTAAAGAAAGAACTTTCACATTTTCATAATTTGGCAAGTCAAGAATTTTCTGATTATGAATGAGTATCTTCAATTGTAAAAATAAGAGAAATCATGTAAATATGTATTTTCAATGGGATTCATTGATATGTTTTTTTATAAGTCCGTATATAAATTTATTATAATTAATTGCTTTATGAGATTATTTTTAAATTTTTTTAGTGTATGAAACCAAAAATTATGATTAACAAGTGCAATGTTATAAATGACTTTGAATGCATCGCATATTGAATTTAAGAAGATTTTATCAAGTTATGTAGTTAGTTTTCTACCATTTACTATATTGAAATAAATAAGATTTTGTGTATATTTATAATATTAATTACTCTTATAATATATATATATGTATATCAATTTCTACAAAAAAAAACTCTAATTGAACTTTAATTTATATTAGCAATCTATTGAGATTTATTTTTACAAGTCTAGATTTTATTTTTAAAACAAATGAAAATTTCCCGCGTTTTTTAGAATTAGTTGGTAATTTATCCACGAGGATCGTTTTTTTTTGTGAATGTCAATTATGGAGTTTTCCACTTGGAGCTGTCAAAAGTGAAATCGACAAAGAAAAGTTTTATAATCATGTTTAAATTAACTCAAGCTAACAATATACTTGATAATGATTATTTCAACAGTTGAATGATATATTTGGATTAAATTTACAAAATGACGACCGAAAGCTTTTATTATACGAAGTGAGTAACATAAATACTACTTTCTAACAATCATCATATGTCATTCGTTTGTTAACAATTAACTATATAACTTTACATATTGTTACTCATATTCTTTATTAATATCTAATGATTCAACTTCTATTTGAATTTTTAATTGATTCTTTTTTGTAAACAGCTACACTTATGACATGCCTAGTCCAGAAACATGTATAAGGATTCCAAGGAATAATGTAACAATTATACCCGATTTTTATGCTGGAATTCCAGCAAATTTATTACTAAATTTCATAGGCTTCTTTGTAAGTAGCATATCATAAACTATTATTAATTTTATTAGTGTGTATATTTGCTCACGGTTTATTTTATTAATTTATTTTATAATCATTTGTTTGTGTGGCAGTGCTCGCTAATATTTTAATACCTGTATTTTATTATCATATTCTTAATAGTTATTTATTTAAAGTGATAAGAATGTTAATAAAGTTATTAAATTTGATTGACCAATTTATGGTGTCAGTTATTTCTTCATTCTATTTTTATTGTCATTTAAAATAAATTCGAATTAAAAGCGATTGAATTGAGAAATTTTATTTTATTGTAATCTTATCAAATGTCAAAGAAGTATTTAATTCATTACAGAGTTTAGTTATTTTATTTGGATTGCTGCGTAAAAAAGCATGGAATTATGGACGACTTGCACTTTTGCATAAATCGGACAATCGATGGATGGAATTATTTTATGGTGATAATGAGATATCAGAAGGTGATGTTGTATTAGCTGAATCCTCAGCCAACGCACAATTATCTCAGATTGATAGAGGATTTGTTTCATGGATCGTTACAGCTTTTAAAGTAACGTAAGTTTTTTCAGTGTTTTTATAGATAAAATAATTTTTCGGAAATTGAGTTTAATTTGAGAATGTATTATTTCAGTGATAAAGAGCTGTTAAAACGAGCTGGCCCAGATGGTTTGCTCTATATTTCTTTTCAGCGACACCTGATTATACTGACGTGTATGATGACGGCTGCTGCCTTGTGTGTGGCCTTACCGATTAATATGAGTGGTCGTATGCACGGTGTCAATGAAACATTTAGTCATACTACCTTATCTAATTTGGATTCTGAGTCATCATGGATGTGGCTATATACTATCATTATTATGTCTTATCTTCCAATTGGGAGTTTTGTTATGAGACGGTTTATGAAACAGGTTCTGTTTAATGTTTTTTTATCAATGTTTTCTATTAACTACATCATCTGATATAATACATCTATATTTGAATACGTCTATCAAAATCGATCTTAATTGAATGAATGACATTTTTTACTGTAGGTCCGAGAAGCAAGGTCTGCTGGAGAATTGGCAGCTCGAACACTGTTGATCAGTGAAATTCCAAAACATCAATGTAATGTGGAAAGCTTAAAAGAATATTTCAGAGAAGCATTTCCTATGCTTACTGTAGAAGATGTTACTCTGGCTCATGATATTAAAAGATTGTCAGCTTTGGAAGCTCAACGAGATTGTGCTGAACAAGCACGATTATATTGTGAAAATTATAATAAAAAAAAAGAAGCCTTAAAGTTATACCCTTATCCTTGTGGTCAAGTTGTTGGATGTTGTTGTAAAACCGTAAGAAGTGTAATTATAATTTTTACTAACACCTACTAACAACTTTAGTTATTAATATCAATAATTATATCATGAAGATATCTAATTTTCTACAATTTTTACATCCAGATCGATGCCTTGGAATTTTATACTGCTGAAGAAATTCGATTAACGGCCTTAGCAGAAGAAGAAAAAAGGGTTTCGTTAAGTAAACCTCTGGGTATTGCGTTTGTTACATTAGGTAAATAATAAAAAATCTATTTCACTTCATAAATATTAATGAATGACTCAGATACCACCTTTCATTATTTTATCTATCATGAAATTTAACTTGTGCATGAAAGTACATTCTATTAATTTTATTGAATATTATTATTAGGTACTCCGGGAGCTGCTAGAACTATGCGAAGACAATTACGTTCAGCTCCAGCAATAAAATGGGTTGTAAACTATGCTCCAGCACCTTCTGATATTTTCTGGGAAAATTTAAGCATACCAAGAACATGTTGGTATTTAAATGCAATTGCGATAAACGTTGCTTTATACATCACAATATTTTTTGTTACTACTCCTGCTGTAAGTAAATTCATTTCTGCTCCACTTATGAGACAAAAAATTTAGCAATGCAATTTTTTATTAGGAAATTAAATGATCAAATGTTTTAGGTTGCAGTATCAGCTTTGGATAAACTTCAAATAACTCCAGAAAAAATGAAGCTTAATCCAGTAATTTCATCGTTCCTTCCAACAGTAGTGCTTGTGAGTGTCGCGGCTGCTATGCCAGCCTTAGTTGGAAAAAGCGAGTCCCTTGTCAGACATTGGACAAGAAGTGGTTTGAATAATGCAGTGATGAGAAAAACTTTACTTCTGTTATTACTCATGGTACTCATTTTACCAAGCTTAGGATTAAGTAGTGCTCAAGCAGTTCTAAATGGACCAATTTTTGGCAATACTACTAACATTAAGTGGGAATGCATTTTCTTAGCTGATCAGGTAATTTTATTTTACAAACAATAAATTAAATAAAATACATAAATAAATAATAATTAATGCAACAAGTATCCTTTCATTTTCAGGGTGCATTGTTCGTAAATTACGTCATTACAGCATCGTTACTTGGTTGTGGACTGGAGCTTGTACGATTTCCCGAGTTAGCATTATACACTTTTAGACTCTGTATTGCAAGAAGTCGAGCTGAACGTGTTTATGTAAGAAAAGCAGTGTTATGGGAATATCCTTTAGGTGCACATTATGCGTGGTTTTTACTTGTTTTTACAATGACTACAGTCTATAGTTTGGCGTGTCCACTTATTACACCTTTTGGATTATTGTATATGTGTATTAAGCATTTAGTTGATCGGCATAATTTGTGTTTTGCGTATGGTCCTAGTGTTGGGGGTGGTCAATTAGCTAGTGCAGCAGCTAATGCAGCAGGTGCAGCACCTGTTTTAGCTCAAGCTGCTCTATTAGCACTTGGTTTAGTTCGAAGAGGTTTATCACCTCTTGCAGCACTTCAACTCAGTGGTCTAGCTGCCAGTATTTTAGGCCTTGTTACTGGTGCAACTTTGCCAACTTCCAAACCAAAAGTAAATGTTATTTATGTCTAATCAATGTGAAAAAAATATTGATATATATTAATTTAATGAAATAATGTGAATTTTTTAGGCACAAGCAATGAGACGAGATTTATCTAATGGACAGAACTTTATAGCGCCAGTATTAAAGAAAACATATGGAGCTTATGTAACAGAAGAGACAATATCCGTAGCTTCAAATTCAGAAATAACACTCTCAACTGAGGACAGTAACGTTTCATCAATACAAAATAGTCCTAAACTTTATCAAGACTATGGTCGAGCTCCACAAGTGTGAACACACTTGATAAACTTCCTTAAAAGTTCTCAACATGTTTTGGCAGCAACCACCTGTGTTATAGCTTTAAATTAATTTTTTGAATTTTTATGGAAAATAATGCAGAAAAACAATTATAATTATAAATAATTATTTGAGGTAAGGTTGATATATTTTGTAAAAAGAAATTCTTTAAACAAATGAGTATTTAATATTGTTATGTCATTCAGCTTATTATAAATTGTACCAAACATTGCGTTAATTTTTGAATTTTTATGATTTGTAATGTTGTTCATCTATTGCTACATTAATTGTGATTAATTACTAATTATTAACGACTGAAGATATACTCCATGAATCTGATGACTTACACAAGAAATACGAAAATGTATTATTTTAATTTTAACACTAGATAAATCCGTGTACATACAATAAAATTTCTATTTTGAAATGCTACTAATAAAGATCATAATGATTCGTTACGTTATTTTACATAACATATTTTCATAAAATATAATTCATATTTATTAATTATCCTAAGAGTTTTTGCAATTCTTAGCTTTATTAAAAATTTCTTTAAGATAGCTTTTTAAAAAAGAATGAAATAATACTTAACTTTCTTTGACTTTTTTCTTTTGAAATAGTTAAAATTGACTGCCGATTATTTGCTTTAATTGACTGGCAGTCAAGGATTGGAGATCAAACATTTCATTTTCACGGTAATATCTTTTATTTCCAAATTGTTGAGATGTATGCCTTGTCATCGTTTTTCCATTATGTAAACCTTTTTGAGGGCTTCTTTCTTCTTCGGTGTCGTCTTGGACCTACAAACATTTTTGTCTACGACATACAAATTTATTTTATATTACGAATATGATGAATTATGTTATGAAAAGCTTATTTGCCACTACGAAAATAAAATAAGTATCAAAAATAAATAAAAACAATACATTATTGATAGTAAACAAGTGCATATTACAACATACTTAAAAAATAAATTCAAACGATTCACTATAACTATTTTTGTGTTTAAAATAAATTAATATACTTATTAATTAAGGATACGGATTGGGTTTAGAAAAATAATAAAGAATTCTATAATAAGATTTAAATGATCATTTTAAAATTGTAAAAATTACAATAATAGGTCTAATAGATAAATTGAATTCACTATTATAAAATATCATATATCATTTGTAGTCTTTTTAAGATGAACATGAAAATTATATAAAATGAACAAAATGTCAATAATAAAACTTAATCACTAAATTAATTATAGCTGTCAAAATTATTTCATATTAAATTAAATTATAAATATAATTTTATATTTATTGATTTGAGAATAGAAACACACTTTTAATCTTTTTACAAAAAAAATAAAATTTTTGATGATTATAAGATTAACTAATAATATTAACTAATTATAGCCAACTCTAACAATTTATCAATAATAGTAACATAATAATAATAATTAATAATTTCGTCTACTCATGCTCAGCCTTAACCAACAATTACTTCTATTATTTTTTTAATTGGTTCTCTTGCTACTTGAATGAAATGACATAACATTACAGTTGCTTACGTAGTTTCTCTTACCTCGACTATTGTTACTTGAGGAGAAGTTTCTTGTAAAGGTTCTGATATTGGGCTATCAGAATCAGCAAGTAACGACTCTCTATCAGCTTCAGTATCGTTATCAGATTCTTCTTTTACTACAGGAGATAATGATTTTCGAGAATCAGCATCCTCAACATCTTCATGAATCTTGCAAACATACCCGCCTTTTTCTCCTTTGTACTCTGTTAACTTTCCTTCTATATGAACTAAAATTTCAATAACATTTATTTAAAATTCATTCATTCTGGTATATTACATTGAAGTACAAATATTCGAATAATCTACCTTGGCAGTAGGCAATAGGACAGAAAGCACAATGGGCAGAAGTTCTTTTTTTGCACTCAACACAATGATGCCAAGGACAGCTGAATTTTCGCGTTTCTCCTCGTCGTGAAACACATTTTCTATGATATCTTTTAGAACACGTTTTTAAATCACATTCGACATATTCATCAGTATCAGCTAAGTCTTTTTTACATCTCCAACATTTGTATATTCTTCGTGATCTATAAAAGAAAATCAGTTATAAAATCATTCATTGTTATCGTTAATATTGAAAAAGAAAAATTAACAATTATGACATTAGTTTACCGTCGATTCCGCCTTCTTTCTGGAACTTTTTCCATTTTTGTTTGTTGAACAGGAGTTAGAGATAATTTTTGGGCTTTTAAGCCAATGTAACCACTGCAATTAGGAGCACCACATAGACACGGTTTTCTTGTTTCTCCATCTGATGCTAAATTATAATTAAAAGTTAATTCTTCGCCAACTTCAATATCCCGGAGAGCGAATAAACCAATACGAGTATCTCCGTTAACAGTCCATTTTTGAGTTTCACAATTTGGTTGGCACGAATGATCTGGAAATTAAAAACAATATTAAATTTACAGATTCTGATTCTATGTCATTATTGTTTATAATAATAGATCGTTTAAGAGAAGAAAATTCTTACTCATAAATCTACTCAAGTTTCCTTTTGGTTCAGCATCTATAGTTCTAAAATTATCTATGGTTAAAAAATAATAATTTTCATTCCTAAGTTCTTTCTTTCTTTTAACTCTTCTCTTATATTCTGCTTCATCAATAACTTCACCAACATATTCTATTACGAATTGACCAGATTTGATATTTTCGAGAGTTTTAAGACCCCAACCACGAGCACGAGTATGAAAAGGCTCCATAGCTGGATATTGTCTTCTTGCAAAACATTGATTTCTACATCGAGGACCTGCCGGACAAATCCCAGGACTGCATTCGATTGATAAAATACGATTAAGACAATCAGTATCTGGAGAACAAGGATTTTCCCATCGCGCATCGCATTCACAGGCTACGATACTTTCTACCTCAGTAGGTTTGACATTTCCAACAGGTTTATTTACCTTTTAAAAGATAAATAAAATAAGATAATACAAAGATTTATTTCTTTCATAATAAAAAAATATTTTTTACCTTCAATTTAACATATGGAGGAGGTTTTAGAGCACGTGATTCATCATCTTTCCTTTCTCTTTTCAGTCGCTGATGAAGTTCACTAGCTTCTTTTAATGCTTGATTATATGCTTCATCAACATTGGTTTTATTTACTGAATTTTTTACATTGGAGTCGTCGTCTTGATATAAGAATACTCTTCCTCTATAAATAATTGATTTATTAAATACTATTAACAATTTAATCAAAATAATAAATTTTATTCAAGTTGATATAAAAAGTTTACCTATGAACCCAATAGTAATTTAAAGTTCCTAAAAACATGACACAAAATTCGCCAGGCTTATGAGCTACAGCAAGAATATTGGGCGGAACTTCGTGAGGAAAGCATATTCTTGATGGCCACCACCTATAGTTTCCAAGTTTTACCCAAACAATTTCACCATAGAGTGGTAGCCTACCAGTCTCACAATCTTCACAGATAAACGCACCATCTGGAGCTTTTATACGAAGACATTCTGCATGAAATGAAGTAGGACATGTGTCACAACAAATTAAGCTACCACCCTTAGTGCAAAGAAAACACCAAGCAGCATTTAAAGGTGGATGTGGGGGTTTATAATGTTTTGTACAAATCATTTGACTTCCCGTAAGAATTTCTGATCCTGCTGGTAAACAAGCTGTTGAAGCATGATAAGTTGATGGACACCTAACACATTTTATAAGTTTTTCATTTTGTGCACGAGCATATCCATTTTGAGGATTATCAGAAGCACAAGTATGACACATATGATACGGGCACGTTAATCTACCACCTTGTAAATGAGATTGTGGCCAAGCTTTTAAACATGATGTATGATAATGTTTGCCACAAGTCATTGTAGAACATCGAATCCGTTCTTCTTCTCTTTCATGACAGATAAAACAAGCTGGTGCTACTCCAGATAGGCAATCTATACATTTAAATGATTCCTCTGAATTTTCCTTCTTTTCATCATCATCGATTGTTATTGTAACTGGTTTTTCTTTACTTTCTTCAATAGGTTTATCTCCGTCATCAGCACTAAATTCAGACTCCGAATCTCCTGGTTTTACACAGGTTAAATGAAAATAAGAATAACAAGGACCTTTACATCTTATGAGATTTCCAGTCTTTTCACATATTTGACAAACTTTCTCCGGTTTTGTTCCTCTAAATAAATTAGGAATTTTTGTTTTTTTCATGATTTCTATTATATCATTTTCACCATTGACATGTTTTTTACTCTGTCTTTTCCGTTTTGGAGGAGATTCTTCAGAAAAAGTAGAATCACTATGAATTAAATTATGCTTATTTCTAACAATCTGTGGAATATATTTTCTACGTGCTTGTTCACGCATATTTTCCCAACTTTTTTTCAAATATATCTTTATATCATCTTCAGTCGAATCAGGCGAGATATTGGCAACGGCTTGTTTATTTCTTTGGTAATAAAGATCAAAACTTGGCAGTGGTTCTGGTTGTTTCATTTTCTTCATCACCTTTTTAACAATAATAGACTCATCACTGGAATCTTTATGACTCGATGGAGGTGTGAGTGGAGCATCTCCATCTAAACTAATAACACTTTTAGAATCATCTTCATCATGATTTTTATCACTTTCTCTTCTTTTTTTTAAACCATTTTTTAAAGGTTCACTAAGCTTAGTTCTTTTGACTACATCTTTCATTGAGTCATGGGAAATTTCTGAACGTCTACGTTTTTTCTTAGGTTGAATAGCTTTTATTCTATCCGCTAAATTTAGTGGTATCAGTTCTTCGGCTTCCTGAACAGCAATGTTCCATTTTTTTTGATAACACTGTTTCACAGTGAATCCGGCAGTTTTTTTTGGTTCCTTTTTTTTCAAAAATTCTGGTTGACTAAGCCATTCATTTGCCATTTTGTTAAAATCTGCTAGACTAGTAAAAAGCATCATTGATCCTTCTGAAATCCAGTTATGACGTCCTTTGTCGCCAAAGTACTGAACGTGAACCATGTTAGCCGTTGATTTACCGAAAGCTAGTATAATAAATAAAATATAGAAAGTTAATTAATCAATACCACAATGAATTGTCTAAAATAATTATTCAATGTAATAAAATTATTTCATCATCAAATAACTTACATCTCCATTTGGTGTGTTTATTGCCCTCTGGATCTAACGTTACTATACATGGCCAGTAAGGAAATGTGCTAATTTGAGCCCATCCTAATTCTCCAACCTTCCATCGACATGCTTCAGGTTCTTTCCACCATTTTTTCTTTCCTGAATCACTGCTTTCAGCTTCAGGTATTTTTTCAACAATTTTATTCGCTATATTTGCTATAACGGCTACGTCGTCATTTTCTAAATTATCATTACCAACATTTTTATCATCTACATTACGCTCTGTTGATCGTGAATTCTTCACCATTTTTTTCATCTACAATAAGTGAAAATACATGTAATCAAACATTAGAAATAATTTTAGAATAAACTTTTTTAACACTATAAGATATTAGAACTAAACAATGCAAATTGTTTTTGTTTTTCAGGTGGCATTGTTGGTTATCAATGCACTACAATAGGTAAATAGTATGTTAAAGCAATTTAAAAAATATATGTCTCACCTTCGTTGTGTTATTATCGCTACTATTATTAACCTGTTTTATAGCTCTGCCATAACGGCTAGTTGAAGAAGAGGCGTTGACTGTTTTTAAATTTTCATTATCCACAGACTTAATTGAATTTTGATGAGTTTTTACTCGACTAGGACACTCCTCTTGAACTTTCGTATGATGTTGTTGATTAGTTTCATGATCTTTTTCACTTGTTGTATTCATTTTTAAAGTCTAAAAAATCCTCATGATGTAAAATTCTCAAATAACCTACTAACTTGCTCTTTATTTTGTCTAAAAAGTATTATTTAAACGTTGAATATTCAATATTATGAATGATTATCGATATGAATAAAGAATGTTGCTATAACCACAGCGGAAGCTGTGGCTGCAATGAAATTAATAAATTAACTCTTTTTACCTATTTATCTTGATATTATTTTCTATAAAATTTGATCACTAATAAACTATAAAATTTTACTCTAATTATTTGTCACTCATTAATTTTCTATAATCATTATGTAGCGAATATGATATAAAGAACGCGAACGCTAATTTCCCGCGGATTTAAGTAGACTTTCATAACCTATACTTTCAAGATGCGTCAATTTTCACAGATATTTATTTTTCTAGAGACTTCTTATTTTCTTCGTTTACTCCACTGAGCTTCATAAATAGATATATCAATTACAAAACAAGCCAATCAAATAGCTCATTAAGGTCATTCAACTTCTATCAACCAATCAGAATTTGTAAAATTTCAATAATAATTTTTCCGTCGGTAAAAACGATCTAGTGATCAAATTTTGTTGTCATCTGTATACTATAGTACTATTTATTTTAGAGCACGTTGACTTTGGTGGCTTTAAAAACTACACGTGATTTGTAATGAAATCATAATAACATAAATAGTTATTGTTTAAAATGTCAGAACCGAAAGCAAAAAAACAAAAGATAAAATATGATCCTGTGGAAGAAGCTAGGTAATAATAAATTATATTATCTTTGTCAATTATCCCATATTACTTGTAACTAATTCATGTCATCTGATTTTTAGGTTAGAAAGAGAAGTGTTTGGTGATGCTAAAGATGTAATTGAAAAGCTAATGAAAAAAGATTCTGTTGAAGAAAACACGGAAAATAATCTTCAAGCATTTAGTGATAGTAGTGATGAAGATAAAGATGATGGTGAAAGTGACGAAAAAGTTCTTAGTGATGATGATGACGATGAGATCAAAACAGAACCTGAAGAGGAAGAAGAAGATGATAGAAAAAGTTCAGATTCTGATTCAAATTCTGTAAATATTGAGGAATTAGATGAAGAGGAATTAAAAGATGCTTGGGTTGATGATGATGATGAAAAATATTCGTAAGTTTCTTGAAAACATTAATAATAATAAATAAACAATTTCTGTTTTGTTTCAATATGTAATTATGTCATTCTATTTCAGAATTAAAAAAGCATTGAAGCTTCAAAATCGAAGATTACCTAAAGGAAGAACAGAAAAGAATTACAAAGAGTTGTTGGAAAACAAGTTTAAACAACTTGTTGGTACTCCAAAATGGGCTCAAATAAAAGAAGATTCGACAGAAGATGATGAAGATGAAATTTTAAGGCATAGCAATCATTTAGCATCCAATAAAACAAAAACATTACCGGGAAAATTGATTGATCTAAAAGTTCTCAAAGATGTTAACGTGAATACCCGTAATGAAGGTTCTGTAATTACTAGTGTCCAATTTCATCCAACTTCAACAGTAGCTTTAGTTGCAGGATTGTCAGGAGTTTTGTCTATTTGTCAGGTAATTAATCAAAATTATTATTCTGTTTCAATTATGAATAAGGTTATTGGGTGAATGATAAATTAGATTCAGTAGTAAGAATGCTCTATTCGTTTATTTATTCAATTGAGAAAAATTTTATATGTTTACAGATTGATGGAAAAGAAAATCCTAAATTACAAAGTATAAAATTTGAAAATTTTAGGATAAATAGTGCTAAATTTTTAAAAGATGGTACTGAAGTTCTTGCAGGATCAAGAACTAAATCATACAGCCAGTGCTATGATTTAATGACTGGAAGAACTTATAAAATACCTTTACCAGATGTCATAACAAATATGGAAAATTTTGAAGTTTCTCCTGATGGAAAGAAGATTGCTGTCTTAGGCAGAAAATGGGGTGAAGTATTTTTATTAACAACTTCCGGAAAGGAACTTATTCATACATTCAAAATGCATCATAAATGCAATGCAGTAGCATTCACTCCGGATAATAAACATTTAATAACTCATGGAAGTAAGTTTAAAAAGAATAATACTTTAGTTTATTACTATTATTATAAAATAATTAATTTAAAAAAATTTCAGATAGCGAAGAAATTTACATTTGGGATTTGAATGATCGAAGATGTGTACATAAAGCTATTGATGACGGTTGTATAACTAATGGAGCAGTGGCAATATCTCCAAGTAGCCAATTCTTAGCAACTGGAAGTAAACAAGGAGTGGTTAATATTTATGAAACAGAGTCTGTTTTTAGTCAACGTGTTCCTCAACCTTGTAAAATTGTAAAAAATCTTGTAACGCCAATTACTGCTATGAAATTTAACTCTACATCCGAAATATTAGCAATAGCTTCCAATTTAACAGAAAATGCTTTCCGGATGGTTCATTTCCCATCACTGAATGTATTTTCTAATTTCCCAACATCGCATACTGTTATGAATCACCCATTAACAATAGACTTCTCCCCGGGCAGTGGATTTATGAGTGTTACGAATGATAAGAATAATGCATTTTTATATCGACTGAAACATTATGGAAACTATTAATTAGCCAATATTAATGAAACTTAATTGCAAATGATAAAATGTAGTTTAAAATTTTTATGTCGATTTGATAATATTTAATAATAAGATTATTTTTTAAATGTCTCGTTTACCACCAATTGTGAATATATTTCCTTAATAATTATGTTCGTCGTATTAATAATAATAATAATAATTACAAATTATTTACAATAACTAAATTGTAATATTCAATATTCAATCATGTAAATGTTGTTCAGCAACTGTCTAGAAGTAGAGCTTCTCTAAAATAGAGCTGAAAATATTCAATAAGAAAAAACAAATTGGAAACTTGAATTGTGTCATCACAATTTTTTCCAACTTAATTATTGTAAATTAATTTTTATGGTTTAAATACTGATTATTATTTATCAATTAAAAGTAATAAATTATCACAATTATATTGGTAAAAATATCTCAACATCTTTTTTTTAATGGAGCTTCACTTTTAGACAACTACCATTTATTTTTCATTTTTATAAAGAGTATCGTTACTTTGTCTTATTTTTTTTAATTATGAGATTATCATAATTATTGGTCCTCAGTTGTTGTATTTAGAGTGCCGGCTTCAGAATTACTTTCAACAATCAACATTACAGTCTCTGCTGCACCTCGAACACATTCTACTTGATGTCCAGCCCAATCTTTACGTTGACAAAAGGTTGAACAATATGGCGTACGTCTACAAAGTGAACACTCGGCGAATGCTTCTCGATCGCAATTTGCACACTGAAAATGGTTTTATTTTTATATATAAATTCTCTGTAAAAGTGGCAATTAACCAATATAAAATAACTGCAATACCTTTTTGGTATGAGAACTAGTTGCTGGTTGTAAACCAACAGCTTCAATTACATCACCTCTTGTTCCTAATTGAGCAACTAACGCTTGTTCTCTCTTTTGTTGACGGCTGAGTTCTTTTGCTTCTTCAACAGTTCTCTTAAATTCATAAGCTAATTTTAACATCTTCGTTGACATTTCATCTAATTTTTTAAAAAGATCATCTGTTTGGCCGTTTTCTGTATGTATATTCTGAATTACTTGTTCCTGTTCTTGAGATGGATGAACTACGAGTCCATCAGCTGAAACATATTGAGGCCATACTTGATCTTTATCCTGAGCATTCACATCATTATCACTCTCTTCATTGTTGCTGCAGTCTCGTGAATTGTCACTTTTCATCTTTCTTAAAGGAGTTTCATGCTCAGTATTACTGTCTCTTGCTCTTCTTCGACGTTTGTATGGTGTGAATAGACGAACTGGTCCGCTCTAAAATTAAACAAAAAATATTATTAATAATAACAATAATAAATTCAAATATAATAAATATATTCATCAATTTACTGCACTATCGTCGTCACAGCAAGCAGCGCAGGTACATGATGTAGCATGAGGTTTTAAAATATTTTCTTCAATTAAAGTTTGAAGACTTCTTCCGCCAAATCTAATACTTCTTTTCCAATCTTTACTAGAAGCTCTGCCACAAAGAGCTTCAAACTCGCTCGGTGTGTACCATTCCTGGCCAAGCTTTATACATCTCCCTCTTCCCCCAGATCCAAATCGACTCTTATGCAATTCTGCATTTGTATTCTTACATCTTATCGGTAAAACTGCCATGTTAGCAGACTCAGTCCAGCTGCAAATGTTTTGATTATTATTGTTAGGAGTAACATGAATCTGTTGCTGCTCAGTTTCTGTTTCTTCGGCACTATTTTGTATAACAATATGAGTCGTTTTGAGCTCTCCACTCCACCTGAGTGGGTCAGCTTCCTTATCGTGCCTAGGTTCACAGATAAAGCCATTGTCAACGCATAACATCTGTTTAAATTGGCCAGAGCCTGGCAGCTAGAAGGCAAATAAACCAGAGTATTAGAAACTAGGAATAATCAGTTAACGAAGTTAGGTGTATATTCAATTAGGTATTGAACTTTGATTAGAGTGTTTGGGTAATTGCCATTTACCTGTAATTGATCAGACGTGATGACATTGAAAGTAGTGCCATTAGTAGAATTTGCAACACCAATAATTGAGCCAACGGGTAGAGAAACAGGAACTCCTTGGACAGTAGAAACTCCTTGGACAGTGGTTGTAACCGCGACAGGATGAGCTTCGTGCTCGGTCGTCAGACTGGACGTCTCCTCGGTTTCACTCGTTAATGGTTCGGAAATGTCCGGTAACACGGCGACACTTTCCGATGTTTGATTCTCTTCCATTTCGGCTATTGTCGTTACTTCGTTCAATGGCGTCAGTGCACACAGAATCCAGCAGTCTAATTGTGTTTTATGATACGAAGAATAACATTATTCACAGAAACAAAAAATCAAGACTCTAAGTAATCACGAGACTAACACCTCATGAATCTCATCAGCCATACTAATAGAGAGTGAACAGATGCTACTATCCAGAATGATTTTTTCCAAGAGCGTCCACTAGTTGACAAAAGCGCCACAAGCCACCATATGCGTTTTGTCAAATATAGCGCCACTTTCAAAAATTTATAGATTGTTAATCATTTAATTATTTTGAAATGTTATTTATATATTTTATCATCATTTTTTTTTTACTATACATATTTAAATTATTTAATTAATTTTCTAACTGAACTAATCATTTGTAAAATACAATTTGTTTGAGGTGCATTAATAATATAGCCTGCTAGTGAAGTTGAACTCGAATAATTAATGTTGAAATTATGAAAAAATGATTCATTTCCGTGAATCATCAAGAATTAAAAAAAAAAATTATTTTGGAGTTTAAACTCAGCTGATAGACTAGAATTTTATACCACCGACTAAGTAAGTCATGTATTGATCATTCTGATTTATGAACATCGTGAAGGTGATTATTCTTCGCAATTGTTGAATTTCCTGAACTTATCTATTCAAAGAAATTGTGCAATTGTATTATTATTATTAATAATTGATATAATGTTTATGATACGACGCAATAATAATGACAATCTCTTGACTGTGACGTCATCCTTGAGTTACACAAGCGTCATCGGTCAATCTACTGGATAAAATTAGCAAACACAGCAAGCATTTTAGAGCAGAAAGTCAATTAGTGCGTGTGTTGGTGTAGAATAATTTTTTAAAGTCACACAATTGTCAAACGGTTCTCTCTTTGAAGTTTGATAATCTGACAGTAAAATATCAGCTGTGTGTTTTCATTTTAAACGGTATCATATTCTTTTCTTTGTTTTGTGTATATGTCTTCGGCTTACACCAACGAGAAGTGTGGCAGTACTTGAGAAAATAGAACTATGTGAACATCGTTCAAATTTCTTTCTACTTTCGATATTTACTTCCTTCTTGAACAAGTAAGGATTTGGTCAATTTTATTTTCTTTCATTCAATGTTTACATAAATACAATTTATTATCAATTTATTATCAACACCAGTAGTTTCTTGGTGTAGAGGAGAGGTTATTTTATATTTCTTACACGTGTTTTTTTTTATCTCAAGTATTGCTTTGAAATTATTCAAATAAAAGAATATTTTTAAATTTAAGATTCATTTTTTCTGTCTTAATTATATTTAGATTTTTCGTTTTTGTTCTTAAATATATTTTTCTTAAAGCTCAAGAATAGCTAACTCACTGACTAATGAATTATTATTAATTTTCAGTTCAATATAAAAGGAAGGAAAATTAATTTACAATGGCAATGCAACAATTTTGTTTACGATGGAATAATCATCAACCAAATTTTATCTCAGTATTTTCGTCATTATTAACGAATGAGACTTTGGTTGATGTTACTCTAGCTGCTGAAGGTAGGCACCTTCAGGCACACAAAGTGGTGCTTTCAGCTTGTAGTACATATTTCCAATCATTGTTTACGGTTAATCCATGTCAACATCCTATTGTGATTCTTAAAGACGTGAAATTCTCAGATCTGAAAATTATGGTAGATTTTATGTACTATGGAGAAGTCAATGTATCTGAGGATCAGTTGCCATCAGTTATCAAGGTAAACAATTTAGTCTATCTGGAATTAAAAAGTATCATAAGTCAAGGAAATTTGAAATGACTTGTTTAAGAATACTTTTGTTTATTATTTTAGACTGCAGAAAGTTTAAAAATAAAAGGACTAGCCGAAATGCATTCGGCATCTTTAACCAAATGGCCGAGTGGAAGCAGCGAACCCAGCGGGGGAGATAGAGGAGAGTCATGTTCTCCCAGTCCGTCTCCACTATCTCCCTCATTTCGAAGAAAAAGAATGAGAAAAACCTCTACTGGTTCAACATCTGGATCTGGAGATAAACCAGAAGATGGAAATGAAATTACACTTGTAGCGACAAATATAGTAAAACCTGAACCGATTATTATGGCTCAGGATAGCGGTGATAATTCAAGACGTCCACTAAATACAAGTACTGAGTCACAAGGAAGTATTGATGAGGATCAAATATCAATTGTAAGAATACTTGTGTGTATCATACTCAACCCTTTGAAAGCATTCTTTTAATAATCGTAATTAAAACGATTACCCATGACTGACTTATTATTTCTTTATTTATGGATAAAAATAAAAAGATGTAATTCATTTTATCGTTCAGAATTACTTTAAAGGAAAGGCTTTGAAAGGGTTAAGAAATGTACATGGGCATTTTTTTTAAATTCAGAAACAATAGTTAATTAATTACCATTAATTTTTTTAGATGAGTAATATGGAAAGTAGTACAGCAACAACACCCGCCCAAAGTGAAGGTTCAATGCAGGATATAAGTCAACAATCTGGAGCAAACATAGGTCAAAGTTCACTTTCTTCACAAGCTCCACCACATCAAGGTGAGATACCATTTTTTTCAATACTATTCTTCATTCATCTAATCATAATATCATACAAAAAATATTTTTTATATTACTTTATACTAAGTTATCATTTTTATTCAAGTTTTTTAGAAAATGAACCAAATCTTGTTTCAATTTTTTATCGAGTACAGATTACAATATTTATATTTTATTTATTTATGCTAGAAGAATACTCGAAGTAGTTTATTTTCTATTTTATCGTTTACTAGACAATCCCAAAAGTAGCGAGTGAATTTTTGTTATCGTTTCAATCAGCGAAAAAAATATTCTCGTGCTCTCTTTGCATGATTATGAGTCCATGCTCAATTGTGTGATATATGCTGGCACAGATGCGTTCAAGTATGTTGCACAACGGAATCAACAGACGTTTGACATGAAAATAGAGCGGATGTATCAAAAAAATATATTGAATTGAAAATAATATGATTAATTATATATATAATAAATGATAATATGATAATAGAATAATGGCACACAGATACATAGCACACAAAAATTATTTTTAAAATTTTGTTCAAAAACTTTATTGTGATTTGAAGTGTCTATGTATGCTCTTCCTAAGCCATTCGATTGTTATTATCAAGTAGGGAATTTACTTCTTGAAATTGTGCTTGAGGTGTATCTGTGCCATGCCATGTTTATTTAACATTTATTATACTTCCACTAATTTATATACATAATTATTCATATAAACTATTTTTCCAACTAAGTAGAGGTATAGTTTTTAACAATTGCACATCTCAAATAATGGTTAATAATCTTATGATTTATTGCTTTAATTAAATATTAGACACAGATTTTTTTGAGTTAAAGAAAGATAAATAGCTAGATAATAATTAAGAAGAAAAATTAATTAGATAAAAATTTGTTTAATTCTAATAGCTTCTTTTCTCTATTTTGAAGTGTAAATGTTAATCGTATAGTTTTTGAAATTGTCTATGCTCTGACCAAAGAATAAATTGGTCTGTTCTACAGGATTGCAATGGACAATCATGGAGCATACGTATCCACGTTTCGCTCTATCCTCGTGTCAAACGAATCTGTCGATCCAAGCATCATCAGCATTCACGACGCCTGAAATAACGGCGTCTGCGAGCATCAGCGATCAGTATCCTGGTACCAGCACCACTGGTTCTAGTTGTGCATTGACCAACTATTCAAATTCAACGCATGGATCACTTCAATATGCATCAGCAAGTGGCACCTCACCATCAGCACAATGTTCAAACAGTTGTCAAAGTCCTTGTGCCAGTCCTCAAGCAACAGTTAAGAGAAAAAGATCAACAAACCCACAGGCTGATGAAAATTTTATTAGAGCCCTTGATGCGGTACGTTACGGTGGTATAGGATTCTGCAAAGCTGCAAGAATGTTCGGTGTAAACAACAGAACCCTTTGGTTAGAATATAAAAAACGTGGTTACCCAAACAATCGACCGAGTGTTAAGTCAAGAGCGAAACAAGAGTCTAATTCATCACCACCACCAGCACCAACTACGCAACCTGTAGATCCACAAAGTCCAACATCCATGGGTCCACCCACGACTCCTCATAGTTCACACGATACTCACACTATTCTTACTTCTCATAGTCCTCATTCGATGCTCAATAGCTATGTAGATAGTAGGCATTTAGATTATACTCTAACAAATGCAACTATGCCTATGAATTTACATGGAGTTAATTACAACGCTATGTGAACTCATTACTTTCCAAATTACGTGTACAAATAGACTTTAGTAATCATATTGAATTGAATGAAGTTAGTTGATACTTTTATGCTAAATTTGTGGAATATAGTGTACTCGTGAAAGAGTGTAAAATAGGTAGAGTTTTATTTTAATCTGTAAATATTTTTTGTGCGTAAAAAGTTGATCGTTTCGGATATGAAATTATTTTTTTTATTTTATTTATGTTAATATTGTCAAGTGTGCTAAAGAATGGACTTGAAGTATCTTTGGCTTTTATAGAAAAATTTATCATAAAAGTGATAACAATAATTTACTATAATGCCTTTTTTTCATCATTAAATTTATCAATAAGAATATTATTATTGAATAAACCAACGAACAACTATTTGACTGAAAAGAATAATTATTTATCTCAATAATATTTTATTACAAAAATGGAACCTTTTTTATGAATTATTCGAATTTATAAAAAACAAATAATTTAAAAATTATTTATTTAAATTAATAATTGAAGAGATTATAAGACAGAAATATTAAAAGTCCATTCTTTGATTAGACTGATTATATTGATGACAATTTTATGAGAAAATTGGTCTAAGTGATAGAAAAAATTTTATATAAATATAAGAGTCTTTCATTATTAAGAGTCTCTTAGTATTCGATATTTTCCACAAATAATGAAAATAATAATTGTCAACACTTACTGTCATAATAGAGTTAATTATTGATACCAGCTTTTAAAATATATTATTCAGCTACACATCGATCATTATGTGGATAAAAGAAATAGTATTGATATACTTTTTTTTACTGACTAAAAATTGAAATGGCTTAAAGACGAATTCTGTTAATTTAAATTTTAATTTAAAATGATTAAACAGGGAAAAAAAAATAAGTGTGATTTAATATAATTAATAACATTGATTCATAAATGTCATTACTGGACACAAAATGCTGATAATTTAGTTAATTACATTGATTGTATATCTATTAGCGATGTGTTTCCAGAAATGATGACAATAATAATTATACTAGTTATATTTTTATTCAATTGCGTCATTATTTATTACCTGTAATGCAATTTATACTTAAATAAAATCATAAGATCGCTCTCGCATCTTGTAATGTACAGATAACGATTGTCATTCGTTTCAAAAACTCTTATTTCATTATTAGTACAAAAAATAGTAGTTTTTAAAATTATAATTCTTCTTTATTGGTGAGTAATTAAAATTACGATAAAAGTATTATTTTATTTTGTTTAATATAAACAAAATGATATTATGCTATATTTTTTATTAATTTTTTAAATTGTATTTTCCAGCCCATCATAGCAAACCAGTGGAAACAAAACGAACTCGACTGTTACTGATGAGACAAACCCGAGTAGTGAGGAAAGAGACTGAACCAGGACATCCATCTCCAGACAGTGATCCAGGTTCACCACGAATTGTATCGACAGGGGCGGCATCACATCCTGTTACTCCAATATTAAATCTTCCTTCAACATCACAACATTGGCAAGACAATGAGCCTGCAGCTACTTCCAAACAAACGTTATTAACTGTGACGACTTGTACAAATTTGTTAACTGTACCACAACCATCTTATTTGGTTAAACAACATTCACATCCTCTTCTACCAAGTCAACAACAAAGCTCTTCTGGTAATTATTGGATGCAAAGACAACACTCGAATCCAGAGTATCCCGGACGATCTTCCAGTCCTTCTACATCTGGGGATCCTATTCCCTTGATAAAAGTGGAAGAAGGTCAAGTAGAGTCAAGAGTGATTAAAGATAGTGGAAGCAATTCTAATAATAGTGGACTTAGAATTATTCCGGCTGAATTATTAAGAAGCTCATCAACACCGCAGGTAGCTATTAAAAACAATTCGTTGAGTGCTTTCTTTGCTAATTGTAGAAAATTAATAAAATATTTATAAATGAATATTTTATTTTAGCTTGCATCTGGAAGTAGTACTGAACTAAGACCGATTCGAGAAATAAGAGACATAAGAGAAGGTCGAGATATAAGGGAAGGGAGAGAAGGAAGTGACCAACGTTTAGGTCATTGTCCTGTCCAACGACCAGGACCAGCGCTAGGTTGTAATCACTGTTGGAATACGGTAGACACTCATGGACGTACTTTACGACGAAAGACAAAATATCATTGTCCTGAATGTCAAATTAATTTGTGTATTGTTCCGTGTTTCCAAGAGTTCCATGAACGACAACGAGACAGTTTGACAATGAAATCATTACCAAAAACTAGTTCAATCTAACGCTGTAAAAATTACATTTTTCAAAATACAAATGACATGAATCATTTCTTCATATTTTGCATATCACATGCTACAATCAAAATTATTCAAACCTTTTCGAAATTATTTTCGATGATTTAGACTTAAGTTTTTTGAGAAATTTTTTTACTATTCTCTTATTTTAATGTTGTATTTATTTATCTCTACTATTTATTAAAGATTTTTTATATTCAATGATATTAAAAATGTATGAAGTCAATTGATATTATCGGTTAAAACTTTCATATCTCAAAATAAAAATAAGAAAATTTGATAAAACCGTCCGGGATATTCTAATAATGGTACCTAATGTCCAATAATTATATAATCTATATTTTGTCTTGAACTTTATCGGATATGCAAAAATACAGTGTTAAATTGTACGCTGAAACAAAAAGACTTGGGAAATTGTATGTAAAACTGAAGCTACCTGTTTATTCAATAGATCTTGTACAGTTGATCTATTATAATAAATAGTAATTAGTTCATAATATCACTTGTATTTAATTAAACCATTATCCATTTCTCTAAGTTTGTTTTTATTTATGTAATTTAAAAAATTATTTTTGTCGACTAGACAATTATTTATTTAAATTCCATCAAAAAACTACAAAAAATTTGTTCAATAGATTTTTATACAATGATGAATTTACTTCATTATTATTATAATTAAACACTAATGAGTGAATTATATAACCGATCGATTAATCTCAGACATGATATCAACTCAAACATACTCTAAATACAATTTATTTGATAATTGGTAGTCAATACTAATATTGGTATTAATATCAAGAAAAATTAAATTGTTTCTGAGCTGTTTATCACAGACAGATTCATTTAATTAATCAAAAAGCACAGAATTTTATTGAAACATATAATTATTAATAAAAACATATTATTAACAATTATATTTATATTAATATTTTAACATTACTCTCATATCTATCAAATATAATACCAATATTTGATATTATTACCATTTACAAAATATATAAGGGCTACATTTTATTGAATTAAGTTTTCTATAAAAATGATAATTGATTTTATTTAGTGGTCCAAAATACGAAGATTTCCAGATACAATTTTATTCTCCAAAATTGTTCCTGATGGTAAATCTATACGTTCACCATGATTCGCAATCACTATAACTGTTCCTCTTAATGAAACATCCCGACCAAAAGTTACGTCTCCAGATACGGTTAAGTGGTCGAGTTCTAAAAGATCCGGTATGCTGGCGAATCGTCGAGTAAATTCTGCTACCTAAAAAAAAATCATAATAAAAATAATTTTTTACAAGTCTTAATTGTTCAATAATAATGAATGGTAAAATTTTTTTTAAAACAAATGAATAGTAATAATTATATTTATTCATCCGTTAATCATTTATCTATTATCGTAAATTTGCATAGATGAAAGATTGAATTGATTTGTACAATTCATAGATATCACTTTCATTTTTCTTAACGAGTCAGTAATCTATGAATTAATTAGTTGGCACGATTCATTATAAACTCTATTATCGTGATTGAAATACAGCTACTTGATTATTTCTTAACAATTCATTATCGTCATTTAGAATACAATTAAAGCAATTACCTTCGCAAAATGATTATCACCTAGTTTAATCAACGGTGTCACAGGGAACATTCTCTTAGGGCTCATGAGTAACGAGCCGTTTTTAAGAACATATAAATTACTTTTCACAAGAAGCAAATCTGAAGTTTTCTTTACAGGTAAAAATCTTCTTCGTGGTACATGAATACCTGAACAATAAAAGATTAAAATGATTACTTAGCACAAAAATAATTTTCAAAGACTCACAATAACTGTACCTATGCTTCCTTCAAATGATTTCATAGCTGCACCAACTGCAGTTTCCAGCTGAATAATATTTAATCCATTATCTAATTCTTTGGGATTCACAATAATTTCCATATCCAGTGTGTGTTCACTCAATATACGTTTGATTGCTGTTAAAAAAATTAAATTAACAAGTTTAGTCTCAGAGCAACTATTTATTTGGAACCAGAAATAACAAAAAACAGTGAACTTACCGCTCAGTTTAGCCCATAGATTATTGGTATTAAAGAATTTAAAGGTCTTAACAGATTTAAAATCATCTATACGTTCTTTCGGAACTTGTGCAATTTCCAAAAGACGTAGTTTGTTTTCATATTGAATTAAAGTGCCTCCCTGAATTAAAAGAAAATTTGAGAATATATAAATCAAATGAATTATTGACTCATAATAATTACCTTGACGTCGGCGCGAGTCTTATCTGTGACTTCCATAATAAATTCATGTGGAGTACCACTTGGTTCAAGGACTAATTTCAAAATTTTACTATCTACTGTTGCTCCTAAATTATCAATATTTGAGATAAAACAGTATTCACGACCCTGAAGAAAAATCGATTATTTGAAAATGTAGAATTTTTATTTTCTTATCTGAAATTACTAAATTACCTCTTTTATAAATTCATCTAATAATCCTGATCGTTGAAAGCTTTCATAAAAGTCTCCGTGTCCAGGAGGATACCATCTAAAATTAATAACATCATTTTATTTATTGTTCTTCAAAATATTTTAAATGAATATTTTTTATTCGTATTAATACTAACGCTTCTATATCTTCTTCAACATCACAGCATTTAGGAACAGGAAGTAAAGACTCCCTACTGATACGTGGATAACAGCTTTGATTAAAAGTCTTGACGATGATATCAATTCCCTTGTATTTTCTGATAATTCTTTGGGTTTCATCATCGGTATTGAAAGAGTTCATCAAAACTAATGGTACGCTGACATTATATTCCCTGTTCAAATGCTAAAAAAATTTAATAAATAAAATATTTATACAAGTAAATATAAAAATAACTTTTCCATTCAAGTGCTAATTTTTCAATTTTAAGATTAAATTAATTTACCTCAATTTGTTGTACAGTAAGATCTAAAAATGTAAGGTCATTGCGGACAACAATAGATGATTTAGGTCCATGACAACCCATACTTGTTCCTAATCCTCCATTTAACTTAACAACTACTAATTTATTTAGCATGCTTCGAATCTCCTCGTAACCAGGCTCCACAAGAGAGTCATAGTCTCTGATCTAAAACAATTATATACAATATAAATAAATGTTATTTTCTTATTAAATTAATTTTATTTTATTCAATTTGTTTTAATGAAAGTCGTTACTCACTGCTCCTTCTGGTAATTTTTGAATTTGTTCCCATACCACTGAAGGCCCCTGGTCTTGGAGAAACTTCTGGAACAGCTTCTGAAAACCTCCAAGTTCCACCTTGAAACGGTCTCGAAGGTGAGGAGCAGCAGTTGCCTCCAAACGATTAAGTTCGAACTGCATTTCACTTTCAGCATCTCTTTTAGTTCTTTCTCGAAAAGCCTGAGTGTCAGAAGGCTGACGAACATGCCCTCGAGACTGGAAAATCAAAAAACAAATTTTAACAATCAGTTGAATAAATCCAAACAAGTTTTAATTTGCAGCCAGACCTCTCGATAATTTAAATCTTTCTCCTATTTTATGTTATGTATCACTTCTTAGAGTTAAATGATTCATAATGCTAAAAGTCTAAATGCAATATGCGGGTCAACTCTAGCTTTGCAACAGCTCTTTAAATCAACTCTTATCAACTTTCAAAGTCAAGGAATAATACACTGAACAATTCTTCTTCAACTACTATTTCTCTACTTTAAACCGACCAGTCAATCATCTCTATTTATGCAAGAAATAGCCTTCATTGCTTCCCACTATGCAGAAGTTCTAACTCAGTAAAAATATATTAAACTGTGGCGCATCATTTTTACTGTATCACGTTGATATAACTGTCAAGAAGCTTTAATTATCAACTATTAACACGAAACCATGATAGAAGTGTAAGTTTAAAATTCAGATGAATGATTCAGTTTTTAAAAATTTATGATTATACTGATGCTAAGTATATGCAAAGTCAATGATAAAATTAAAATAAATATTTTACACTTACTTGAAGTAAATATTCCATGTGTTAAACTTAAATTATTTAATAAATTAAAAAATGTTTAATTCAATGAATTAGTTAAAAGCGTATAAATAATGTGAGAAAGAATTAACTGCAGCGGTTGAAAACCCCGTGGGTCTCTGAATGTTTTTAGGAGTAAAATGATAATAAATATGGTTATCATTGTGTTAAAGTCTATACATGTTATCGTTTGCTTTATCAACAAGACGAAGGTCTGATGGATCCAATGAAGTCTTAACTGCTAATGCGACATGGAATTGTTGATTGGAAAATGCTATCTTTATTTTAAATTTTTAATGATGGTATTATCCCAATCGGCTTTTGACAAGTTGGCCTAATTTTTCGCTTGATTATTTATCATATATTTTCACAATGTTTGTCTTAAGAAACATGCAAGTATACTAAATAAATGGAAAATAATGTTATAATTTTCATTTTTAAGTATCACAAGTACTTTTTAAATTGTTATTATTCCACTAAAGTTATTACTAACTGATATTCAATTCATAAATAAATTTGTCATAATTTTCTATCTATGAGGAATGATGTAGCATAATTGCAAAAAGTAGAGAGGAAATTCTTAATATGGCATTGCATAATCATTATGACGCAGCAAATAGTTATTGTATTGAAAACAATAAATTTAAACAATTTTTACAAACAATTATCTTTTAAAATTTGATTTTTTGGATAAGGGTATACATTAAGTGAAATTTAAAACCAATTAATGGAACTCATGATAATGATGAATAGAAAAGTATTTATTGTGTCTACACTATTGTCTTATCGCGAAAAAATCTTATCTTAATGACTGAAAGTTTATTATTTTATTTAGAAAAATTGATCTTTCCTCATTTACTTATCAACAATGAAAAAAAAGAGGTTAACTGAACCAATTAGTCTTTTTTATTAGTTTCTTTTTATTTTAACAGTATGTAAGTTAGTTTTGATATCTTATAATTGTTCAGAATATTGAAAATTCTTGGAAAATTTACCTTGTTGTCATCAACAGACAGCATTTTGACAGATGATAAGATTCGTAAATACCACAACAAACCTGTGTCTACTTGTTATTTAACCACTTGAGCATTGGTACTTGACCTCTAACTACCTTAAAGGTCACTTATCTGACTGGGTCTTGCGCAAAAATATATTTATATATATTGAAATTTTAATTACATGCCAGTTATTTTGATTTTGACCAATAGTTATATCTAAAAAATTGTTTCCTATCGATAAAAAAATTATATCAATCAATCGCGTTAGAATAAATTGCTAAATTTTTTATGGTAGAGATTTATAATGATTCATTTAGGTCAGTAATATCTGTAAATAAACTTTATTATTTTAAAAAAACTTTCTAAAATTAACATATTGCAGAATTCATTAATTTAAAATAAATTAAAAATGTACAAGTATTTAAATATTTATAAATGATTTTATAATTATTTCTTATTTTATCATAAATATTTATGATGATAAGTATTTTCGACCATACAGTTGAGCTTTTTTTTCGAAGCTAACACAATTGATTGGAGTGTTCAATTTGTAAAACGGATTCATAGAATACTGTAACATAAATTTGAATAAATTAAAATATATTTAATAAGTTATATCCATTCATAAAGTATTTATTAACATAATTCTTCTTATGAGATAAATTATATCTAGAATAGCTTGTCAAGTACCTTTATATACATCTCATATATCTCATTGAAGAAGTTTTTAATACCATCTTCATTTTTAGTGTCGTGAACCATAAGAAATTTAATTTGAGTTGCTGTAACAAATGCGCTGACAAACCATTGATTGAATTTGTCAATTACTTTTAAATGCATGCTTGTCGTTTTCCATTTATGTTCATCAACTAAATCAAGAGCTGCATGAGCTATAAATTGACTAAGATGAGCATGGTCTTCTTTCTGCAAAAAAAAGCTAAATTAAATTTAAATTGTTAAAATAAAAATACAAAATAACTATTAATTATAATTCTTATTATTATTATCCTTGTTTATGTGATCATTAATGTTCAACATAAAAATAAACAATGTAATTCAACAGTTTGTTATGAAAAAAGTTGATTAATATTTATTGTTCTTTTTTTCCAGTTTATTTAAAAAAAATAGCAATAAATTTTTTTCAATGATTATGGATAATTAAAATAATTACCTTAGAATCTTTATTTGAACCACTGAATTCTATCTCAAATAATGGGTTATCTGCATTACCAACAATAACAAAATAATAATTTGCTGTCATACTGATAGTTATGATTGATTTATCTTAAAAATTGAGGAATGGTGTTAATCAAATCATTTTCTAGCAAATGAATTATTATTAGTGGATTTAATAGTATAAGATAATTACTTGTAATTCAATCATATAATTATTCTATAGAAACAAAATATTCAATTACTCCAAAATAAGGCATTATCGGCCATACTTGTCATGGCGCTAGGCTCGTTCATCTGAATCATCCTGAACGCAACTGCAAAGCAAATCGATAGTCACTATCGAGTGTAAGTATATCGATATATTTTTTTCATGTGTTTGTTTCACGACTATGTTCAGTGCCCTGCTTCGATACAAACAGATACAAATTTTGATAAACAATCATTTAAAGTTTGAAATAATTGATTGTTAATATAAAAAAAATAGTATTTCATTTATTCCCTGTTCAAATGCCTTTTAAGTGTAAATTTCAAGAAGGTGAAGTTGAATTGGATTATTTAAAATATTATCATTTAATATTCAAGAATTTTTGTTTTATTTTTATTTTTTTATGCAGGCGAAAAAGTACTTTGTTTCCATGGACCTCTAATTTATGAAGCAAAATGTTTGAAGGCACAAATTTCTAAGGAAAAACAAATAAAGTATTTAATCCATTATGCAGGCTGGAATAAAAAGTAATACAATTTTTTTTAGTTTAATTATTGCAATTAAGTTTGAAATTATTAAAGGTTTTGTAAAATGATCCTTTGTTTTCAGTTGGGATGAATGGGTTCCAGAAAGTCGTGTATTAAAATATAATGAAGCCAATGTTCAGAAACAAAAAGAAGTTCAGCGTGCTCATGCAGCTCAACAGTCATCACAAAAAGGGAAAAAAGGAACATCGGTAGTCAAAGCACAAGGACGTAAGAGCGAAAGTGGTAAAGACAAAGATTCAGAAAGTCGAGCTAGTACACCTGTTCCTAATAGTGACAAAACTACTGGTCGTGGAAACAAAACTAGTAGTGGCTCTGCTACACCATCATCACATGATTCGTCATCTGAAGCTCCAAGAAAGAAACGCAGGTAAATAATAATGATGACACATTATAATTTAAATATCATTCTGAGGAACTGAATAATTTATTGTAACAATAAAAAATTCTTTTTTTAGTCGTGTAGATCCGTCTGTAGAAACTGAAGAACAATTTTTAACAAAAGTAGAAGTGAAGGTGAAAATTCCTGATGAATTAAAACCATGGCTAGTTGACGATTGGGATGCAATTACTAGACAAAGAAAATTAGTTACACTACCGGCGAGGCATACAATTGACCAAATTTTAGATGATTATGTTAAATTCAAGACGTCGAGCAAAACTAATACTCCAAATAAGTAAACATTTATTGCTATAATTTTTTATTGAGTTAATTAAACAGTGTAATAATTATTTAATATTCCGTAATATTATCTTTATTAGAGAAAGTGCAGTTTTAGAAGTGACAAAAGGCCTACGAGAGTATTTTAATGTTATGTTAGGAACACAGTTGTTATATAGATGGGAACGTCAACAATACAGTGAAATAATGGCAGAAAAACCAAACACTCCACCAAGTCAAATATATGGAGCCATTCATTTGCTTCGGTTATTTGGTAATTGATAGTTATTTTTTTTTTTTATTATATATATTGGGCAACAAGTGCAATTAGAATTATGATTAAAAAATAATTCAACTTATTAAATGTTGAACTTTTTAGTGAAATTGGGCTGTATGTTATCGTATACTCCTTTGGATGAAAGAAGTATCCAATTATTACTTGCTCACATCCATGATTTTTTACGATATCTTCATAAAAATAGTAGTGACTTATTCAGCCTTCAAGATTACGGAGCAGCAACTCCTGAATATCACAGAAAGTGTGGATAATGAGAGGTAAATTAATTGCATAAATAATTCAAATTATCAATTAATTACGTTGTATATCTTTGATAACGGTGTTGATGATTCTCAATATATCATTGCCGATAAAAATGATCGATTATAGCTGTATTTTGACCTCTAATCTCAATTGACTTCACTTTTCAATTTTTTTATTATTAATGAAAGTGGTATATTGATATTTGACTGTTTTATTGAACCGAATGCTTTATCATTTAACTTTATATAAAGATAAAGATAAAATTGGTAGGTTTTTCAAATTATAAAATTTGGAAATTTAATTGACATTAATCGATTGTAATCAAAAAAACATGTATTTAAATTGACTGATAATCGTATAAAAAAATGGAAGATGATTTTAAACTTTAAATAATTTATTTTTCAAATGTATTGATTAATTTTGACATAAATTATTTAACAATATATGGATTTTTTAATCAATAACATCGAAAATACTTCCAAAATATTTTTTTTTTAATTAAATTAAAATGACTTATCTTAACTATTCAACGATTTGTACTTAAAGTACGACCATGCATAAAGAACAGTTACATTATTATCATGATTATTATTTCATAATAAATTTTACATTTTGATTCTATTTTCTCCAAATATTTTTTACAGTTATTTAATCAATAAATTGACATAAAAATATATATTTATGTGTCAACTATAATATTATTGACATCACAGTACCATAAATTCTATTTTATTAGTAATTGGTAAAGACTCAAAAAAGTTAAAAAAAGTTATAAGAAATAAGATTATATAACTTCACAAAAAAAACAATCAACGAAGTAACTACACTTAGATTCTCTCTCAATAAAACCGAGGATTTGCACAGGAATGGCTTTCTGGTCGCTTATTATTGCCAGATTTACAACTAATATTTTGATTATATGTCCATAAATAAGTAAACTAATATTAATAGTTTTTTTGCGAGCCAGATATGGAAGGCACCCTCGGTAAAATTACAACCATGTAAAAAAAATATAGATACCTTAAATTTGTTTTGATATTACTAAAAATGAGAAAGTTGAGGCGATTTATGCTTTGTATTATGTCAAGATAAGAATGTACTTATTTTGCAAGTCAATTTCTGTGTTTCATAACTTTTGTTTTTTTTTTTTTACTAATAAAATTGATGTTTTAAGTCTCACTTTATATTTTTATTCTTCATCTCCTTTTTTATGTAGGAAGATAGAAAAGTTCAGGTTATTTTAATTTAACAGAATAATGACTTAAAGTAAATATGCAGAAACTTTTTCGCTGATCTAATAAAATAATAAACAATTTATATTTTAACATAAATTTAACCAAAAATATAATAGAATTCCACATCAACATTAAATAAATTTTTTATCAATGTTATACAAGATATCTTATTATATTATTCTCTATAAAACACGTAATAATTCGACAATCTATGGATTAAAAGAGATTTTCTTAGTATTTGAGTCGACAATTTTGTATTATAGTGGTAAATTCGAAGTTGATTCGATTTATTCATTCAACAAACATGTGCGAATTAGAGCATCACAAACAGAATATGGATCACAATTGCTGCTTGGTCTTCTGTCTTCTAGATATCCTTTTTTGTCTTCAGCAACACCACGAGGAATACGAATACTGACATTTCTGTTAGCAACGCCTGCGCTAAAATCATGGATGCTACTAGTTTCGCATTTACCAGTGAGACGACGTTCATTGTCCTTTCCTCCACGTGGATCGTAGGCTTGGATGTGACGAATGTGTTTTTTGCTTAACTTTTCAATAGCTTTTTCAATCTCAACAATTCCATTATCAGCACGCATTGCCTTTGTTGAGAAGTTGGTGTGGGCACCAGCTCCATTCCAGCTTCCATCCATGGGTTTAGGATCCAAGGTAACAATGACACCATACTCCTCAGCAATACGATGAAGAAGGAATCTAGCCATCCAGAGATCATCTCCAGCGCTAATACCAACACACGGACCAACTTGGAATTCCCATTGTGATGGCATAACTTCAGCATTTGTTCCAGCGATCTTAATACCAGCATAAATACAAGCTCGATAATGAGCTTCAACAATTTCCCTTCCAATGACTTTGTCAGCTCCTACTCCACAATAATAAGGCCCTTGGGGACCAGGGAATCCATTTTTAGGCCAGCCTAAAGGTCTTCCATCAAAATCTAGGAAGGTGTATTCTTGTTCAATACCAAACCATGGCTCTTGATCTTTCACTAATTCCATAGCTTGATTACTTGAGTAACGTTTATTTGTTTTCGTTGGTGTGTTATCGCTGTTAAATGTTTCACATAGGACCAATTTGTTATTTCCTCGTCGAATTGGATCTTTGTAAATTGCTACTGGTTGAAGAAATATGTCACTATTACCCCCATCTGCTTGATAAGTTGAACTTCCATCGTAAGTCCATTTTGGAAGCTCTGTAAAAATATTTATCATTAACATTACTGATAAATTTGTCATGTCTGCCAATTTTTATAGATAAAATTCTTTAGTCAGCAGTTGATTTATACATTATTTAAGTTGTCCTAATAATCATACAAGCTGATGACAATTCATATCAATTGAAATTTATTACTAACCAGATGGATGTTTCGGTACGAAGTCAAGAGTTCGTGTCTTGGATCTTAATCCTTCTCCAGTACCATCGATCCAAATATATTTAGCTTGAATTTTATCATCAGGTTGTGGTAGCTCCAAGTATTTATTCAGCAATGATTTATTAAGTGCTGCATTAGGGGAGTCTTTAAGCATTGTCCTCGACATTGTAGCGGTGCTAAAATAGAAAAAATCCATATTATAGATTCATTTGATTAAACAGTCTGTCAAGAGCATCATTAATTCAGAATTATGATGTTGATAAGAGGTATTGGATTTTCTATTCCTTCTAAAGGAATTTTCTAAAGCAAAATTTTCTACATGTCTATTTATTCAATTCGTTCTTGCTTACTACACAAATATGTTTAATATATTTTCTAAACAAAACAAAATGTTTACAATTTATTTTTTTTTAACTCAGGCAACATTGAAACAGTTAAAAATAAAAAGTTAACATTGAAATAATAGATATATTACACGAAATGAAGTAAAGTAGATAAAGAAGTTGGTGTCAATTTATAGCTCATTCAATAAATAAATATCGTCTGATGACATTGAAAAAAGGTAAACACCTATTTTTTAAAATTAGCACTTTCAAGTGAATGTGAATCCGTCCAGCATAAATACAATATTTAACTTTCTGTTCAGAATAATTGGCATGTTATACTATTATTTAGAAGCATATAGAACTGTCGTCAAAAGAGATTGTCAGACAGGCTCTTTGTAATTTCATGAATTTATCTGAAACAATGGAGCTGACTTAGCCATGAATTCCTGTGGATTTTTTATTATCTGTGTAACAAAGAGGGGTGTTTGACCGAGTGACTTAACATGAAAAACACAAAAAAGTAGCTGCCACTTGCATATATATGTCAGTGATTAGTGATTAAAAAGCAACTTTGATAGCAGCAATCAATATAGAAGTTACTAAACTGCTAATAAAAATTCATCAATCCTAAGAAAAAAACAAAAAAAATTTAGACATGAAGAAATCATGTTAATAATCATTTTATTTCTTGATGCTTCCTTAGCAACAAGTATCAAAATTATCGCAATCTCTTTGTAAAAGTACAAATCAATATCGATATGACTTCATCAAACTATAGATGAAGACATTGAATGAGATATTGCATAATATTTTTTATTTTAACATATTTTCATAAAATCGTCAATTATGCCTGATATGTTAGTAATGTTAGTTTGATGGATTGAACATTATCTCATTGACACTTATCTAAATTATTTGGACTCTTATCAATTATCATGATCGTACGAAGTAGGCCGTGAAAGGCTTCATACACATTGGGCGCTAATTTCGTTCCTGATGATGCTGGCAATTTTTTAATAGTCAGGAATGTGACGTCGAAAGTTGCTTGTTAACTTAAGTACGGAATACTCCCATATGTGGTGGTTGCCCGGAAATTGTTAATGCGTGGAAACTTTTCAGATAACTAATAGAGTGAATTATCCATGATGGAATGATTATATTGTGCTAGCAGATAATCATAGAGCTAGTAATAGTAGTTGATAGTACACGTTTTCCACTCCAAATGCTGCTAATTTTGATATTACTTCTGCTTATCATTATCATTTTTCTTTATAATAATTGTAATTAATATGCAAAACATTATGTTAATTCTTAAACGACTGACATATATTCGAGAATGCTAGGAAAAAATATCTTAGTCATAATTGTTTTGATCTAGAATGATCATAAGAATTGAAAGTCAGAATTCATTAGTAAAATGGGCCTAATTTAATGATATTCATCATATTTCAGCATATAAATTGTTTCCTTTTACGTTTTTTTTTTTTTGGTCATCAAACTGGGTTTTGGAGTATAAGATGAAACGAATAAGGAATAATTCAAAAAAGAAAGTATAATAAATTAACTTTCTAATTGAAAATATTTTTTATTAAGGAAAAATATTTTGTACAGAACAAAGAAAAAGATAATACATATATTGTTTGCATAGAATGATGACTCAGGAAAACTTACCAGCTGAAATGTCTTCCCCAAGTGATCCATAATGAGCTGTTACCTGATTTAACTCGCGGAAATAAATGGGACTCGCAAACTTTCACCAAAACTTTGATGCTCATCTTGGAAAAAGGAAAATTGAAGAATGGCAGCAGCAGATGATTGATAGGTTTTTAATTTAAACGTTTATAAATATCATAGATAATGAGGAAGATTAAATTCAAATAAGCAAAACAAAGTATCAATGATCAAACAGAAAAAATTTTCAGGAAGAAAAAAATGATAATGATTGTTACAAAACCACTGAAAAATGCCCTTGACAATTAACTATCCAAAACAACGTTTGTAACTGGCGAACCATCAAAACGATTGGAATATTTATATGGTGGTCGAAGATGATCCCCACTCCATTCCGTATATAAATTTGCGTGAATATCAAAATGACTTTCGACGTGGATCTTGACCACAGAATCTTTGGAATACCACAATTCTCGAAGATGTCACCCCGAAATATCGTCAGATAAACTTAATCTCATGGGTGCAATACGATTTACGAAACATCAGAACTGTTTTTAACAGTTATTTTCAGACTTTCGATCACACGTTAGCCATAAAACTTGACTTGTTGTGCGCATGTAAGCCTTTAAGAATCATACAATTGATTCGTTGTTGCGCCTCTAGACGTTTAGCATTCAACGGCTATAGAAGAAATTTTTAAACACCAGTTATTGAAATCATCATCAATATTATCAAACTCAAATGTTTAAAAAATGATGAAAAAGTAATTTAAATATTTTCGAAATATTATGCATTCATAATACCCAAGACCTTTGGCTTGCCCTTTGTTTTTTACTTCAAAGCCTTCAGCTCTATAATTTTCTCTCATCCTATTTCCCACTCTCATGCTCTGCCCTTTCATTTCAAAACGTTGCATCCATATCCACGTGGTCACAGCGTGAGAGGTTCTAAGATTAAATGCGTGTTTATATTTGTTAGGTTTTAGATACTGACTTTGAATTATTTTATTTATACTAAGAGCCAAGCCTGAGCTACAAGTCAGAGAACATGGAAAATTATCGTATGCTACGTAATAAACAAATTGCAAAATTTAAGAGATAATATTCATCACATAGAAACGTTTAAGAATAAAAATACTAATTTTTCTAATCATTAAAATTTTTATTTAAATGTCGTATTATTTATGCTAAAATGATAGCAATTTGCTAATTATTTGCGATAAAAGTCAATGAGAAAATGAAGTGTTAATCAATCTATTAATTTGTCAATGAAATAAATAATTCATTTCCAGTGTCGTTGATATTTTATGAACAATCAATAAAAGAAAAATAAATATACTTAAAGTTAAAAAAATTTTTATTATAAACAAACAATACTAATTATGATAATTTATATCCATTATATCATTCCTTATTTGCGGATAGTAAAAAAGCAATAATTATAATAAATAAAACTTTCTTTATGAATAGAAGTTTTTGCTTTCCAGAAATTACTCATAAATATTACTATATTTTTTTTCTTCCTTTTATTACTTTTAAATAGCTAATTCAATATTCATCATAATTTTAAATCGAAACAAAATTCATTTTATTATCTTATTACTTTTATTGAAAAATAATAAGCATGTTTACTAAAAACAATAAATATCAGATAAACAAAATGAATTATTGTAATTTTTATACACATAAATATTTTTGTTTACTTTTAAATTGAATTTAAATAGTAAAATTAGAGATGCTGTTATGATAATAAAAATTAATTGAAAGAATTAATTAATCTAGGTACAGTTATTAAGAAATAAGAACATTTTTCCTCATTCTCATTGACTTATTCATAGAGTTTGCCCTCTAAACATGTTTATAAAGATTTGCACTACGACACTTATTATAATTGCTTGCAGGTTTTAAATGATGAATAGACTCATAAACTATGCATCAATCACATCATATTATGTGCTTCATATATCATCAGTAGCTACTTTAATTATTATTTAATTATCCTAAGTGAATGGTAAATAATTTCTAGTGTACACTATCAACAAGAGAGATTGATTCAAGTAGCAAACAAAATACTCCAAAACCTGCTAATATCTATATCATAATGTGATCAGTGATTTACTTCCTTATCTTTAGTCTTTAATATTGATCGTAAATGAAGTCTTTGTTGCACTGTGTGTTTACACATTTGGAATTTTCATTAATCATAATCAAGTCGAATTTACTACATAACTTTGTGACTAGATTGAATAAAAAATAATGACATAAAATAAAACAATTGATTAGATAGTAAATTTTGTACAATTACTTCTAACAAAAATATCAATAATGTGATGGATAAAATAGACATAAATAATTTATTACTATTGTTGTAAATTTTTATCATTTCTTTATACTTTTGTCGCCAGTAAAGTGTATAACAAAGTACAAACCTTGTTTACAAACAAGGAAATAATTTTTAAATCAAACATAAAATCTTGAATTTTTTTGTTTTATTTTTATGTTAAAATCTAAAAAACTAATTTACAATGAAAAAAACTCAAGAGTTTACATATAAACAAAGAAGTTTATTTTAGAATCTGAAAAATATTTCAATTGAAACAAACTTTTTGCAAGAATTTTCTATAAAATAATTGTTTTTCGTATGTTTATGTGATAAGTTTATTGACATTCTAACAACAATAATTCTATAAATATTAAATAAACATTTGTCCAATTTATTTACTTTACTTTGTCTTATAAGCATCACAAGATAAACTAATAAACAAAGAGTATCCAATAAAAGAAAAAGTAATTTTTTCACTAAAAAAGTATATAAAAATTATAGCAAAGAGCTGATAATGAACGTACCTAGATTAAATCGCAATGTTGCTATCAGGACTCAAGATAAATGATCTTCAAAAGATCAGAGACGACTTGTCGATGGACAGTGCTTGCAGACAACTGGATAGCTTGCCACTGTTAACACGAAGCGTTATACTGAAGCTCCTACCTTCCAGCGTCATTTATGTATCATTGCTATGCTTACGTAGCGTAAGCATTTCCCTCACCGCACTGCACTTTGCCAACCTTGATTCTACTTCCAAATGACATAACAATGATAAAACATGAACCACCGATCAGAGTCGACCACTATGGTTGCATGTCAGACTTGTTCTAAGTACGTCCTTGTTTATAGACCACGCGACTATTTCCAGATGCTACCTTTTTATACACCGCTTAATAAGCATGCTCAAATTGGTACGGTAAACAGTAGTTGGGTGTCTGAGCATGCACTAGACGACTGATTCATTCACTTCTGTAAACTCCTGATGACTATCCCAAGACCATTGAACAGAGAGATTACTTTCCCTTGTGTGATTTTCTCATTTCCTAAAACAAACTTAGTCATTTATTTACAAAAAAATAGTTGTTTTTGTATTTAAATATGTTATCTAACTTGGACAGATAATATGCTCATATATCGGCAATTTTTCCAATTGAACAGCAAGGAAACATCATGAAATATGAGCTCAATGATTGCGTGCAGTTTTCCAATGTATCCAGTAATAGTTACTTTGTATGAATCTCACGCAATATGTGGATGGTCAGATATTCAAGAATGGTATTATAGTATGCTTTTGACATAAAAGTTTTGAAAATTTGCGAAAATAATGCACATGCAAGTGCATTAATGCGCATACGATTGCGTAGAATAAATAAATGAGCTTAAATATCTCACGGTGATGATAATCACCCCTCACTTGCATTACATCCGTCCCCTAGATCCCCACGAATTCATTTTAGTTTCCAGTCAAGTTACATATCTCAATTGCGCTCGTTAAACTACCAATAGCGTCGGAAATTTAATATAAGGTAACCCTTGCTAATGGATATTCATAATATGTGCATTATCAGATGCAAATATGTATACAAAGACACTTATTTTATTTCAAAATAATTTCTAATGTAAATTTACATTAATTATTTATAAAAACTATTAATATTTCTCCAATTTTATTGACTAACTTTCTGTATTCATTTGACTTTGGTATTTATCTTTTCTTTAGTCAGAATTTATGAAAATGATAGCATGTCTGTGCATCTTATTTATCGGTTATGAGATATATAAAGATGATTTTTTGTTGATAAAAAAAGATATATGACTTGTTCCAGTTAAGCAGTTAATTATACATCATCGAATGTTCACGTGTTTTTCTTTTATATTGAATTTACTGTATTTACTTGATAACGGTACGAAAATTTACTAATTACCTTCTATTATGTTACATAATAATAGTATACATTCACCTTCATCAACATTTAGGTTTCAGAAAGCAATACGTTTTCACTCTTTCACGTTATTGTATTAACAAAAAAATGATTTATGTCATCATGTTGACATGTAAATTAGTTATATTTAATTTTACTTACTTTTCATTACAAAACACTAATTCTATTACACTATTTCTTTTCCTTCTCCGTCTTCCCACGGCCTTGGTATTCGGATATTTTCCCAATTATCGATGTCGAGCTAAAGAAAGAATACAAAATTGTTAGGAGAAATAAATGAAATGATACGTATAATTGGCGTATTTAATAATGAATGAAATTGGAGCTAAGCTCTTAATTCTTCAAAATAATTTCTCTCATTACGTCATCAAATAATTACTATAAATATAATTTATAAATTTCATTTAATTTACAATAAACTTGTTAATTAGATTCATTAGTTTTTGAAATATAAATTAGAATGATAGATCAGCTGAGTCAATAAAAATTTTTTTTGGAAAAGAAAATGTTTATGTTTAATACCTTTTGCAATTCTTTATAGTGATCTTCTATATCTCCAACTTCCTCAGCGCTTTTTATGTGTATTCCCATCTTGGAAGCTTCTTCTTTCATCATAACAGTTGGTTTGTATTTAAATCTAATGAAATAATTAATACCAATTGATACACAAGTAGTTAATTGTATACTTCAATTCGTACTTAAATTGTACTCCAATGTTTATGGAATAATTTATTTGTAATTGTAAAAGAAATGATTGTTAAATAGGAAAAAAGTACAAGGTCATTAATAAGTACCGTATATTAGTGACATATCTTAATGCAAATGATCCTCCAATGATGAAAGCAAGGAATGGAGCACCATATTTAAAATGCTTATTTTTAGAAAGTCGTTCCCAAGTTTTTTTATAAACTTCGAAATTTATAACTGTCTTCATTATATAAAAGCCTGTAAAAATATATTCATTTGTTTAATTTGATGAGTTAGAAAATTTTATGGAATCATTTGAGATTTTGAGTCATTTAAATTCACTTTTACCAACTTAATGGTATTAATAATGATACAAAAATTGATACCTTTCTATGAAATATAATAATAAATTAATTATGATTCATTAATTATGTACATAAAATTTTTATTTTTATAGAATGTTGATTGTAATCAACAATTAAATCATAATTGTTGTTTTTTTTAATAATGAAAACCATTATTGGAGGTTATTCATTGCAAGTAAATGTACGTTCATGGAATCGCTGGTATCTGCGAGACATAACATGTATTAGACTATTTATGGAATCAAATTAAAAAGTGAGATACATGTAGAATAATCTTACATTCAATTAAGTTGAAATCGAAGATAACAATTAAAATAATTTATAATAATTTCATCGAAAGTACTTTGCCCGGGTAATTTACACTTATTTTGATAGGTGGCGTGGTGGCTGAATTTTTTGAAAAAATTTTTTTCTTACAGTTGGCTTACTGAAAATTACCACAACTCCATCTGTGAGGGGCATCATATATTGGATTGCTCAATATTCCTCGTCTACTGAAAGCTTTTGTAAGAGATGGAGCTGGCCCAAGAGTTGTAAGCGAAATTTATCGAAAAGGTACGCTTGGTCATTGAAGAATATATCTAGTTTATTTGTAACCCGGCAAAAATGTAAATTATAATTATTTTCACGTTTTTTTGCAAATTTATCTTTATGAAAATAATTTCTCTGTAAAGTTTTTCTGTACCGCGCGTTACGTGGCCTAATTGCTTGCGCCTCCATTTGTGATTTGTATTTTTTTGTTTAAGTTCATGCTGATTTAGGTTAAAAGATCGGTAAAAATATTAATATTTTCTGTCTTTTAAAAATCGTATGCTCAAATACCGATCTGTAGCTATAAGTTATTTGTAAAAATTATAATTTCGGAGTATTATTTGCATGTAATATATACGCATAATTAACATATTCCGTGTGTATCACTACTTATCAATTTTCATCAGTGTTCATATACAGACTTCGTTTTCAATATTTTATTTAAATTTACATGAATTAATAAAAATTTTCAGAACTTTAATCATGCAGTCGGTATCAATGAGTAAACCATCTCAATCTCCTGGACTGAAACAAGTTAAAGTAGATAATTGGGGAAGTTTTTTTCTACAAAGATTACAACAGCTTTATAATGAAGAAGAACTTCTTGATCTTACTATCAAATTTCCTACTAGTGATATCACAGTTCAGGTATTTTAATAAACTTTTTGTGTTCATTGTTAACCTTTTACATACTAATTATTCTCTAAATGATTATTTGTTCCAATTTAATTTGTTTTTAATGATATTTTTTTGTTTTCAGGCTCATCGTCTGGTGATTACAACATGTACAGACTATTTTATGCAATTAGAACGGAAGCAAAAGGAGAAAAGTGATTTTGACGGGATTATTGTTATGCCTCCAGATATGCCTTATGAATGTGTCAAATCTATAATAAGGTATGCAATACATATTATTTTATTTATATTTAAATAATCAATAAACACAGTTACTTTATAATTTGCATTTTTTTAGTTTTATGTATACTGGACAATTAGAATATTGGACTTCTGAACAAAATGCTCTCTACAAAACAGCACAAAAAATGAATATGACTGTTTTAACCAAACTTTTGGATGCGCAATTTAATACCACAAATGCTCAACCAAGCACTCCAACTACAAGTAATGAAAAATCAATTATTTCCGTTCAAAAAACTTCAAGCCCGACCAAGAAATCACCACCAGCTAATAATCAATCGATGCCAACTACTCCATTGCCTGGCAGAAAGTAAGTATAATTTACCTCTAAATTTTTGTTATTATGGTCTTTTATAATATTATTACTTTTATGAATTTCTAGACTTCCAATTTGGAGGAGAAAAATCGAATCGCCATCAAATTCTGATACAGGAATGTTCGGACATAAGTCAGCAGAGACTACATCGGGTCCATCACGATTTGATTTACCAGAGGTTGATGATATTGCTCTGGGAGTTTTTTCCTCTTTTGATGATATTACATATAATACAAAACCGATTGTTCAAGCATCAGGCCAATCATCTAGCGGTAATAGATCTTTTAAAACCAATGACACTGAAGATGAAGACGAGGATGGCCACGATAATAAACCTTGGGAAAATTCTGACGATGATTGGACTGGCAGTAAATCTCGGTCTCAAGAAGGTCCTTCCAAACGTGTGAGATTTGAGCTTGAAGAGAAAGAAAATATGGAAAAAAGCAAAAATGCTTCTCAAAATTCTGCTGAATCAATAAATAACCATGCTAAAATTATTAGAGAGGTCTTGAAGAAATATCCTCATTTGGTAAAGAATAATAAAAATATTCGACTAAAGATCATGCAGAAGGAACCCAAATCTTCGGAACATTCATCAGGAAAAACTAAAGTCTCTTATCTTGTTTTAAAGTCTGATCATTTAATGTCGGGCAATGATGAAGATGAAAAACCAGGTAATGTTGGAGGAACTGAAAATGGTCCTTGGAAATGTCACAAATGTGACTTAGAAGAAGAATATCATAGCTATTATATGTACAGAAGACATATGCAGGATGTTCATGATGAAAAATTTGATCCTCGAATTTGTGAGCATTGTGGTTACAAAGCCACTAAACGAAATATTTTGATGTATCATTTATATACGAGACATAATGTTCCACCACCAAAAAATATGTCTTTCCCAAAATGTCATGCTTGTCAATATGTTGCTTTGTCAGAGACCCTTCTTGTTCGACACCAGATTAACCACAATCATCGTCCTCTAACTCGATCTACTTTGTCAGAAGAAATTCAGTGCGTCCAGTGTGGACAAAATTTTAAAGATGTTACTGAATTAGCAAGTCATGAAATTAAAACAGGGCATGGAACTTCAATGAATGGCAAAGAAAAAGGTGGTTACCGCTGTCCTCATTGTCATAAAGTGTTTATCAGATCAACAAATTTGCAAGTTCACATGGATTGTGCTCACAAAGACCTTCGTGAGCCTGAAAATGTACCTGTTCCATCAATACCATTGGAACCATCATCAGAAGCAGAAGCTCTTAGTCACGTAGTGAGTGGAATAGCAGCTTCTCTAGGAGTTGGAGAAACAATCACGCCAGATCATCAAGAGATTCACACAACAGAATCTAGTTTCTTAGTAAACGAAATGGAGCTTAATAGCATGTCTCATGATTCCACTTATAATGGACACAATCTAGAAGGTCAGCAGATGATTATGTTAATTAATAATGAAGATTATCAACAAACTGAATTATCACAGGGTCATCATCAGCCCCAGCAATTACATATAGCAAGCAATGAGCAATTAGTAATGCAAGGAACTGATGATGGAATGATTGTTTACATTCATGGTACTGATGATCAATCTAATCATTCAACTTATGAAACTTATCAGACACAACAAACACAGGAGTCTGAAGAAATTGTAGAAGAAGTTGTTGAAGAAGTTTTAGAGGAAGAGGAAGAAGAAGCTGAACATGGAGAGAAACAAGTAATGGCTACTGAAGATGAAAGTAATCAAAATGCGGAAGAAGTAATACAATATGTTGAAGAGGAAACTGAGATTGTAGAGTATGAAGATGAACAGTCACAAGGTGACCAAACACAACAACAACAAGAATCGATGATGATTATTGAAGAAGAAGAGGTTCATCATGAAGAAAAAAATCAAAAGCAAAAATCTTCGGAATTAGCAGATGAATGGGATGAAGAAAGCATAGAAATGGCTGAATCATAAATTAAAATTACTTTTACAAATTTAATCAATTTAATTGAAAATACTATAATATTTTATCATAATTATTATACTATCTTATGCTTTAGTAGTTGAATCGTTTGAATTCACAGCATTTTTCCATTTGTGTTTGAAAATACACGAAAGTTAATCTTTAAATGAATTTATAATTAAATATAATTGAGTATCTTATGAGATACTTGAGTTAATTTGAATAACTTTTGCTTATAATAATTAATTGTAAGAAGATTTTATATTTTACTTTAATTTAGTTGTATTATCTTACCACTTTATAAACAAAATAATTATCGGTTCTTTAATTTTTATGTATTACTCAGTCGAAAAATAAAGAGCCATTAAACGAAAAAGTGTCACGATTTTTCGATGTAAGAGAATCATTTGAAATAAAATAAAATAACTAACATGTTCTTTCAATCTTTGGAGAAAAAAATAAAATCATTAAAATTTATAGTGGACAGAATATAATAAGCAGCAATTAATAATCAATAGTAAATATCATTTATTACTTTAATAAAATTGTAAAATAGACAATTGTAAAATTTTTTGATATTTTAGCATATAAAATTAGATGCGTTGAAGGTATGATAAATACAAATTCCTTATTCAAAAAAGCTTTGTAATGAACAGTAATCAAATTTGTAATGAATGTCTATGAGTTAATAGAGAAATAAAACATTCATCTAAAATTATTATTATAAAATGTATGTAATAATCTACAGCTCCATTCATACATCAATCTATGGATTTATTGATTCATTGTCAATAACCTTATTTAATCAGCCTTATCAGCAAGTGGCATTTTTTAATCATTTTAATGTATCATTTTAGACAGTACCGTAAATCTTTCATTTTGATGAATTATATGTATATCTATATATATCGCTTTATTTATATTGCATTTATTTTTAATTTTTTTTTATTACTCGGATGCCATTTGAACGATTCCAACATATTTATTCATTACAACTAATTGATCAAATATGTTTATATTAAGAAATAGGCTGAGTATTTTTATTAATGGATCGGTTATTCTTAAATTATCATTTGGTTGAACGGATTTTTCGTTCGATAGATTATTTTGATATTGAACTAAAAGAGTATTGTAATTTTCGGTACAAAAGATTATTTACTTTTTTAATAATATTAATTGGAAATTTATAATTATTCATTAATAATGTAAAATTATTGTTCATCACCAAGTTACACATTATTTTGGTTTATTACTATTTCCTATAAAAACATATGTAAATAGGTGATCTTATAGCACACGTTGAATATGTTGAACACTTGGAATGAATTATTATTGTATTTAAAGTAATTATTATAGAGAACTTGAATAACTAAATAGAAATCCTGGAGAAATAGGATTTATCATTGGTAACACGATTTGATAATTATGTCTACACGATTTCAAAAATAAATGTTTCTTTTCTTGACACAAAGTATACAAAAAATAAAAAATTAAATCACTAATAAAGTATATGTTTAATATAAATTGATTGTTTAATGAATAATTGTTGAATTTTAAGTACTTGTCACTCCTTTTCGGGCTACTAATAAATTTAATACTGGATGTTTCCGAATGTAACCAACAGCTTTTTTATGAGTTACCATTGTAAAATCGTAGCCATTGCATTGTAAAATTTTGTCGTGCATCCTTAGTCCACTTTTTGCTGCTGGTGATCCTTCATGCACTTCTGTCACGTATATCCCCTGAAATATTTTTAACTCTCAGTTAACAAGAGTCTTTGTAAAAGATACAAAATTTAATGAGTAAGTGAGAATAGAATTCTAAATAATTAGACCACTATTATCAGCCTGAATATCAGCTAAAGTAATTATCTTGAAAGAAACATTGTTTCAGAAAGTTCTAATTTTTTCACTCAAGTTGATTATTAGATTCGTACATTGTCTGTGTAGCCTTGTGGACTTTTACGAAAGTCTTGATCGATTCCACCTGCTATTTTGAAGCCACACTTCATAACTTCTCCACCATGAGCATCAATTTCAGTCTCTTTGTGAAGTGTTATTGGTATCTGAAATTTTAATGATGGAAAAATGATTATCACTAAATTGGAGTAAGTAAACGAACATAATTAAAGGGACACTAAAAATGGAACATTTTTAATTATGAAATATTTATATTACTTTTTAATGATATTCCTTATCGGAAAATTTCGTGACTAATTCCTAAAAATATCTTTAATGACGTTAACTTACACTTAAACACTCCATTGCAGTGCCTGCTTGATGTTGAAATGCCATTTTTGCACACATTTCGATTAAAAAAGCTTTACTTACTATGACAATAATTTTTTATTACTTATTTATATTAATAATGAAGAGTTTAGAGCAAAAATTTTATTCAATTGCGTTTCAAATACGTAATAAAATACAGACAGTCTTACACCCGCATGTTAACTGGTCGAGAATGGAGTAAAAAATTTGTAAATGTTATGAATCACAATTATTGCCGTAACACAATGAAGTTAGTTACGTATAAAACCACAGGTTCTCGAAAATTATCGGTGCGAGTGTATACTCACTAATCCTTTGATTGTTTCTTCAAATTAAAGGAAATTATGTAGTGTTTTTCTATCTTTTTCTTTTTTATTATTATAAATGGAATTTATTTCTATCAAATGCTCTCAATATTATTAATTCATATCAAATAATTATTTTGTTTTTAAATCTACAAATTTAAATTTTAAATATGACGCCAAGATTCTTCGTAAATACTGTAAAGCGCTAGTGCTGTAAACACGAAGAGTATACGTGTATATGATGCGTGTCAATTTCATCGTTCAACAATATTAGATTTATTTATAACAAAAACGTATGATAATAACAGAAGAATCGAATTATAAAATGATGTAAATAAAACTATTTTTTATGATTAATTCTTGTGTGCTACAGTTTTTTTTAAAATATACATGAAAAGTTAATTATTGCTTGCAACAATGTGGGAAAAAAGTACATTGCTGTGTTTATTTATTATTTGTCAAGTGATATTTGTTGTTATTTCTGACGATGTTGAACGGAGTCAGAATAACGAAATTCTTTATAAAATTAACTGGCCAGGGAAAATCGAATCGGAAATTCCTGTAAGTTATTTAATAATGTAATTGAATATAATTTTCTCTACAGAAAACACTATTGTAATCAATGTTCAATAGTACAACACAATTCTTAATGTAACTTGTCAATTTTATATAATTATAGGAAACTGCAGACCAATTTGAAGAGTATCCTATCACAACTGCTAATAAAGAGAATTACACTTGTAGAATAAGATCAGTCAAAAAGCAAGTCAAAGAATCTGACCAGCCTTACACCGGTCCAAATCCAATTGAATTACTCTCTCCTATGTTTAATCAGAAATTGTGTTCTTTCAAGGTGAGTATTTTTCATCATATGCTTTATAGATATATAAATAATAGTAAATCTTTTATATATTTGTAGTTAGATACTTATTGGACATATGAAATTTGCCATGGTCGATATGTAAGGCAATATCACGAAGAAAGAGAAGAGAAGAAAGTAAATGTTCTAGAATTTTACTTAGGAACCTTTACGAAAGCAGAAAGAGCTAAATTGTCGGCAGAATATGATGAGAGAGCGAAAAATCCTGATAAAACATACTCAGTTCCTACAAAAAAATTTGATGGTGTACAGATGCCTTATGTTGAGATACAAATGACTGATGGTACTCAATGTGATCTCAGCAATAAACCGAGAACGATAAGACTTCTTTATGTGTGTCATCAGCATGGAAAACATGAGATTTATTCATTAGAAGAAACAGCGAGTTGTGAATATGAAGCTATTATTTTAACGCCACTCATTTGTAGCCATCCTGATTACGATCCTCGAGGTTCAGATGAAGATGAAATAAATTGTGTTCCCGTAGGAAAATCTCCTAGAAGACCAAGAGCTTTGGCGGCTCTAGAAGCAGAGAGTTTAAAACTACGACATCAAAAAGTGATGGTAGAAATTGATGAAAATTAATCTATACTTTGACTAAAAATGCTCTATTAATTTTAAAAGTAGATTTTTCAGGCTTATATATTGATTTATGGCATGTAGTATTTTTTCCTTTAAATTTATTGTAAATAATAAGCCCTTCCCTGAGGACTCTTATGAAAAATTTTAAATTCTGTTTTACTCTTGGCTTCTCACTATACAATTCATATATTAAAAATAATCAATAATTTCTTTTTTACATACTGTTTCTTTATTTACTGATATCTTTATTTCTTTCATTAATTTGCAAATACTTGGTCATCATTCTGGTCTTAGAAATAATGTTTATTTACTTATTATTTATATAAATTGATTATTTGTTAAACAGGATGAGAAGTCACAGAAAGTCGTTGCGATTCTTCGTTTAAATAAGGAGAACCAGGTCAGATGATTTTGCATTCTAGGGAAATGGGCTATTAATATCATTTTGGGTTTGTAACAACTGCACCACAAACACATTTTCGCCAGTTATTAACAGTGTTTGATGCTTCGATTTAAGTTTTTCTTATCATCCCAAACATTGCACATCACCTTTGGGCACTTTTAATTTTAAATTTCATCTGCTTTTTCATCTAATCAAAAAGCTATCACTATATGACTTGTCATTTAGGTTTTAGATTGATTATATTATTTCATTATTTATACATTTTTGATCAATTGAATATCTTTATACACAAACAGCAGGATGGCGAGCCTCAACTTCAGATTGAGTTGTATGAAGTCAATCAACTTGAGAAGAGTGGAGAAGAAAATTCTAATTCGCTGTCGGGTATAAGTGCTATACAACCTGACGTTAGTCCAGTTAAAAGCTTTCTTAGTGGAAAACATTGTCTACATGGCGTTAGTATTTACCTGTTTTATAAATTTTTATGCTTTTTTAATGATTTGTGAAATGGAATTGATTTATTTTAATGCAACTTTCAGGGAGATGGATGGTGGAAATATGAATTTTGTTATGGTCGATCAGTAGTTCAATATCATGTTGAAAAAAATGGAAAAAAAATAACAATTGATTTGGGAAAGTTTGATAAGAAAAAACATTTAGATTGGATTAAGGCTCATCCTGATAAACGACCAAAACTTCAAAGAGAAAGAAAATACATTACACATTTCTACAGTGATGGAAGTTTCTGTGATGAAACTGGCAAAGCAAGACAAACTGAAGTATACAATAAATTTATAAAATTGTCTATTCATGTAATTCAATATTAATTGTTGATAATTTATTTATAATGATTTCTCGTTGATTTCTAGGTCAGATTGAAATGTGTAGATGTATCTGGAAGCCCATCTAGCGTGTCTCTATTTTTATTAGAACCAAAAACTTGTGAATACATTCTTGGAGTGGAATCACCATTAATTTGTAATATACTGGAGCATGCTGATGAAAATGGACTTATCAATGATTCGAATATTGTGGATTACGATTCTTTAAAAACTACAACTTCTGCTCCAAAGAAGGAAGAATCATCTACATCAAAGAAAGACCCTAGTGAACTTTAATTATTAATTATTAATAAAAAAAAGTGTTGTTAAAAAATGACAGTTCGTGTGATTTTTATACGTATAAATTATTTATGTAAATCTTATTGTACATTAATACTTGTTCATAAAATACTAAAATGGATATGTATTAAGGAATCGGTCTTCGATTTTTATCACATTCACGAGTTGTTTATAAAAATATTTAATCACAAAAGATCAGATTTCTATACACCATAATATACAATCGAAATAATGTTCATCCAATATTAAGACCGATTCCAACTCGGAGTTGTTGTTTTCTGTGATTGAGCATCGCACTGAGGAACAATGAAGTCTCTGGCATTGGGTAAAGCTTTTTTTCCAATACTCCACTAATCGTCGTTTCCGTATTGACTAAACCTCGGAAGATCATATTTGCATGAGGAATATCAAGTTGATAAACAACTGCTGCACTTGATTCTAAAGTTCTTAAATTACTTTCCAATTCAACACCAAGCTGAAGCTGTTGACTAGCTTTGTGATGGTAACAAACATGAAGTCCAACACCACCAAGTGTTGCTGAAAAAGTTCTTGGTCCAGTGCTGTACCTCATGGCAACAGTCATGATTGATTGTTGGCCTCCAGGAACATTTCTACTTCGATGAAATGCGATTTCTGTTCCTAATGTTAGCCTAGATGTTAAAGCTTGTAAATAATGAAAGACTAATGTTCCACTTTGCTTGAGAAAATCAGGATCCGCAAGAATGATTGAAGTTGTTGCATCATCTGATCTATACTCTATTGTAGAGCTTGATGTCACACATCTGTCATCAACCATTTGTGTAACATGTTTTATTCTCGTTCGACAGCCAAGAGTATGAGAGAAATTTGCTGCCAAGTTACCGTTAGGCATAATATCTCCACTCATTAAAGGATATCTCTCATAGAGCCCAATCCTTTTTGATCCTTTATAACAAGCTCCAAATTTGTAGCCAGAAGGTGTGACAGAGCTCAAAGAAATTGTATGATAGGCGTTAAAGTAGTCACTTAAAGTTTTTTTTACGTATAACCTTACACCTTCAAAATTTCGAGGATAAAGTTCTTTTACTTTTTTATGAAGTTCTTCAAATGTACCAGGATTTCCTGGATAATAGCCATCAGGACAGGGTACACATGGAGGAGGTTCTTTTTTGGAAGAAGCTTGTGCATTTCCCATTGTCTTTTTAATTTTTAATACCAAAACAATATTATCATTATAAAATTTCCAAAGTAATAATAAAATAAAATATCAACAATAATAATAATTTCCAAAATAACTTTAATGTATAAAAATATCCAAAATTCAAAAGCATCCTTTGAACTAACGCATAATTGACGTAAACAGCAACTTCAAACATATTTTAACTTTCCCACTTCATTATTGTCTTCTTTATCGACAGAATATATGATTAACGCCACCTATAAAAAAATTCTGAAATTATAATCCTATGGGCCTCAAATAAACAGTCAGTATTTTTTTTATTACAAAGCGTGTATGTGCTTTCCCTCTTTTTATTCATGAAATGTGCATAAATATTATCAAAAGTGAATTTTATTAACACAATTAGTGATTATAATGTACTTTAGAGTGATTTGATTTACTACTACTAGTAATTTTTGGACACGTGTCCAGGAAATAGACGCATCAAGCAGGTGAACAAACATTTGTACTGATACACAGATAATTTTGTTGTTAACCGGCTTGCGTTTGATTTTTTATAAACTATCTAGTTGATTTGATAATGGCGGTCATAGGAATACAAGGGGATGATCTTGTACAATCTGTTAGTCTACATAATCTACGACGGTTAATATTTAATGGTTACATATTACCATTTGCGACTCTACAAACAATTTGGATATTTAATTGGCTATTTGTTTATGGTGTTGATAACTATTTTCATGAAGGTCTTGTCGGAATAGCAGTTATTGGGCTTTTGCAAGGCTTTCTATGTCTCTGCTGTCAATGGTCGGTCCACCTGTATTGCTTCGTTAATTGTAGTACAGCTAAAAGCCCATATACGGCCACAATTGCTAAAGTTGTACCAACTCCAAATAATGGTAGTTCAGAACTTGTACAATTGCATCAAGAGAAACAGCCTTGGTTTATTTTTCAAAAGACTAAATACTGTTGGAATCCTGATAAGAAGCAATTTGAATGTCTACAATTTCCTATTAACCATGCCATTAAAAGCTATTGTGAATGGAAAGGGTACTCTGATGAGCAAGATGTTGCTAGTGCTGAAAATAAATATGGAAAAAATAAGTAAGTAAAAATAAGTAATTTATTATTTTTATGCTTCTTTACTAGATCATATTATTTACTATACATATTGTACTTTTCAGATTGGACATGGTGGTGCCAGAGGCTTTGGAACTATTTAAAGAACGTGCAGTTGCTCCTTTTTTCGTTTTCCAAGTGTTCTGTGTCTTTTTATGGTGTTTTGATGAGTACTGGTATTACAGTATCTTCACCCTCATTATGCTTATTATGTTCGAGTATATGCTTGTTCATCAGCAACTCAGGAATATGGCTGAAATCCGGAAGATGGGCAATAAACCTTACATGATAACAGTTTATCGTAACAGAAGATGGAGAAATATGTTTACTGATCAATTAGTTCCTGGAGATATTGTTTCTCTAGTCAGATCTCATAGTGACAATTTTGTTCCATGTGATATTCTGTTATTAAGAGGGCAATGTGTTGTTGATGAGAGCATGCTCACAGGTATTGAAAATAATAATGCCCATTGGCATACAAAATAAATTTTCTTGGTATTGAGACTTATTAAAAGACGGTTTACTTTTAAGGTGAATCGGTTCCACAAATGAAAGAACCAGTAGAAGACATCGATGGAGATCAAGAATTAGATATAACCAAGCACCATAAAATTCATGTGCTGTTTGGTGGTACAAAGATAGTACAGCATACACCTCCGAATAAGAATACATCAGGTTTAAGAGGTATGTTAACGTAAAGGATCCAATATATCACCACTTAATTTCTTTCTCATTTTATTGTTTTGACGTGAAAACATTATTTTCAATCAATAATCAATCCAAGCTCGATACTAGAACTAAGTTTATAGTTCTGATATATTTGAAATCAGAGTTTTTTATTATGTAAAAAGTGATAAAAGTCCGTACTCCAAATTTAAGGATTACTACTATTACTACGACTAATAATAATTTCTGTTAGTAAATTGATTTTTTACCGTTAACCATCTTAATAAATTATTATATTTTATGATTTTTTCCTTATTTTATGATAAATTAGGTAAATATATTTTCTACTAAACCTTAACTTCATCATATGCTCCAAAATATAAAATGGTCGGATTAGGAGAGCGGTCGTAGCTTGGCTACTTTACGTTAATACAAAATGACGCCGACTTTACTAGAATGTTTAAAATAGCAAGTCATCACATCTGGTATTTATTTTTATAGCTACAGACAATGGATGTGTCGGCTACGTATTGAGAACAGGATTTTCTACTTCCCAGGGAAAGCTTTTACGAACAATATTATTTGGTGTCAAAAGAGTGACAGCAAATAATTTGGAAACTTTTGGATTTATTTTGTTCCTTTTAATCTTTGCTATTGCTGCAGCTGCCTATGTCTGGACTAACGGTATTGATATTATAAAATTTATTGATCAGATAAATAATTATTGATTTTTCAAATTTTTAGTTAAAAATATATATCAGGTTTTTATTCGATTCAATATTCTTTTTTTTAGGTATTGCTGATCCTACGCGAAGCAGATATAAACTGTTTTTGGAATGTTGTTTAATTCTTACATCAGTTATTCCACCAGAATTACCCATTGAACTATCATTAGCTGTGAATTCATCACTTATGGCTCTATCAAAATTAGGTAAATTGGATGAATTAATTTATACTCTTAGAAATAAAAGTTGATAATTATATTAATATTAAAACATTTTTATATAATTTTTGTTTTAGGAGTTTATTGCACAGAACCATTTAGAATGCCATTTGCTGGAAAAATCGAAATATGTTGTTTTGATAAAACTGGTACATTAACAAGTGATGATTTAGTGGTGGAAGGTATCACAGGTATCGGTGGAGACACTAATGTAATTAATGTGGAGAATGCCCCAATTGAAAGTATACAGGTATTAGCCTCTTGTCATTCATTAGTACAATTAGATGATGGAATAGTTGGCGATCCTCTTGAAAAGGCAACGTTGAAAGCAGTCAACTGGACATTAACAAAAAATGATGTAGTAATTCCTAAAAAAGGAAAAGCGCGCGTCCTTAAAATTATTCATAGATACCATTTCACATCTGCTCTAAAGCGCATGTCAGTTGTAGCAGGATACAATCTACCTAATTCAACAGAATCTAATTATATCGTCACTGTCAAAGGCGCACCAGAGACATTGAAAAATATGTACTCTGAAGTCCCTGATAATTATGAGGCAACATACTTATCTCTGTCTCGTCGAGGAGCAAGAGTGTTAGCTTTAGGCTACAAAAAATTACCAACGTCATTAACTGCTCAAGATTTAAGGTCAATGATTCGAGACGAATTGGAGTCTGAGTTAACTTTTGTCGGATTTGTTATCATTAGTTGTCCTTTAAAATCAGACTCGAGTGCTGTTATAAAGGAAATAATCAATTCCTCCCACTGTGTTATGATGATAACTGGAGATAATCCTCTCACTGCTTGCCATGTGAGTCGAGAGCTTAATTTCACCAAGAAATCTACTACATTAATTCTTACTAAAAAATCTGACAAGTGGCATTGGGAAAGTGTTGATCAAATGATAACTATACCGTTCGGTGTAGAAAATGTAAAAGGTGAAAAGAAAAACATTTGGAATAGTTATGCACTTTGTATAACAGGAGAAGGATTAGATTATTTAAAAAATTATGATGACCATGTATTCAACAAAATGCTACCACATATCACCGTTTTTGCAAGATGTGAACCTAAACAGAAGGAATTAATTATCGTGTCACTTAGACGATTAGGCTTCATAACTTTAATGTGTGGTGATGGAACTAATGATGTAGGGGCCTTGAAACACGCTCAAGTTGGTGTGGCAATTCTTTCTAGTCCTTCGGAGGAGGCTGATCAAAGCCGTGATACACAAAAGGAATCAAATACTACAATTGCTAATGCAAGTCCTCATAGAGGGCCAAACAATTTAACAAGACAACAAATGAATAATGCACAAATTCAGAAATTACTAAAAGAAATTGAAGAACAGGAACAGACTATTGTAAAATTAGGTGATGCATCAATTGCAGCACCATTTACAAGTAAAATGTCTTCAATTCAATGTGTATGTCATATAATTAAACAAGGAAGATGTACTCTCGTAACAACTCTACAAATGTTTAAGATCTTAGCACTTAACGCATTAGTTTTAGCGTACAGCCAATCAGTTCTTTACTTATCTGGAATTAAATTCACTGATGCTCAAGCTACAGTTCAAGGCATTTTAGTAGCTCTTTGTTTCTTATTTATTTCACGATCGAAGCCGTTAAAAACTCTTTCTAAACAAAGACCACTGCCAAATATTTTCAATCTGTATACGATTCTCACTGTTTTACTTCAATTTGCTGTTCACTTTTTGTCATTAATTTATTTAGTACGCGAGGCTACTGCTTATTCCTCTGCTGATAATAAACTAAGAGGCATTTTATCTGAACCATCACATAGAATACAAAATATTACAAATAGCACTTTTGTAACGAATAATAGTAATAGTAGTTTTATATCAAATAATCTAAATATTACCAATCATGGCTTGTTACATAACAATGGAGTTGATGAAGAAATTGAAGCCAATATAGTGAATAGCGCGGTTTATATTATTTCAATGTCTCTTCAGGTATCGAATTTTGCAGTTAATTACAGAGGACAACCATTTATGGAGAGTTTATATGATAATAAATGTCTTTTCTATTCCCTATTAGGAAGTTTCGCAGCTATAATAGGCTTAGCTTCTGGGATAACGTCTTTAGCGGAAACGTTAAACATTGTTGAGTTCCCACTTGAATTTCGCAATATTTTAATAGCTGTTTTGCTCATTAATTTTATCACTGCTTACGTTGTTGACCGATTATGTCGTTGGTTATTTGGCGAAGGTAAAACAAGTAAATTGTGACTTGGAAGTGATACTATAGATTGAAATTTCAAAGTCACTTTGAATTGGATTAATAGGTGAAAAAAATCAGGATATCTGATAGGTAATTCATCCGGTAATTAACTTATCGGATACAAAACGTTTTTTTTTAAAACAATTGTTTAGAGAAAGAATGTTAAAATTCGAATGAAAAATTACTTACATCTGGTTTAAAAATATCAATGATAATAATTATAATGATTATTATTACTTAATGGCAATCTAAATTCTAGGTAATGATAAGAGAAATTAAACATTTTCTACGATTGTTACTATGTAACAAGTAATTATATGTTAAAGATTTAGGTGAATAAGTTTTTGATGGTAAATTATTTGAAAAAATATAAACTCTTTAGCTTTTAAACAATTATTTAACACATTTATAATTATTATAATTATCAAATAGATGTGTTATATAATAATTCATTAACAAATATAAAATAATCAACATTCCATTTTTTTTAAAAAGCCTTTATAGTAGATTGATGCTAGTGGATTTCGTGCAGTTGATGAAAATAAATCTATCAATAATTGCTTTTAGGTTTTTTATGATAGTTCTAGTGTAGTAGTATACTACATTTATGATTGTAAACAATTTTATATCATTACTATCAATTTACTTTATATGCATTGTGTGTCGTTTTTACAATTTTTAATCAAGATCAAGTTATAACTAGTTTGATGGATGAAGTCGATTTTTTTGTTGATAGAAAATTAGAAATAAGTAACACTATTGTAGAAATACATTCTGTAGAGTGTCTTTTTCCATCATCAACATGTAAATCACTGTATAAATGCGTTTATAATTAAACTTCTGAATAAATGTCCTTTTAACTGTATAATAATAATAGTTTATGTTTTCAATATTAATTTTATTATAATCATCGAACTTATCAACATCTTTTTAGGTATTTAATACTTGTATCTTACAAAGTTAAATTAAGTTTATTAGACTATAATTATATGAAATTACTTTTAATTTTATCTAGGAACTTTAATAACTTGTTTGTAACTTTTTTTAATTATTTATCCTTAATTTTATTATAATTATATTTCAGTTTGAATGAATTAACTTTAGATGTTTTTTAAATGACCATTGAACTTTTAAATTTATAATTACCAATTATAATTTGTAGCTAACTGTGTTTAATTAATGATTATTCTTTGTAGCATTCAAAAACAACTTCCAACTCTTATATGTCTCTTCGGCATCCTTATGTTGCTGGAGAGGGGAAAGAAACATTCCAAGTGGAAACATACGTAAGACACACGCTATACATGTAGATTGAGAAAGCAATCGGTTTGATAAGTCAACTGACTGTTTATCGACTCCAATAGACTCTTGACAGTCTGGCTTTACGTTTTCTCAGCATAGTTTCATGTCTCAAGATTTCTTGTGTTTCGAAATTTATTTTTAAATGGACAATTGAATTAAAGCATGTCCTCTGACAATGACTGACAGTGACTCGTGTCGTGCAAAAAATATTGATGAGTGATATCATTAGAACTAGTGTAAGATAAATAATAATAATTATCAAAGATACTTTGTTTTTTATGATTCTCATTCACGTGTTTGTTATCTTTACTACCAATGTTACCAATCGTTAATCAAGATTACATTTCATCATCTCTCAACATTCGAAAGATTGGTCATCAACCTCAAGAGCGGATATCCAACCATCCACTGATTATATAGAAGCCTTTGGTCGTTCAAGAACTCTGATTTGCCGGCAATTTCAAATCAAAAAGTTTATTTTTGATTATTTTAATTGAGAATTAAACTTGAATGATCATTTTGGATATTAAAAATATGCTTACAAGTACTTAAATAAATTCAAAGCATCTTTTACGTGGATTTTATGATATTTGTACAACAACAAGCTATTAAGTTGTGAAACTAGACTATTAATTGATCAATTCTGTTTCATTAACGCTTGGATGTCGTGATAATAGATCTTGAACGCAATTGAATCAAAGTCAGTTTGAAGTACACTAAATATTTATTTATTGAAAAAGGATGGTTGAATCTCCAGAAAAATGGTACTTTCATTGGGCTGATTGGGTTGTTTTTGGCTTGATGCTATGCTTTTCAGCATCGGCAGGAATTTGGCATTTTAGGAATGCAAAAAAATCAACAACTCTTGAATACCTTTTGGGTGGAAAGAGCCTTGGCATTTTTCCAGTTTCTGCTTCTCTCATTGCCAGGTAATTATTTGTAGCAAAGATATACCTTTTTAAACTGTTGCTATAATTATTTATCTATGTTATGTAATATTATGTTTCAGTTTTATATCAGGAATTACCATTTTGGGAACACCCGCAGAAATTTATAATTTTGGTACACAATATTGGATAACAATTATTTCACTTTTATTCAGTGGAATTATTGTTAGTAATGTTTATTTACCAGTATTTATGACTCTCAAACTTAACTCTTGTTACGAGGTTTGTTATTATGCATTATTCTTCTGTTACGTATGATTTAAAGTCAAGAAATAAATTAAAATTCCGTTTTTATTTTCAGTATCTTGAAATAAGATTTAATCGAGCTGTGAGAATATTAATATCATTCATTTTTGTAATAGATGTGGTAAGAAATAATATTTAATGAGAGATAAAATTATCATACAGAAATATTATTTGAATATGTTTTTTTTTGTTTCAAGGTATTGTATCAATCGATTGTTGTTTATGTACCTGCCCTTGCGCTAAATCAAGGTAAGTTGTTGAAATAAAATTTGTCAGTAGTTTGGAATACAATAAACATTTTTATTTATTTTATTTTCAGTTTCGGGCATAAGTATTCATTTAATCGGTGGGATCGTGTGTTTTATCTGCGTTTTTTATACGGTTTTGGTAAGTTGAAAGCGGAGAAAAATGCTAATAATAAAATAAGCCCAAAGAATCGTGATAAAATAATTTTCTAGCCGAATACAATGGTGGAAGAAAATGTTTAGAGCCTGTTGAAATGTTTATGGACTAAAAGGGTGTGCTTACAATAGCGTACCCGAGACAATGGCCGGGAGCATCGAGTGTTGGCCTCGGTGGACTCTTGTGGACTCACAAAGCCTTTGCTATCTAGCATGTTCGCGAACCGGCAACCAAGCTGAAGTGATTAATTACTCGTTCGTGTAATTATTCGAGCAATTTGTTAAACTTCGTATTAATGAGGATTTATCGTATAGTCGAGTGGATGCTTTAGAAAATTGTTTCTTGTCTAGCGGATATTATTGTTTATAACTTAAACTCATCACAAACTTCTTGAGATTTATTTTCAACTCATTTGTTAGCAAATATAATGATGTCATTACTTTGTCTGCAGGGTGGGATTAGAGCTGTTGTTTGGACAGATGCTTTTCAAGTCGGTATAATGATCGCTGCGGTTTTAACTGTCACGAGCTTGGGCACTTATCAACTTGGTGGAACAGCAGAAGTTTGGAAAAGAGCGTTAGATGCCAAAAGAATACAGTTTTTTAAGTGAATTAATTTTTTTAAATATTCTATTTATAATTTTTTAGAATTATTTTTTGTTTTAATTTATTTAGCATCAAATTTATAATAAAATATATTTTATTATTAATATTATTATTTATTATATTTACAATTATTTAATTAATGAAAATGTTTATTTACAGCTTTGATCCTTCACCGTACACGAGACATACTGTTTGGTCGGTCCTAATTGGATCCTGTCTGTATAGTACTTCATACATTTCAGTAAACCAAACAATGGTGCAGAGATATAGCTCGTTACCAACTACGAAAGTTTCGAAAATGTAAACCAAAGTTATAAAATGTTTATATCAATCAGAGTTTTATCATTGATATAATAATAATTATGATTATAATGTTTTTTAAAATTCATAAAAATAATAAATTCCATCCTTACATAAATTTCAGGTCATTGGGAATTTTTACAATAGGAGTAATGCTTTTTATATCCTTGACATGTTGGTGTGGTCTTGTACTATTGGCTTGGTGGGCACCACCAGAATGTGATCCAAGATTATCAGGACTCGTTAAAACTGACGATCAAATGCTGCCTGCTTATGTCATGCAAATTGCTGGTCATCTGCATGGAATCCCAGGTCTTTTCATTGCTGGAATTTTCAGTGCTGCTTTGAGGTAATACCTTTAACGTGACTCTCCCTGTAATATGAACATTTAAAGAATAATATTGTGAAACATTTTAATAAATCAATTTATAGAAATCTGACTATCATTGAAATAACTAACCAAATAATTCAATTTAAATTTTTCAGCACTTTATCGGTAGGATTAAATTCTACTTCTGTAGTGCTACTAGAAGATTTTGTAAAAGGTTGCTTCAGGCTAAAGCCTAATGACCATGCATCAACGATTTTTGTAAAAACGGTTGTTATCCTTCTGGGGCTCTTTGCTATGGGATTCTTGTTTGTTGTAGAACGACTAGGAGGAGTCTTAGCTGTAAGTTGAAATATGAATTAAAGTAAATTTAACTTAAAACATCCATGAGTCGTTTTATTACTTTATCATTTTATTGATGGAAAGAGAAATAAAATATATTTCAATTCTTATAGGTAACAGGAAGTTTAGCTGCAATAGCTGCAGGAACATCTTTTGGAGTATTCACATTGGGAATGTTAGTTCCATGGGCAAATTCAAAAGGTGCATTTGTGGGTGCAATCGCGGGTTTCATAATTTCCGGATGGTCGAGTCTTGGTGCCAACGCAATGATTGGAACAGGAGCTATAATACCTAAGAAGCTTCCCATTGATCTTACTTATTGTCCGAGTAATATTAGCGAGAGTATTTTAAATCAATTTCCTATTGATCACGAGTGAGCAAACAATTCAATTACATTTATTTATGATAAATTATGAGTATGTATTTTTATTAAATTGTTTTTCTTTTTTTTTATTATAGTGAAGAAGATATATTTCCTTTATATCGTCTTTCGTATCATTGGTTTGCGGGTTTGGGAACCGTCACAGTAGTCTTGGTGGGGGGAATAGTGACCTGGATAACAGGACCAAGAAATCTAGAAAACATCGACAGAGACTTATTCTCTCCTGTGATTCATAGGTCAGTTGGTTCCCAAAGAAACACTGTTTTAGAAACGTTGTATTTCATTAATAGAATTTCGAAAACTAAAAAATGTAAATTGAATTTCTCTTTAGGTTTCTACCGGAAACGAAGAGTAGTTTGAGTATTGGAGAATGGAGTCAACGGACTTCAGATAGTCAAGCTATTCCAAATAGTTTGAATGAAACTTCAAGAACACATTTTCAGTCAACTATTGTCTCAGAATCGACTGATGCTACTCTTTGACCAAAAAAAAATGAATTTCTTTTAATGTAAAAATTGATGGAAGATTTTTATAATAATTATTATCAGTATTTGATATAAAATCCCGTAGATTGACAAAATTAAATGGAATTGGACAAGAAGAGTAGAGAAATTACAGTTGAATGCTTCAATTTGAAAAACAAATGGTGCTGATTGATACAAATGTATCTCGAGCGTATAAATTATATTATAAAATTATATAGAATGCATGAACAAATCGAGAGGATGGATTTTCGGATTCAAGAGTGTTAGATACGCGTAAAATAGTGTAAGTTGAATTGACGCTTCGAAGCTGAGAGAACTAGTAACTAAGTTTGTTTGATTTTCAAGCTTTGGTGATTCTCAGTGACCACCAAGCGAGTAAGGTACACTGAAAGCTCTACACCTGCCGTCTGACCAGGATATTAACCGGCTTGTTAAGGCAAAGCAACGTCAAACATCCTTATTAAGGCGACGCAAATAGGTCGGTCGCGCGCCCCGTTTACTTGCCCTGCAAATTCAATTTTCGCCAGCCAAAGTGCGGTCATTCAAAAGCGACAGCGACTGAGACTAGTCTCTTTAGCACAATATTGTTGAGCTTTTAGCAATAAACAGGTTCATCGTAAATCACGTTACAGTATTGGCCAATAATAATACCACCATTTAATTCTACTTTGAAATTATTAATTAGTAGTTTGTTGTTTTTGTTAATTAGATAGTTTAATTAAATTATCAGTTTAAACTATTACTCTCCTCTTGTGAACAGGAAATTATTATTTTACGTAAAGAGAATATTAATATTAGATACAATAAGTAATTTATTATTAAGCTTCAATATATGTACGTATTTAAATGTTCTAATAGTAATTCAACATGAAATCAATTAATATTAGTTGCTTCAAAGTTTCTATTGAAATGGTATTAGAATGAATCATTCACTGATTATGCACAATTTTGACCACAATAGAAGTACATATCAAAGCTTTAACTGTTTGATTAGTTGAAGTAAATTTTCAACTGCAGTACGTGGGCTTTACTTGGTGCAGTTAAATGAAAGAAGACTTGTGATAGTCTGTAGTTACAATCAGAAACATGTAGCATTCAGTCCATCGAGTAGATGAAAGTGTGTGCGACGAATTGAACATGTGGATGATGTGGACGTACGGAGAAATCAAGATCGCGAGTCTGCGTGCGAGAGAGGTCGTAGTTTGAATGGGGCTAGTTTGAGATAGTTAGCGGGCCTTCAAGAGTACAATCGGCCGCGATTGGTTCGCCCGGCCTACAATCACACGCCGAATTATACATCCTTTAACGCTGAGATCTTGCAAATCCATGCACGCACGCTTTAACGATTGGTCAGGCTTTCTTTTCTATTTTGCATTCATAACAGTTCATAATTTTTCTTATTTATCTTTTTTTCAAATTTTTATATCAATGCAATCAAGTACTGCTTTCAAGTGAAATTAGTCGTTGATTACGTCTTAATTAATAATTTAATAAATTGCTTGAAATTTTTGATTAAAACAAAAAATGTTAATATTGGAGAACATTGGTGGTGAATGACAATAAGAAAATATATTTAAAATATTACTTATAATTAAAAGTATAATATATTTTTATACTTCACAAGAGAAAGATGATGATCAATAATAGTTTCTATTCGAAGAATGTTATTAAAATTTCTGTTTATATTATTAGCCAAATGAAAAATAATTCATTAACATAATTTAATGTATCAGAGCGCGAAAATCTTATAGATAAATATTATTCGTCTAATCCGTTGCCGAGCTACCGTACTATCTTAAAGTTATCTCGACCATAGAATTGGGTTCTTAGAGAGTTAATTGGACTTAGGATACTGAATGTTAGTGGGAAAATAGATACTAAAGTCTTTAGATAAACAGGGCGTAAGAAATTGCGTTAAAACTTTGTTTAACTATAAGTAAACACAATGCAATTGTATAGAATAGCTGTAATAAAATACATTGTCGCAATATAACATAATTATTTAATTATTAGTCATTACTTTTAGAATTTAGATAAATTTTTTGTGAATGTAGAATATAAAATAATGTATTTGTTTCTAGTAATCACGCGATTCATTAATTATTTAAATATCTCTTGTACGTTCCGGGTAAATTGAATCTGTTTAAAATGTGAGGAGATTCATCCAGGATGTCGACTGATGTTCACTTGCAGTATTCGACCTCAGATCAAATACAGCATCTATGTTCTTCAGCAATGATAGACGACTAACAGAATAACTAATTTATCAATTCTTCGGTTCGGTTGACTTCGATTTCCGGAGACTATTTGCAAGCTAGTACAAACAAGTCTGTTGGTTCAAACCCACTCCGGATGTATCAATGCCATATTTGAACAAAAATCACTGTTGAAGGATTCTCAGTATATCTAGCTGCACTGTCAATTTTCTGAAACAGTTGAATAAGCGATTTTATCTAAATTTAAACACACAGATACCTTACAGGTACATTTTATCATTATTATTTAACTCTTTTAATTATTGACTAGAAGAAAAAAGAATCAATTCATTTTGATTTATCTTGAACAAATTCCAAGTTAAATTGAAACTATTTTTTTTCTTTTATTCAATTGAAACAAAAATTGTGAATAAATATTTTAATTTATAGTTGATAATTTGTAATAATATAAGATATATTTTGATTTGATTTTTAGAAACGAAAATGGATGATTGTTGATTAAACATTAGTAATTACCTGGAGACAATACATGGGCATTAGTAATCAAGGATGCATCTAGGCATGATTTACTGCTTAGGATAATACTTCAAGGTAACGGTATTTAGCTGGAACGTCGCGACTGTCATCCAGGATGAAACGATGCCGGAGAAGACATTAAGCGTAATGAATTACCAGCCAGGAGGAGTAATGTGTCTTAATTATGGCGGGTGGTACAATAATTATGTAATTAGGTATTGTTTGCCGTGCGGTCTCTAGTCTCTAATCACAATCCTGATGTGCTGGAACCTCATCAAGATATAATCTGGTGGACTATCGATCCATTTCACGTCAACTTTCGTCTAGAATGTTGAGTCTTGAGCCAACTTAACTTAAGAAAGGAGAACTATGGAGATTATTATTCAAGATTTATTCCATGATTATTCCTCTAACTACGACAAGGTAAAAGGAAAAATGATAAAAATAATTATTTAACCTTTAATCACTCACGCAAGCTTTATCACACTCTGTAGGATAATAAAAGCACTGATTTGAGTCATTATGTTTTACAGGAAAGCTTGGTAACCTTTGTAGCTGTTGGGAATTATTAAAATTATAATCTATTGAGGAAAAAATCACTTTGAGAAAGAATAAAATATGATAAGCAATCTTATTATCACTATATTCAATTAATTTTTATTATTACTGTTATTATTTAATGCTTTCTGCTTATTTTATCATGAAGTTTTAAATGTATAGAATTTATATTATTAAGTACAGACTTTGTGATGTATGAATAATTATACTGTTTATGATAATTGTTTTAATCGCCATGTTTTTCATAAATATTATGAAAATGATGTTAATTTATGTTTTGTATGATGTCTTGTCACATTGACACTCAAGAGCTTTCAGTACATTAATATTTATACGAGAAATCAAATCTCTAAAGCTGGCAATATCGTGCCCGAGCGCGCAGACACGAAGAGTCAACGAAAACGTAAGATAAACATGACGATACTGTGTTTCACATAAGCCTAGTGAAATTTCTGAAGACCTTCTAGGTAAGACCTAGTCTCACGAGGACTTTAGCTTCGAGTCAACGGAATAAAATTTACATCCCTTTACCACATTCCGCTGGAGCACGTGCAATTCACTAGATTATCAGCCACAAAGTAGATTTGTCTATAAAACGCAGATGATATATGAGGATAAAGTTGTATTTAACAGAAGATAAACTCAGCAAAGTTATTTCAGAGATGAGAAAAATTAACGAGATTAGGGTTTTGGATTTAGAAATAATAAGAAACTCTGATGATAATTATTCCAAGTTGTGGAGTGATGGAACAGTACAATGGCTTGGAATTATTCATAATTTCAAGCAAGTAAGTTTAATAAACTTAAAGTAAAGGAGGGTGAGCATTCATCAGAGCGCACCAAGACGTACACTACAGGAAGGAAGGAGTTATAAATATGTCTTAAAGACACCCTTTTATAGAAGGGAAAGAAGGGAAGAAGATATACATACATTTAACATTATCATTAATGCATTCGCACATCTTAAATTTGCTTGTTCATGGGAGTCTTTTGCCACAAATGAATTTTTTTTTTAAATAAATAACCACAATTATATTTTATCAATATTAAAATTTTTTTAGAGTAATTGTATTAACAATTTAACGATGAACTAATTACTTATTGAATTTTGATAACATAATATTGATTGAATACTAATAATGACTACGTTCATGACTCCAATGTAATTCTATTATTTCGATTAATTTCGAATAATCGATTATCTTTGCGAAAATCGATTATTAGTCGATCTGATTGGAGCAGAACTGCGCGCGCATCTCTATTCGCTAAGTGAAGCGGGACCTCACAGCGGTTGGTCGTGTGGTAAGTGTTCCGTATTTAATGGCATTTTTTTCCAGAAATATCTCCAAAATGATTAATATCACATGAATATTTTTATTTCATTAGTGATAAAGCATGTTTTGAATTAAAGATTTTTTCGAAAAATGCACTTTTCAAACGTAAATCATTATGATATAATAATTGGGATGTTGAACGCTATAGAAACGCTGCGGCATCCTTAAGAAATTTATAATAAAACTCCAAAAATTGGTTAATAAATGCAAAAATTTTGTTTTAATAACTGTTTTTAATTAATCCAAATAGTTTTGAGAGTAAATTAAATATATTTTTGCAAAAAAATTTTATTTGCTACTCTCAAATGACGGCTCAGTAAAAAAAAAATGGCCGCTGCCCGGCGTCGTTTTGAGCGTCAGTAATTTATTCAATTTTGTTATAGATTTTATGCGATGTTTTTACATAATGATACTGAAATATTCTTTCAATACTGTATAATGATTCACTAATATAATTTTTTTCATTCTTAATATTTATTTTACTTTTTTTTGTTCATTTCAGAGTCCCGCTTATTTTCCGGGAGTGTCGTGTGTGTATGTGTGAGAGTGATGTGTTGTGTTTACATTTGGTGAGACGAGCTATCTGCTCCGGATAAATTCTACGAATCGTGTTGTTATTATGTCACAAATCAAAGAACTACCTTGACCTATCATCAAAATAAAAGTGAAAACGAATTAAGGTATCATTCTTATTTAAAAATATTGATATGAATATTACATTTTTCTTTTTTTTCAATGAAGAAAAATGTATTCAACTAAATTATTTACATATTAATAAACTTTTTTTTGTTTTATTAACAACAATAAATTTTTATTTCAGGTAATTAAAAATTTTTTATAAATTTTATGGCGATAAAATTGATGAATCGCTATTAATTGCCGTTATCGAGCAAGAAATTCAAGAAAAGAGTAGATCGTTTACAAAATATAGAAATTATTTATTTTATTTCGACACATAGTCTACAGTACCCGTTTTATTTAAATTGTCTGCATTTAGTTACTTATTCCACTTATTTTAATCGTTCAACTTCTACCGATTTTCATTTGTTTTTACGCCTTATCCCTTAAGGCTATTTCATTAATTAATTCCTTCTCGTCTCTTTCAACTCTGTCTTACCTTGCATTCTCCGTACGATTCCTTCTCACGTTAATTCTTTTTTTTTCAATAGCGTTTCTCTCATTTTAGCCGTTTTCAACGGAGACTTGTCGGTACTGCGCCAAAGTCGTTGATTCACTTGCTAATTAAAGTAATTACTAAATAAAATGCAATTACGCTAATGGCTTGGGCATTTAGTAGTAGAGATGCAATGCTTCTCGTGAGTGATTTTTTCAAGAATTGTAAAAAACAAAATTATGATTTACGCGATTATTATGAGAGTTATGAATGAAAGTATGAAAACTTGAAAACAATGTAATTAAAAACAATTTTTAATTATATCCAAAAATTTTGTTGAAAGATAAATACGGGAAATGATATCAAGATAATGAAGCTCATAGTGAGATATAAAATGAATTATAAAACTTTTATTTTTTGATATAACAAAATTTATATTTAACTAAATTGAAACTTGGTGAGTTTAACAAAGCTTGACAATAATTAAATAGTTTAATTTAGTTTAAAAAGTTTTTTGAATTCATAAACGTATGCTACCGTGTCAATCGTTTAGACAGTCGCAATTACTGACAACGATTCCCACAGGATGTAGCGCTAATTAATATAACCAACGGACAATTCGTTCGCGATTGACAGGAAAATGCGTGGGAAGTTGCGTGGGAGTTTGGTATCATTCGCAAATATAGTATCTACTATGTAGATAGTGTAGGGTTGGAGATGAGGGGGTTTAACAGCAGCTTCGCAATTTGTCAGGTGACAGACGAGAAACGGGAATAAATGGACAATTACACAAATACAATGTTTGACGTCATTTCAATGACGCGAAAGGCTTCTGTGATTGATTGTTAATTGCCTCGGTTTGTTACTCTGAGCTAGTAGTAGAGCTGAGTAGAGTGGTGGTAGGTCCAACGACTAATTCAATCTAACTGATCCATAGGCAAGAAGTTTTTTGCCTTTTTTCCATTTTTTTGCTACTCTAAACTTTAATATTGTATCTATTCTTCATGGAGATTAGTTTGAACTATTCTCTCTTTGGGAAATACAATTCAATTTTTTAGAAAACATTTTACTCATGCCAATAAAATACTAGAGATGTTTTTTTTATCATTCTATTAAATTTGTTTGGATGTTCTGTTTTCTAAAAAAAGGTAAAAGATTTTTTTTTACGAACATTTGATGATTGTACAATTAATTTTTTTTTTTTTTAATTGTAGGTATTGATCACATTGGAAAATGTATCACTCATTAGGTCTAA